ATGCCTTGCAATATATCTCCGTTCTCTCTCTCTCTCTCTTTCTCTCTCTCTCTCTCTTTCTCTTTCTCTCTCATTATATACATACAATAAACTATACATACAAACGAATATTATTCATACAAACGTATAATACACACAAACATAACTTGAATATACAATTTAGTTAACACATCCTAAACAGCACAACCAGTTGTTAAATAACTAGGAAGAACAGACGCTCAGAATACACGTTACGTAAGACACATTTTCCTTTCTCTTCAAATTACGTTCACCCACACAAACCAGCATTTCAATTGTTTTCATTGTGTTAGGAGCTATTTGTGTGTTTGTGTGAACGTGAGTGTGTATATATATATGTGTGTGTTTAAGTGTGTGTATGAGAGTGCAAATATGAATGTGTGTATAAGTATGCAAGTGTGTATGTATGTAAGTGTAAACGCAATTTCACAACTTCGGATATGTCCTGTCAAATAAAAAACTAACGAAAATTGTTCAAAAAATAAACCACGGTTTACATAGTTAAGGTCGACTCTTGAATTCTCTAAAACTGGTGACGCTACTACAAACAATGAGTTTCTACATGTGTTATCTTAAATGAAAACACACACACCACACACACACACACACACACACACACACACACACACACACACACACACACACACACACACACACACATACATACACTAAACAGCACACACACACACACACACACATACTTACACGACAAACATTAACATCACAAACAACACATGTTTACACAAAAAATGTGCACCATAAAAATGCAAATTCTAAACAGCCAATTATGAGATTAAGTGTGCTTGAGGAAGAAGGAAGAAACAATGGGAGGATACACACACACACTCAACACACAACAAACACACACACCACACACACAGAGACTTATATACCAAGATACACACACATTCGGAGGTGCATGTTAGCAGATATGTATGCCAACATCGTTCATGTGTGTGTATTATGTATATTCGCATGCATGTTTAAAAAAATTAGTTCGCACATAGAGATGTTAAAAAGCTGTTAACAGGTTTAGCAATTAGAAAACAATTGTTTGCCACAAAACACACACACACACACACACACACAGACCCACACACACAGACACACACACGCACAAACTCAAATATTATTATTGACACATGCATTCACTCCATGTACATATGCATATCTGGTTAACAAGCAGAAGAAATTATTGGTACATCTGCCTGAGAGAGCACAAATATGTCGATGGTATTGTGAGCTTGTCTGAAGAGGTCTAACCGTCACGTAATTCATCAGTGCATTCAAGCATGCAAACTACAAATGCACTTTTATCTTCGAATTATTAATCTGAATAGTTATATGGAAAACTTTGTTAACTTGTTCTAATAATTCTGATAAGATTTCTAAAATGAATGAATTAGGCAGAATAAAATTGATTATTTGCAACACCACCTATTTCAAATTCGCCATCAATTGCGATATTTTTATGCCATGAAACCACTGATCCGGTTTTAGTTTGTCAATGTTCATTTAATAACTGAATAACACTGCATATCAAATGTTTAAAAATTATGTTTTACTATTTTCTATTTTCTTTCTCCGTCATAATATCTGATGAACACTTATTTATCCAACCATCATTACATTTTCCCATTTGATGGTTCAACGGAATTTCAGCTTCGGAATTGAACTTTAGCATCTGAACCTAACGTTCACCTGGAAGCATTTGCCTCATTCATTATATATACAATACAGCCACCCACAATTATCATTCATTTGACTCTTGGTGATATCTTACATACCTGACGCCAATGTTTCTACGCTTTTAATACATCTTATAGAGATTAAAATACGAAAGGGCAACACCAGTTTAGCATACTATGGATGATCCAAATCAAAAGTTTTTTAAACTTTATATAATTTTCACTGCAAACAAATTTGATATAAGACTTCATTGTGTCTTTTTTGGCAAAACTATTGTTCATTTATAATTATAAATAAAATCTTTTTTTGATTAATTTAATAAAAACATTAGAAACAATTATTTTAAAAACAAATGCGTTTTATGACGGTAAGTCAATGTTATCTTTAAAAATTATTATCTCTGCGTTCATATGCTCATATTTTTTAAGGTTTATTCGCCATTACAATCCACCTTTGGAATATTCATAAATAATATTTTGTCCCGTCTGTAACAGCAGTTTTATGTTTACATATTTACATTTATTCCATCATTTCTACCAAACCAAACTTATTTTTCGAGGTAACACTAAAGTTTTATTTTGTTTGGACCTGTTAGTTTTGAAAATATAAGTGTTGGCTACTTTATGAATTCAAAAACTAATTCATGTTAAGTTAACTCTGCCGAAAACTAACTGCGCGGGTTTGAATTGGAAATAAAAGCAATAATTGATCTGTCATTAGCATTTTTTAAATTACAACAAACAATTAATAGTTTGTTAATATCAAAATCGGTAGCTTAGTAGAGTTTTTACCATTTGCTGTAACATAAATTTCAAAATTAAAAATACAAATAAATAATATATTTAGATTTATTATAGGAACGTTTAATTTGTATTTTTCCAATAGAAGACAGTTCGGCTTTCAACGATTCGTGCGTCTTCAAGACGGCTTCGTGCTGGTTGTTCTGGTATGTTTGCATAGTATTATGCCTGCTGTTTTGCGTTATTTCTTCAGTTTGCTTAGCGTTTTCTGATGATTCAAATAAAATCTTATTAATTTTTTTTCAAAATTTAACATATTTCAATAATTGTAAGGTAATTAATCTTTCAAAATAATTTTTGAAAAAATATTTTGTTAAAATTTCATAAAATGGTGCCATCATTTGTCGTAACTCTAAGAAAATCATCAACGGCAGACGCCACTGAAGCGTGAAGCGTCTACTGTTGAGGTGAGGTAGTAGAAGAATGCGATTGTTGTATTAGTTGTGGTGAATATAACTTAAGATAAGCTCATATAACCAAAAACAAATAATAGACATTTTATAGACACACTCGTATGAGTCTTAAAATCCAAATCAGCTGCGACTGACAATAAAGAGGGCACTGCAGCAAATCCAAATACAACCCCGGACAATGTTGGTTGTCTTCATTGAACACTTTAAATTTTTTCAATGAATTTTGTACATTTTTTATGAACAATCATTTTATATTATATTTATTACATTTTCAATTATTTTTATATATTCGCCTAAAATTTTTTTCCAGACATATAAAACAAGTTTTAAAAATGCTGAGCGTCTAAAATATTGTTCCTTGCCCTTGCTTATTTTGGTTACATATTTTAGTTTGTGTGCTTCAAAGACTTCACCCTCAAAACCACAAGATGTACAATCACAATCTTTGTGTATACGAGCAAACATCGCATCACAGGCTCAAGATGTGTGGAAATTTTGGGTTTTCGGAAAAATTTATAAATGGGTGCGCCACAAAACGACTCGTGCATGGCCATCCTACAATTTTCGTTTAGTTCAGAGATTTCGTGAATTACAGTAATTAATGAAAATTTTCAGAATTTGAACGGATGTGCTACCGTACAACCTCCCACGTTCCTCCTCCCCCTTCTCATCTTCCTTGGTGTTCTCTCTCATCAACTTCATTGAGTGCTCTCTGCTCTTACTCAAGTTTTATAATTCTTATTTAACCAATTTTTATAAACAACAATGTTAGGACTTAGCGCAAACTTAAAATTTTAGTTGAGGTTGATTTTTAATTTGGATTTTATTCGTTGAACTTAACGTACGCCAATGTTATCTGAAGAATTTTAACTATTTGATCTAACTAACATGCAGTTGTTTAGGCTTATGAAATAATCTGACACTTAAATTAAAATTAAATTTCAGATTTTGATTAACATTGTGATTTAATTTCGATTCATAATAATTTTTTTTATTCACATTTACACTACATTTCTCCACAATTTTACATTGTACTTTAACATAAGTTTAGTTTAGTTTTTCATAGTAACTTAAGCATAACAAGTTGTTTGGTTATTATTTTCAAATATTTGAAACGTAAATGGACGAAAATTAGCATTAAATAGAGAACGGTCTACAGAGGGTACAGACGCTATTTGCTGCATTATATTGTTATAACAGCCGGAATGATCAAGTTGCGCTATATTATTATTTTATTTATTGTTGTCTGTGTTATATTTGTAATCTTTGGATAGAGGATCGTAAAAAGATATTTGTAATATTTTGATCATAAAAATCCATCTTGGAGCCTGCGGAGACACAGGTTGGCAGTCAGGTTCAAGCGATGTTGGAGCGTAGTTTGTAGCGAAGTTGTAAATGTGATTTATGTAGTTACTTGGATTAATTTAGTGTTTCTATTACCGTTGCCATTCAAATAAACGTTCAACATAGTTTGCGTTTGAAGCGGTTGTGTTCATCTATCGGAAATCTTGAACCTACGGAATAACGGACACTTGACGATTGCTGGAAGCTACAACACTGGTGTTGGAACTATGGAGCTCTTTGAAAATCATTGGTGTTAGTAGTTACGAGCGTTCAAAAGGTTGCGACAATATTTGAAACAATGTTTACAACGACTTTTAGTTTTATGGTCACTTGTAAACAACGAATATAACAACTGTAATGAGCTATGTATAAATAGCTGAATGAAACTATTCAATGTACTGAAATTTTACGACCAATCGTATCCATTTATTTGGAAAGACCTCATTGTACCTATTTATTTGAGAATACCTCTGAGATGTCTGATTCCATTATAAACCAAGCTGATGTTAGTATGCTTCTTGATGAGTATATTAGTGAATTTTTAAAGAAACGAGTGGAGCAGCAAAAATTAATATTGTTAGATAATTTAAAAAATAGTCATGTTTTGAGCAATTTTACTTCAGAAGAAATTGAAAACTTTGCAAAGTATATGACAGATGTCACCGGACAACTTTCGCGTGCAGACAAATGGCTTACAAAATTCAAAGAGCTGAGCCCCGACCAACAATACAACGTGATGCGAGATGCACAGAGGAGATTTTATTCCATTGAACAAGAACCTACGACTGTTAATGACGTGATTGAGAAAGAACATTTCATAGCAAGCATCACTCACACGGACTTCTTCCAATCAGCTCTACAGGATAATGACAAACTGACGCTGCCATTTTATGAAGAAAAATTTATCGACAAGTTATGCCCAATATGTATGGAAGAATTCTGCGACGGATCGTTCGTGAGAGAACTGAAATGTCGGCATGCTTTTCATCATTCATGTATCAGAGAATGGTTTGAAATGAATTGCTCATGTCCAGTGTGCAGGGTGAATGTGCCTGCTGAGATGAACGCCATCTATAAGTTCAACGTAGAGAGGGGAGAAGAAGGTAGTAAGGAAATCGTACGAGCTCATATCACCACCAAGGCGGCTGGATGGAAGGCAGAGAAATATTAGATAAGAAATATTATTGTTGAATAATTTTACGTAATTGAATAATTTTAAATTTTTAAAAAAATGTTTATAAATTATTTAAAGTAATCAACAATGGTTGAAGAAGACTTTGTGCCAGCCAATGATACATTCTATATACATTTCATATTTGAAACGTATTTGAATATATTTGCGAAGGCTATCTTAAATAGCTCTTTCTTTCTTTTAATTCAATATATCGTCTTCTTCTCGCTTTTTCTTAACTCGTGTTAAACACTCTTTTGCCAAATCTGCTTTTTATTTTTCTGGTCCTTTTTTCTGGAACTCTCTACCTACTTCTCTGACTACTTCTCCATTACTTGCGAAGTTCAGAGCGGATCTCAAGACCCATCTGTTTTCAAAATTCATTGAGGAGCGCTGTTGAACATCGCGGAAATAGCGCTTTATTAGCAAATTGATTGATTGATTGATTGATTGATACAAATACAAACGCAAAGGTAAAAATATGAAAAACAGATGAGAGAAAGAGAGTGAATCAAACATATTTCATTTAGAAAAGTTGAAAAAATTGAGGAGTTTACATGCATGTATTGATGAATTTTATACATTTTTTGTCAATGTTGAACCTATGAGAAATTTTCTATATTTTCTCTGTTTTCTGTTACGATGTTTTGTTTTTTCGTTTTGGGGTACTCATTTGAACAGAAGCTTTTTCGGGTATCCTATTCATGTTTTTTAATTCATGAATAAACCTGTTAAAAAAATAAGCATGTGATTTTATTATATTATATTTGCATTTATTTATATCTATTCGTTTGATTTGTTTTCAAATACATAAATTAAGTTTTAAAAATGCTGACCAGTGAGCATCTTTTACATCGTTCTTTGCTTATTCGATTACATATTTTAGTTTGCATTTCAAAGTCTGTACCTTCAAAACCACAAGATGCACAATCACAATCTTCGTGTGTCCGAGCAGACATCGCATCACAAGCTCAAGATGTGTCTGCACTCTCAAAAACAATAGTAGAACTTAGCGTAAAATTGAAATTTTAGTCGAGGTTGGTTTTTAATAGTGTTGGTTTCCATATTTATGTGACTGTATAAAAACACTTGACCCTATCATCTAATCAGTTCACGTTTGAACTGGGTTGGCAAAAAACCCCGTTTCGTTTGTTTTAGTAAAATAATTACAAGATTGGATGGTCCTCTTACAAAAAAACCCATAGAAACATTGTTGCAAAAAATTTTTGACATGAGGTTATGATGAATTTTTTAAAGTTACAAGTTTTTTCATATTTTATACCCATCCAGGCTCTAGGGCCCGGTTTCAGCCACTCCCTTTACTCGATACGCCACTGAGTAAATACAACAAATTTTTCAATACAAACATTTTTGTGAAAGTTACCAAATCTGTAAAAGCTACCATTTCAAGATTGTAAAATGAATAAATAATCGCTTTCTACATAATAACATATGTTCTATACATCTTTTAATAATAAATAAACGAATGAGTATGTGTGCGTGTATAGTTCAACAACATTAAAAAAAACTAATTAAATAAAATAAAGCAGTTTTCTAATTAAAACCCTATTAAACACAATTGAAATTTCACTTTAAAAATAACTCAAGTATGGTACTATCTTTCAAGAATGATAACACATACATACATCAACCCCGACAACTATAAATAAAATAACAATAAAAACAATATGAGATAATATAAATAAAATAAAAATGCAATCGAACAAATATGTAAACCTTAAAATCCATCAAACTAAACGCTTCAGAGGGTTTTAAAAACTTTTTAAACTGAATACCATTGACCAAGTGGTAACATTTTGTTAAAGAAAATATTTCCCTATAAAGACTGTTATGTCTTCTAATTAAAACCCTATTAAACACATAACAGATTAACAATTGTCTAGTAAGCGTGAACATTTGGTCACACATTTGATGAATGAAAAATCTTGGTTGTGTCCAAGAATTATATGACGGTTAATCAGTAAACAGTAGTGAACAGAATACAAATTACATTACAATCATAGCAAGTAACAGAATCAATAAAGAAAAACCCGACTGAGAGATTATTTTATCTAACCATTAAGTTCTAAATATCATATGCACGTAGCCAACAAGTAAATTTACGAACATGTGAGAGCTTCATATGAAATGGAATTACGATGATATGATGTATAATAATGATAAGTATAAAAATATTATGCTGCAAATATTTTAAGTTTTTAAAAAATCATTAAAACTTTTAACAGAGAGTGTAATATTTGTATATAGTAAAATAATAAGTCATGCGTTTAATAATGAAAGCTTGACAAACTCATCGGTGACGAAGAAAAAGTTCAAATACAGTTTAAATGTACTTTCTTCCCTAAGGTTTCACCATGATGGGTGGGTAATGTATTACCTTAAAACTTTGAATAAAATTAACTCTTACCGTAACAACCACACTTAATTGATCACAGACAAGCTACGACGTAAAAACAGATAAAGGATTTAAAAACCCAACTTGCCAAAATACGAACAAGTTAACAGTTTGTTAACAAATTTAAAATTTTACATATACAAATTCAAATGAAACTTTTCCAACATATAATCTGATTTCCGATAAAAATTGGTAATTTGATGGTTCTTCACGTTGTTGTCCAAAGTTTGTTGAAGAACTCCATGAAAGAATCGTAAATCATGAACGTGATGCCCACATCCAAGCAGACCCTACTCAATCGAGGGATGGTACCTTTATAAAACCTTTTGAGTTTCCAAATTAAATTGAATTATTTTAACTATAATATTTTGGTTTCGATTTTTTATTTTTGGAAAATTTAATGTTTAGATATTTTAAACAACGTATTGGATTGGTTTACATAATATCTTTGTTATCTTCTTTGTTGTCTTTGTTATCTTTTTTCCGAAAAGATAAGAATAACAATAAAAAAATGATAATATCAATAAATTAAAAATAACAATAAATTAATAATAATAATATTAAAACTATAAAGCAGAAACTGTCTAGCAGTAAAATTTTTAGAACGACTTCACGTGTGCCAACAGAGAGATGTCGCTACAGAGTTAGGTCGTAAACTTTTAATTTTATGGTTACTTGTAAACAACGAATGTAACAACTAAATGATCTTTGTGATGTGCTAGGTATAAATAGCTGAATTAAATTCACTGAATCCAATTATATGAGATCACCTCTGATATGGCTGATTTTATTATTAGTAGGGATGACGTTAAAACGGTTGTCAAAGAGTATATTCGCGGGTTTAATATAGTGCAAGCACAGCGGAAAAAGTTAATATTGTTAGATAATTTAAAAGAAAGCCACGTTTTGAAAAATTTTACTGTAGATGAGTTCGAATACTTTGCAAAATTTATGATTGACATGGTATCACAGATTTCGAATGTTGATAAATGGCTTACAAAATTCAAAGAGCTGAGCCCCGACCAACAATACAACGTGATGCGAGATGCACAGAGGAGATTTTATTCCATTGAACAAGAACCTACGACTGTTAATGACGTGATTGAGAAAGAACATTTCATAGCAAGCATCACTCACACGGACTTCTTCCAATCAGCTCTACAGGATAATGACAAACTGACGCTGCCATTTTATGAAGAAAAGTTTATCGACAAGTTATGCCCAATATGTATGGAAGAATTCTGCGACGGATCGTTCGTGAGAGAACTGAAATGTCGGCATGCTTATCATATTTCATGTATCAAAGAATGGTTTAAAGTAAATTGTTCATGCCCTATGTGCAGGGTAAACATTCCGGCAGCGATAAAGATTAAATTTAACCACTTTATAGTGGACGGAGAAGAATTTGGTAAGGATATAGTGCAGATTAATATCGTCTCCCTGGCGATTGAAGGGCCGAGAAATGTTGAATAACAAACATTATTGAATAATTTCAAGTAATTAAATGATTTTAAATGTTTATAAAAAGTAAAAATGATTATTTATATTAATAAATATTGTGAGTGTCTGACGTAACTTCTATATTACATTTTGAACGTATTTAAATGTTTTTTCACGAAAACGATTAAAAACATCTCGCTTGTTGCATTGTCAAAGAACAAATACGTATGTCAACGTGATTATATTAAAAAAATACATACATACATACATACATGAATGCATGCATACATACATACATACATACATACATACAAAAGTTTGACGGTTCAGTGTCACTCATCATGTTTTGGTTTTAACATACATACAAAAGGAGGTGGCTCCTTATTTGTTTGGTGGAAGAATGGTTGCTCTGTTAAAAAAATATGGGGGTATCAGGCCAATTGTAGTTGGTCGTGTTTGGAGGCGTTTGGCTGCGAAATGTGCCATGCACATCATTAAAGACAGAGTCGTCCCCCTGCTTCAACCTCAGCAGGTGGGCGTTGGTGTTAGATGTGGCGCAGAGAGAGCGATTCACGCCGCTAGACGTTTTGTTGATAACATGGATGATGATGAATGTTTTTTTAAACTTGATTTTTCCAATGCGTTTAACTCTCTAAGGCGAGATCGCTTGCTGCTCACTGTGAAGTCGGTTGTGCCAGAGTTGTACAACTTCTCTTTGTCGGCTTATGATAAGCCATCCATTCTGTTTTTTAGTGGCACAAAGATTTTGCCAGAGGAAGGAGTTCAGCAAGGTGACTCACTGGGTCCATTGATTTTCTCTTTTTCAATCAACCCTCCGTAGAAGTCTTTGGAATCCAAATTAATTGTCGCCTACTTCGATGACATTTCACTTGGTGGAAGGATTGAAAATGTGCTGAGGGATTTGAATTCAATTGTGGGTCGTGAGAGTGATTTGGGTTTGAAATTTAACTTTAAAAAATGCAAATTCTTCACAAATTATCCAAACTTAATAGAAAATTTTTTCAAAATTAAACAGTTTTCTAAAAATGACATCGACTTTCTAGGCTCTTTCCTATTTTTTTGCAATAAACGTAATATTTTCTGGGGTGAAAAATTGGAAAAATTTAAATTTATTATGTCTAGACTGAAGGCAGTTTCGAAGCATGATGGCTTGACCCTGCTGCTGCACGCGGCGTACTTGCCTGGTTTGACTTTTTTTTAAAAACGTTGCACAGCCTTGATAGTATGATGCTTCAATGTTTTGATAAAACTCTCCGTGACGGCTTCCAATCAATTTTCAACGTTTCCCTTGACCCGAAAGGTTGGTTACAGGCAACCCTGCCCATTTCTGTTAGTGGCTAAGGTTTAGGTACCGTGGTGGATTTAGCACCTTCTGCTTTCTTGGCTTCTGCTGCTGCCACGGTTCCTCTTCAAAATTTGTTGTTTCCCAGGGATAAAATATATTCCGACAATTTCAGAACCTAAGATTTTGATGGGTTCCGGACCGTCCACAGAGCGGGGATTGGCATCGAAACCCGTTCTCAAAAGGAGTGGAACGCTCCATTTATCAGCCGCTCAGTTGCTAAGCTGCTGGATTTGAACCAATCAAACTTTGATAAAGCCAGGATAATAGCTGGTGCCGCTGCCTTAAGAGCCGCAGACTTTAAAAATTCAAAATATGCGGCTCTTGCAGATAGCAAAATTTTTCAGTCAGTCTGTATTGAGACCTTTGGTCCAACCGATTTTCAGACTCAGAGTTTTCTGAATGAATTCTGTAGCAGGATTGTGGAAGTATCGGGTGACCCATTAGATAAGAGTTATGTAGAGCAATCTTTCTCTATTTTACTTCAAAAATATGATTCTTTCTGTATTTTGGATGGAGCGTTAAAATATCTGTCTGTGCGAAGCGTTTAACATAGATTAAAGCTGAACCCGGATATTATTATTACTTCCTTATAGTTCATACGTACGTACGCACGTAAACAGTCCATTCTGTTTGAATGGACAGTTTAGTATCATTCATCAGGTTTTGGTTTTATCTATGCACGCATACATACACATTATCATGCATGTCATTTTAAAAACACATAACGCGAACTGATATGTTGAATAATTTGACTTTTACAAGCGTCTATCAAATTGAAGGTCCATGAAAACAACTAACGCCCTAGGTCCTTCGTGTTTCATAATTTGAACTGCACAGTCAAAGGTGTGTTTGTATTTGTGAGCTTCTAATCCCTGCATTTTGTTGTTTTGTACAAAAATTTACATAAATGAATTATAAAAACTATAAAAGTAGTAAAATTAAAAAAAAATTAACGTAAAATTGTTCGATTTACCGCAACAAGATGACTTTGTTGTACCATGAAGCACATATATCGACATAATAACAGAATGCCATTAAGGTACCTGCATTCTTGTCTTGACGACATCGAGAGGGGTGTTGCCAAAAACTGAACAGGCTCCAGCGATTGCTCCGAACAGACCTGTCCAAAGTTTGGACACTGGAGTGCTCGAGTGAGCATCGCCTCTGTACAACTCTTTCAACGACTCCACGACAAAAAATCTAGGTTAAAATTTATTAAAACCATTCAAACATTTTCATTTTAAAAAGATCATTTAAATTTTAGAAAAACGATTTTCAAACTAAAAGATGCACAGCTGAAGAAAGCAGTCCGCTCACAGAAGCACACAAGTGAACAAATCTCAGAACCTTATTGCTTGATTGGTCCCTTGTTTCATCATAGTAGCCGTCAGACCTTGATAACATCCTCTTAAGCCTTAAGAATTTAGATTACTTTTAACCAAGTTTCTAATTTTTATTCAATTTCATTTATTCATTCATTCATTTATTCATTCATTTTTTTGTTTTTTCGTTCGTTCGTTCGTTCGTTCGTTCATTCGTTCAATTCATTTCATGCATTTATTCATTCATTCTTTCGTCACCATTTTGTGTTATTCTAAGTTAGCCTCAAATAATAAAACGAAAACAATAATAAAAGAATTAAATAAAAAACAATAATAAAAGAAATAAATAAAAAACAATAATAAAAGAAATAAATAAAAAACAATAATAATAATCATTCTTGATAAGGTTTGTTTGACAAATACCTGTCTTAAATAGCATAAAGTTAAATTAAAAATAACACCATCTACCGTTCTGCTTGATAATCTCCCTGACGCCGTGGAAGAACCCTCTGTACTGAGGCCTGTCTAGGGTTTGATCGTGGATGAACTTCACTTTGACGGTCTCCATCGGGGTAACCACCAGAATGGCCTCGCTTATGCCGGCTCCTGCTCGCGTTAAATTTTATCTCAATCACAGCACGTTATGGTTTTATCTAACTTAAAATTATTCGAATTCTTTCATAGAAAAAATTTAAAACTTGTTCTTCTAATGAGTTGCTTTTTTATCTAAACGTTTATGTTTTATTTATTAAAACGTAAAAAAAATAATTTTAAATATAAATACGGAATACTTAGCGACCAACCTAGTCCACATAGAAATTTTCTCTGAGCTGTCAGGTTCCCATCGGGTCCGACGTTTCTTTTTTTGAACTCTTCAAACGAGCCAAACCTGTAATAGGTTTATAATAAATAATTATAATTAATTATAGTTAATTATAATTAATTATAATAAATTATTATTTTCTAATTTCTGTGCGTAGCCCTATACGATGATGAGAACAAAATGAACAACCTCAAATTTTATCCTATATCGATTTGTAATCAGATGCAGCAAACAATTTTAGCACTACAAACAAACATTTTACACTAAATGTTGAACTCTTTCTTGTCGGAACGCAAGACATGTTTGAAATGTTTATCATTTGAGATCAGACCCGTGAAATTTTTAATCTAATTTTCTTGTTGGTCGGTGTGACAACTAAACACACACGCTAACACACACATCACCCACACCACACACACACACGCACGCACACACATGCACACACACACCACACACACGCACGTACTGATTCTGTCCCATTCACGCACGCATCTGCTCACGCAGTTTTAAAAGATTTTAGAACACGATTGCGGTTTTGTCCCATCGCAACATACAACGGCATTGTTCAATTAATCTGAATTAATTAATGAATTAATAAATAATTAATTTGATTATGAATTAAAGTATTTTAAAATCTAATCTACATGCAAAATTAAATTGAAAACAAAATTGATTACAAAAAAACAAAAAACATAAAAATTTCAATCCAATTTATTGATAGTTAAGCGAGGGAAGAAATGTTTTTGTCTGAACATTATGAATGTGTGTAAATGGGCATTGATTGCCTGGTCTTATATGTTTTCGCTGCTCAGTTCTATACTATGCTGATACACTAATGTATTTATTGTTCTCTCTTCTTTTATAGTTCTGTATATTTTTTATAGTTATCTGTTACAAAAAATTCCGTGTCAAATATTTTAATCAAAATGCTAAAAAATTAAATAAAAATCAAGTTTTGTATCTGTATCCATCGCAGAAACGTGAAATTTGAAATATTTAGCAGCGAAGAGAAGTTCTAGTTTCATATTTGTCCAATCGATAGTGAGACACTAGGCAGAGCAAACATTTTTTGGATTAAACATCAGCGTATCGGTGATCTTCATAATGAAACCAGCAACAAATATCTTATTTGACAAGTGAAATATAATTACTTCCCGATATAGAATGAAAAAAAGAAAACCTCGATCATATATTTCTTCCACAAACTTCACTACAAAAAATAGTTTAATAATAAATTCATCCAGACAAACCTGACGGCGGATTTAGGGATGGAGCCATAGAGAAGGACACTTAGTCCTCGATACAAACCCTTGACTCCATGTTCCCTGACGGTCACTCTCACACAGTCAACAATTCCTTTGTACCTCCTCGTTACCCCCTTCTTCTCGTCCAGTTGCAGTTGCGTCTTGACGTACTCCGTGGGGAATGTGATGCAGATCTCGATCCCGCCTGTTATGCCGCCTGGGTAGGATGAAGATGTAGGTGAAGATTATTTTTGGAAAAGATAATATTTAAAAGGTTTGGGTAGTAAATTTTTTTTCATCTCATTGTGTTTGTAACGAATAGTTTTTAAAATGTTCGAAGTGTAAATTTTGTTTCATCACATTCTTACGTCCATTGCTGTTGATACAATATTGGATTAATGGCAAGTGTTATTTTTAATAAATTTTGATTATAATAATAATTTTGTTATCATTGATGTCGTCATATTCATTACCACCAACTTCATCGTCGTCATCACGCCACTATAATCAGCGTCCGAAGTAAGATCGATTTATTGATTTTCTTCCAACATTTCATTCATTCCACATTGCTCATGCAGTTAGATTGCATCTCTCAATATCTCTTCTGTCACACACACACACACACACACTCATACACACACACTCAAACACACACACACACACAGACTAAATCAGAAAAATAAACACATGATAGATATGATATGAAGATGCTTACATACAACAACAAAACACAAAACAAAAATATTTTTTATTTTATTGCGCTGTTTTACGATTACATTTTTCTTGTGCGTATGATTTTTGCAGTAAATCATACTAAATGATTAAAATTATTTTGTAAGAAAAGTGCAAATTATGAATATTTCTATACGAAAGTGCGATTGCGAATGATCACGTTTGTGCTGTTAAAAGTTTTCATTTATGTGTGTTTTGTGTTTGTGTTTGCACTGAAGGTTGTGTCAATGTTTGTATCTTTATTTGTACCTGTGTCTGTACCAATGTTTGTATCTTTGTTTCTATCAATCTGTCATATCAGTTTTTATATCAGTGTTTGTATGTCTGTTTGTATGCCTTTTTATGCCTTCATATGCCTGTATGTATGTCTGTTTGTATGCCCGTTTGTGCACATGGACGTGGTATGATTACAAACATCACATTTCCCTTGTGGACTGTTTGACAGATTGGATGAAGTTGTAAGCAATAAAGTAAGAAAGAACACACCGAAAATATCAAGACAAACTACAATACAAACAACCATCAATAAATAAATAAAAAAAACAATAAAGACAACAACCATCAAAGGATAAACAGGTTTTCAATAAAAACAACATCAATGACATCAATACTTGACAACATCAACGACAGCCAACAAAAACAACAATAAAATAAACAAAAGCAAACGACGCCTTAACAGCGCAAGACAGCAAAAAGACAGAACATCTCACCAACACATGTTAACGCCGATGTTTACGATTGCGATATGGTGTAGTGACTTTGTTGTCGTGATGTTAGTCATGAGGTGATAAAGATGATGATGAAACGCAATTTTATTTAATAACCAGAATTAGAAGAAATATAAAATCTGTCAAACCTACCTTTAAAAATCAACGCGCCCCGTCAAATTAAAGCCAACAAAAAAATATCTGGAATTGAAATAACAAACTTTTATCATAGCAACGGTTTGTTGAGCCCACAAAAAATATAGAAACATGAAATATGATGATGACAATTAAGATAGTAAAGATTGGATGATTAATTAATGATAGTAGAGAAACATTATGACAACTTCAACAACGATGATTAAGATGATTGTAATATGATGGAAAAGATTAACATGATGAATGTGGAATGATGATGAAGATTAAAATGATAACAAATTTGCTGATGACAATTAGGAGATGATGGTGAGGAAGAAGACGATAGTGTTGTTTGCTTATCAGCTCAATGAAGAGAACAGCATTTGACTGAATGTGTATGTCTTTGCTACGTTTGATGTTGGGAGTATGTTGGGATATTGAGTTTTCTTCTACCTAAGATATGTCATTTAGCAACGTTTAAAATATATATTCGTATGTTTTTTTCATCATTTCATCATCTAATAATGTTTATATTTTTTGTTGTCAAATCAATTTTTTAATTCTAGTCAAATTTTCAATTATTTTAAAATATTTTCAAAATATAACTTAAACACAATTGAAATGTTTATATAAAATGAAAAATTTATGAAATTACTGGTAGGAAAAACATATTTGTAGCAGCATTAATGTGTTGTTTGTTTCTTCTCTAGGTCCACTCATTCATATAAAATAATTGATACAATTAAATTTTTTCTCAAGCACTCTCAAACGCCGTCGTTTGATACAATAAGAAACGAACGTTCAATTTACTATGCCTCTCAATTTCATTAACAAAGTGTGCCATGTTTGTATACATTTAAATTCGCGAAATATAACTCAATAAACTTTCTGCGATTGGACTAATTTATTATCATCTTATATCTTTAAGTTTGTGGATAAATGTTTGATTGAGATTATTTATGTATTTTGAATAATGTAAAGATGATCACATGTACATTATTTGAAACCATTCAATACATCCATAAATGATGTTCCACCGGAGTTTGCAAGCATCATCATCTCATCATTTTGACGGGGCGTCATGAAATTGATTTGACTGACTGATGATGATTGCTACTTATGTATTGTACTTTCTACTACTGCTGCTGCTGCTGTTTCGCACACTCCACTGAACATTATTTGCTCTTGCTGGAAAGAAGATGTTTTGAAAGCATAACAGTATGGATTAAAGCATGTATTTAACAAAACTCAGAAATACCAATTTAGACTACGTGACTGGTCCAACTAACATTTTTTGTGTTATATGATCTTTCTGAAGATCTTAAACATTTTTTTTTAATTATTTGCTCTCTAAAACCACCAAATGGTATTCAAATTTTTTCCGACATGCAAGCAAAATTTCAACGAAAATTAAATTTTTAAAACCTTTTATATAAAATAAAAAATGTTTCAAACACAAGAATTGTCATTACCGAATTGAAATTTAGCTATATTTTTTACAGGTCCATCTATATTTATAGTTTTCGCTACTAGCAGAAAGTCAAAACCACGCACTTACCCTCACCGCACCAAACCAACGCAACTAGAAGCTGCCAACCTATCATTGAATCAGCAGTTGGATGAAGGAAAACGTTTCTCCACAAGAAAATTGCATCTTGCGAGAAAGCAAATTGCATGGTACGCCCCTTCCACGCACAGTGTACAGCACATTCAGTTGTGATGTGCCGATAATAACAAGCTTTTATCGGAGGAGTACATCAAAATAAATGCTTTGCAAACGTTTTGTATGTGAGAACTCTTCGTACCTGCGTGTGCGAAACAAATTATTTTGAAAGCATGTTCTTCATAGATTTCATTGCGTACAGTGCGCATGTGTATATTGCTTGTTATGACACTCGATAATATGGAAAAACGGAGGACAATTTACAAGATCACACATAAAGGCTAAATCAAAACAATATTTCATGCAGAAATTGTTCAGATCATTTATTTTGCTTTCGATTTTTAGATAATTGAAAAAGAAATTTTTTATTATATAAATATGTTGAAATTTCAGCAAAACAATTAAAATAAAATATTTTCAAGTAAGTTTTGTTGACAAAAATCAGTTCAAACAAAGAAACTAAATATGCACCGAAAAATATTTTGCTGTCATTCAACGTTGAAGAAGTAATATTGGTCGCACGGAAGACAGCGAAACAAATTAGCCCTCATTGTCCGCCCACAATGGAACATATGCTGCTGCTACTGCATGACTGTTGGTTCACACAAAAATTTGTTTACAACTTTACGTCGCTGAACCAGCAAACACTTTGGGTGAACAAGACAAAAATGTGAACTAACTAAAAAAACTAGATACATCAAATGATAACGAAGGGACAATCAAATTGAATAAAGAGTATTTGTAGTGTATTTATTAGAATTTATTTTGTGAAAAGTTCATAAATGAATTTTCAACTAAATTATTTCAACTTAAAAATTGTACGCATTTGATTAGTAGGATGGATGATGTATGTTCTAAAAAATTGTACGCATTTGATTAGTAGGATGGATGTATGTTCTAAAAAATTGTATTCAGTAGGCAAGAAGTTTTGTGATTCCCGGTAGAGCGATAACATTATTCTCCGGCTTGCATATTTCTTCAGCCTTCACGATTCTATGGGAAAATTTGAAACCTGCAGCTTCTTCACTCTCAAAATCACAACTGAATACATTTCCAGTCTTGCTTTCTAAAAAAATTTCAACGTTCTTTTGCTAACGACAAGTAAAAAATCTTATACATCAAAACGACACGTTTGAAAAAAATATTCTCTCATATTATTAGCAATAATAAAATTAAAGTTCAGTCAAACATTTACGAATCAGTCAGACAGTACACAACAATCAACAATCCAACCAGGAAGTCATTCGCGCCTCAACAATAATCACGACGAATGAATGATTTGTCATTAAGACAATTCAATATTTATTCAAATTCTATCCTCAAATTAGCAAACTCCTTCAAAATATAATATGTTGAAAATTATTTTTTTTTTAGTTATAATAAATGCTATATTTTTTAGAAAATAATAAATGAAACCTCAAAGAAAATGATATGACAATCATCGCTCCCACTTACACGTGCATAAAGTATAATTAACTACAATGTAATGTAGTAAATATAATATTTCATGCATTGTTGTTTTATCCGTTACATAAAACGTAAATATTTATTCCAGGTTTCAAAAATGAATAATAAAAGTTTATGAAATTCATCAAGCTGTGTAATTAAAAAAATCCCCTAAAATAGATAAGGAATGGTTGAAACAAATTTACCAATATTGGATAGCAGTATAATATTCATAACGAGATTCATATTGACACAAACTTAAACTAACAACTAAGTAGTTTGTTGAGTACCCTTCAATGTTATGCTATCAAACATTTGATTAGACGAGATGAGTTTTAGAAGCAAATCTGTTAGTGCTGATTGGACTGAGGTAAAGAACTTGCATTATTTTATCAGTGAAGTTTTATTTGATACCCTATCTGATTATGAAACGAATAAACATAAAGCTCTCTCTCTCCCCCTCTCTCTCCCCCTCTCTCTCCCTTTCTCTCTCTCTTCCTCAAAATGTTGCAGGCAAACCAATGATACCGAAGTATTTAAATTAAAAACAAAATTTCTATTATTTTCTTTAATTGTTAGTTTGACAAAACTCGTTAGCACATATTGAAATTATAAATTTTTTTGCTTAAATGTCTGCTGGTTGATTGATCAAATAAAATCACACAAAAAATACCAACGATAACGGCATAACTCGCAAATTATTTCAAGAAAATTTATACATAAAAAAACATTTCCAGATCCACACACACACACCAAGACACGCCACACCACACCACACCACACAACACGAAACCACACACACACACCAAGACACGCCACGCCACACCACACCACACAACACGAAACCACACACCACACGGACTAAAACACAACTTTTTAATATATGTAAAAATGCGAATAAATGTGGCGTTTTTAGAGGCATGGGAGCTCTAATCAATATCAACTTATTTGCATGTTATATTTCTCATATTTTTCAGCTGACGGCGTAAATATTAATATTTTTATAATTTGTTTAATTTTAATTATTTTCTATTTTGACTATTCATACATGTAACACAATGATTTTAGTAAAATCTAAACATTTAAAGGGGATGTATGAATTTTTAAGTGTTTTATTTTAACATATTAAAGTCTAAATTGATTTGTTGAGATTTGTTTAAAAAAGATGAATGCCAGATTGAATGAGATCCGAATAGAAATAAATAATTCACCCATTTTTAATATTAAAATTCATGAATGGAAAAAACACGTATCTCCCCCAAAACACACACACACACACACACACACACACACACACAAATTTTAACTACAATTTTCTAACAAAATTAAATACCCTAGAAATCGTAATAAGAACATCAACCAACAAACCAGCAACAATTCCTTTTAATGTTTTCTGTGACGGTAGAGCGTTGGGCATTGCCAGGATTTGTCCTTGGGAGGATGTGGTTCTATACGGGAATGGACTTCGAAATATATCCCCCTTGTTTGCCATATTCTTCTTATGATAATCTTTTATTTTAGTTTTTGTGATGGATTTTTCAAAAAATATTCACACATACGTTATGTTTGCTACATAATAAGTCAATATTGACATGAACTTATGAGTTTGTTTCCTAGATGTTATAAGCAGTCTATACGAACAAACCAAAGATTTTTTATGCTAATACGAATAATTTTAAATCCGTTTTCGTGAAACAATATTTGGCAGAATTTGGCATGGTATATTTTTTCTAATAAAACTAGTTTTGACGACAATTCTAAATATGAAAATCTTCTGCATCACGTCCAAACGTAATGCTAATCAAAAAATTCAGGACGAGCATAACTCTCCTCACAAAACCACCACCATTATTAAAATCACCACAAATATTACCAATATGATAAGAAGAAATTAAAATCATCAAATTAAAAATGAAAATAAAACAATTTAAAAAATTAATTCTATTTCGTCCTAAACGAAATTAAACAGAAAATGACAACATCTGATTATATCAACTGAACCTCTCTACATTTTAAATACACCTCGTTCATAAGTCATTTTACTTCGTTCTATTAATACTATTGGGTATATATGTATTATATATATATATATATATATATATATTTAATGACTTAGATGTTATATAAATATATGTATATATATATATATATAACACATGTGCGATATATACTAATGTAATGAACACACACGCACAAATCTACACATGTTTATTGACAAATGCATCACGAGAAGTTGTACGATTTTTTGTAATTCTTCGCATGCTATGATATATCCATACACACAAATACAAACATGCACACACACGCACACACACATACACACAAATGCACACACACACACACAAGCACACTCACATACACACAAATGCACACACAAACTTATATATGTTATATACTAATTACAAATAAGTATTTATGCATTATACATGTATAAATAAATGTGGTTATACGATTGCTTACTAGCATTCGCGTTCTTAAGTCTTACATATTATTAACAATATATAATAAACAGCTGATCAGCTGATGATGGTCTAGCACTAGACAAACAAAACTGAATGAAATGCATGCTTTCAATTAATAACATGGCGTGGTAGAAAGTTTCATATAAAAATTGTGTTTACATATTATGGTGATGTTCTTAGCAAGCAGTGCATCTCAAAAAAATCAAAGTTTAAAGAGATAATTTTACATAGTTACTACACTTGTATGCTATACTGTGTTTGTTCTCGGTTGTTTATTATTTAGCATAAGGTAATGTTGGCAATACGATATGACACACGCCAACAAAGGCACATGTTGGCATAATATCATATAATGATTTCGTGGTTTAATTGTGTGATATTACTGAAATCGGTGACATATAATTTTGATATATATATATATATATACATCGCTAGGTGTTATTATTTCTTTTGTTTTGGTTTATAACTCAAAATTTCACGGATGTAACTTGATTTAAAATGTTTTGATCTTATTCCGACAATGAAAAAGAGGCTGAAATGTGAAAATTGTTCGATTTAAACAATAACATCAATCACATTAAACGATCGATATGGTATTTCATACACTTTCTATGACATATTGAACGTTTTAATGAGGTTTAAGACGGGCCTTATAAATGTGCATAAATCGTGCAGTGGGAATGAAATTCAACATTTAAATGAGTACCAGACGATCGATTTTTAAGCACACAGCTAGTGTTATTGTAGGATTTTTAAATTTCCATCTGCTCACCATTATAATACACCCATACTTTCTTGGTTGCATTTGATCATTTAGTCGGTGTGTGTTTGTGGGTATTTGGTTTTATCGGTATTTTTTGTATCGGTATAATGGTATCTGTTCGGTACTATGTACTGGTATTATCGTATTCAATAATAACAGGTGTTTGATTAAATGGAATTTTTAATTGATATTTACTTAAATCTTTCTTATGATAATTTTTTTTTGTCATTTTACTAATTAGACTTTGCTTGTTCATGAAAAAATGATGATTTGATCGTCTGAAGTTTAAAACATGAACCCTTGAACAAAATAATTTTGAAATAAAAAATATTAATCAAATTTTAATTAAGTTAAAATAGTATTTGTCAAAATTTTGAAATTTTTTGTTGAAAAACCAACTCAAAAACTATTCATTTTCCCTTTCCAAGCCTTGCATAATAAGCTATCAATTAATTGTGCAAACCACACTCATGTGCGGACAAAAATTTGTCGCATAATTTTTTTTGGTTACTTTTTAGATAAACATGTGACTAACATACATATATCACAAAACATTCGTTTAATTGAGAAAATAATATTTTAAAAAATTGTATCTTGTATGAATGATTATATTGAAATTTACGTCAAATTTTGTGACCCATAGCACATAGTAGGCCTACTATGATGATAAGATGGTAAAAGTTGTTTTGGAGTCTTTGTTATTTTTAGTGACAAAACTTAGTTTTGTTGAAAATTAATTATGGAAAAAATAAATAATTTATTATTAATAAATTATAAAAAATTTTGAAAGATTCATTGGTTGCAGGCTTTGTATTCTTTGAATCACAATGGACAATATGAATAGTGTTACAAATTGAAAAAAAAATACTTGAATAATATAATTAACACTTCAATTGAAAATAACTTTTTAATAAAACCTTTATTGGCTCACGGCTAATGTAGTAAAAATCACAAAAATTGGCAAATATCATTAACAGTGTGGTATCAAAAGAGTTCAGCTATACAGTAAAAAAAATTAAAACTCCTTCACTTTCTCTATAATAATCTCAATATTAATAGTCACGGAGAATGACATTTATGTTTTTAAATGTACAACTTTAGAGAATTGAAAAGTTAGCTGGTTGGTTTTTGATTGAAAAGTTGAACGATTGAATCACTGTTGAAGTATGTTACGTGAAATTAAAACAAAATGTTTTTAATAAATCCATTAAATATATTGATGAGAAGAATTGAGAAGATGGTTTGAAAATTCTGTTTTGTAGCATGTAGGGCTGTACTATGTCGTCGTTGTGGTATAAAAGTCTACACATTTTTAAAAGGTTCATACATTCAATATAGGACCGCTAAACGACTCATCATTGTTTGCAGAACATGAAATTTAACCTTACAAACGAATTTTATTTTTATTTGTTTCGACATAATTAACAAAAATTTTCCATAAATTTTCCAACTTTGCAGTTTAGGTCTTAATAACATTTCGTTGTGAACTACTAAATGGCTATTTTAATGTTTTATGATTGATACGGTAGGCTAGTTTTTTCCTAAAATCTGACTTACATCGCAAAATATTTGTTTATTGTTATTATTATTATTCTGTCTTAGATATTTCTCGAAGGTTAACATTTTGGTAGTTTCATATTTTGAAACAATTAACACATTCAAATCCACAATACTTAATTACATTTTTTATGTTTGGGTTTGCTTAATTTGAAATATGCAATATCTTTAACGAGGGAACTCTCGACAGAGTTTGGCTATGTCAATAGACATTTATTTGTATGGTGTTGTTGGCCTTGTATTGTTTCTTATTGTTGTTGTTTTTGATGTTATTGGATTGATGTTATTGTTGCTGTTTTTGATGTTATTGCTGTTGACGTTGTTGAGAAACTGTTGTTGTTGTGTTGTTGTTGTTGATGATGTATATGGAGTTGTAGGTAGAAAACAGCAAGGATGTTAGTTAGACCTGTGTTTGCATGTTTGCATCTCCGTAGCCATCAATGTTTAGCAGTTGACCGGGCGGACAGTAGGAGTACTAAAATTTTTATTTTAAACATTTTTAAGTAATTTGAGTATTTGTAAAATGAATCGTTATCTCAACAGGCTCAAATGTACATTATGAAAGAGCATCATAGGCTGTGAAAAACATACAAATCCCAAAAACATGTTAAAAAACTACGAAGTTTGTAAAATATTAATAAATTTTCACAAACATTATTATTTGAAAAAAATTCTCGTCCTTGAATTTAAAAAAAATTAAGGCCACTTTAAACCCCAAAGTGATGAAAACAACACAACAAGGACAAAAGCTGAAAGACTAACAGTGGACACGGTCATGTTGGGAGGCAGGTCTCCGGGCTGGGTGTCCGGCGTTTCATTGCCTGAGAAGGTTTCTTGCGGCTGCCCCGTTAACGACAGACGTGCCACCGATCGAGCCGCTCGAGCAAATGACATCTAACGAACGATAATTTTTTACGGTTTCAAAAAATAATTAAGAAAAATGTTGTGTTATTTAGAAATTATTTAATATAAAAAGATTTAAAAATTCAATGGTTGATCAAAAAATATCGATACAAAGCAAGGCTATAATGTAATAACAATGTCACGTGATATAACAAACCTTTTTCCTCTTTGCGTCAAGTCTAGTTTTATGGAAGAACTCAATGGCGGCAATGAAGAGAGAAAGTATGAGCCCACTCATGAGGATGTAGAAGATGCCCGCTACGTTCGAAAGCTTCAACGAACTTGTCGCTTCTTGCTGTACTCAATCATGAATATTTCATTTTCCTAGTTAAAGTTATTCCAAAAGTGACTATCATTTTATTTGAAATAAAACATAACATTTGTGAAAGTTATTTTAGAGCAGAGTAATTGCTCATTTTGTATCTATGTCATCGTGTTACAATTTTTTTTAGAAAAAACCTTTTTGGGTGGACCTTCTTTGCCGCATTCGCCTTTATCGTACCACCATTTTGTTTGCAAATTAGCCAACTCGCTTTTTTCGTGTAGTTCTAAAACAGACAATGTAATGCGATCTCTGTGATAAATTGTTTTCAAAAACTTTTATTCAGTTTCAAAAAACGAATAATTTCAGCATACATGTACAACACCTGAGATCCGATCCCATAGGGGTGCCTATACCATATCCCTTGGCATCGAGATTGCTCCCAACCTTCATGGTGTCACAGGGCTTGCGCTGGTTGGTGTACTCGTTCTGAGTGGACTCGGTGAGGAATGCATATTTTCCTTTCTTCTCTCTCACCAGGTTCACCCCTGCATCTGTCGTGTCAACGAAGACCCATGGTTCAGTGGACGACATGAAGGCCCACATCCGCTCGTAAGTCGGAATCGTGGATTTCTTAAATAATAACATTTTAAATTAGTCACAAATAATTTTTAGAAATTGCAAAAAATTAATGAAAAATTTGCTGAAAATATTTAAGAATTCAAAAAGTTTGTTTAGATCTAACATTCTAAAAGCGTTGCCTTTTGTTTAAAAAAATCACACCTTGAAAAATCCTTGCGTCGACCCGCCTTTAATAGTCCCATACTTGATTTCAGTTTGTTTGGCGAGATCTTCAGCGGACTCGATGGGTGACTGCATACGTTCCGAGGTGAGGAAGGCTGCCAGGTTGGCAGTGTATGACGAGATGAGAATGAGTGTGAAGAACCACCACACACTGCCTACGATGCGACCTGACATCGACCTTTGTGAAAAAGTTGAAATATCATTTTTAAACAAATTGATTGTTTCATTGTGTGAATTTTTGTTTAAACTATAAAAAATAAAACCTTGGCTCGATGTCGACCCCTTGCTGCATGAAGGCTCCCAGAGAGAACCACAAGCTGTTGAAAATGGTGAAGTTGTTGGCCACAGAGTCCTGCTTGTCGTCAACGTGCCACTCAAAGGGACTGAACCTGCTAACCAGGAAGAGGACGACACTGACTCCGATGTAGGCAAATATGATGCACATCCAGACTTCGTTGGAGAGAGGGTTCATGAAAGAAAAAAAGCTCGGTGGTTTCTTGGACATTTTTTTGATCATGATGCTGATGCCCAGACTCATGAATGGCTTAGAAAAGTCGATGACGCTTTCACGATCTGCTGTTATAGTCAGTGGAGCGATCGCCATATCAGCTTCCTAAGGTTAATTCAACATTAATTGTTTTTAAACGTAGCGTAAAAATTACTGTTTCAACAAAAACTCTATGACAGAATTGTCAAGTTTAAATACTTTTCAAAAACATTTATTATTGGTATAGAAAAGTATTAAGGTGTTTTGTCAATAATTAAACAAACGCTTGGTAATTTGTTGAAATAATGCTATTAAACAGGTTGATGTTATTGAACAAACTCATTAGAATAAAATTAAAAACTTTTAATTTTGATTAAAAACATTTGTAAAAGAACTTTTTTTGGAAATCAATTAAGCTAGCCAAATTGTTTTACACTTGTCAACAAAATCCAACCCCTCTCAGTAACTCTCCAACCATTCCATCCCACGTTCCAGTGTCATTACTTCCATATTTCTTATCCTTTACGGGAATTATTTTGTAGTCAAACTTAATCATTTCAGCAATCATTTTGGTCAGATCGGCACAGTATCCTTCGTACTTGCTGTTACCTTCCAAGCCAGGTTCGTTCTTCAGCATTAAAAATGGAGCCGACTTGATAGATTAAAAAAATGGTTTGCATATTTTTATTAAATTATTTCATTAAATATTTTTAAACAAATATGAAAAATATAACATTAAAAAACTTACAAAAACGGATGTTACAATCCTGGTCTTGTTAGCAATGGTGTTATTACCTTTTGTTCTCACGTGGGCATTTTGTATCACAGTCAACCCATGTTTGGAATCCCACGTTCCAAACTTTAATTTAAAATAGATAAATATTATTTTGAAATTGTTCTGGGAATTATGATTCTATTGTATTAAAAGTTGACCTTCATCAGTGGGCCATTCAACCTACTCTCGAGGACTTCTAAGGTGAAATGTTTCCGCAATCCAAATCTGTCAAAAATGAGAGGTCCCGTGAACAAGCCTGTCAGGTTTGTCTGCTCATAAATTTTTTACATTTTATAATATTAGAAACTCCATAAAATATCGCTAAAAATTTAATTTGTATGGATAATTTAAATCAAATTTTGTTAATTGAAAAAAATTCAATATTATTCCGCTTAAAATAAATTGATGCAATTCCATATTCATCGTAAAGAAATCATACACGCACAACAAATGACATTATTTATAATTTATTTGAACCTCCTTTAGAGCTTTCATGACTTCTTCTCCATACTTCCAGGCAGTAGTGGGCTCTGTCTCGCAGCTCAGAGACTCGCCAAAAACTCCATTGCTGTTAGGTGAATGATCGTTTAGGGGTGTTTTGTGCTTGAAAACTTTCGCCAAGGCGTGGGCCATGAGGAACGCTGCATCAGCAATCAGGGCAGCTTCACCCTGTGAAATTATTTTTTTTGGAAGCAGAATACAAAGAAGTTGCCGCAAAACTTCTTTGTATGTAGCAATAAAATTTTTGCACTGGGATGACTTTTTAAATGGCTATTAATGAATAATTTATACGAGCATTGTGATTAAAAAAGTTTGAAAAACTTAAAATATTATAGGTATCGTGTTGTTATGTGCATTAAATTTAGGTAGGTACTTTAGGAGAGCAAGTTGGATGGACAATGTACATGTACACATTCATATACTATCACAAATAACTCATGACAGATCAACTAAGAATTTAAATTCACAGCGTAATATCGAGTCCAACAAAAACTTCAATTTAATAGTCAACAATCCAAAAATGATGTGGTAAATGTGAAAGTTTACAGGCATAGGCAGATCCTGGGTGATGACCTCGTCAAAGTAGAACGAGTACCAGTTCCTAACGAGACTTTTCTTCTTGCCACTGTCCACCAAGCAAAGACCTGTTACGTTGAGACCACCCAGTGTGAAGGCCTTCGAAATCATCTCGTTCAGGTTCTGGCGGAGTTTTATTTAAAGAAATTAAAAAAATTTTTTTACGAACTTTAAGTTTTGATTAACAAGATTCTTTCTATATTTTAACTTGGTAAATTTTTTATATGAAAATTTAAAATCTTCATTCAATATTAAATTTTATAAATTTTATTAGAAACTAAAAAATGGAACAAAACTTTAAAATATTTTTTTGCTCAATGAAATAAATCTCACCAATCCAACAAGTATGATAACGTGTTTCACGTTCTTTGATGTATTCAGCTGTAAAATTCAGTTTAGAAAAACACTTGGAATTAATTACTTAATCGAAAAATAATAATCCAACATCGAAACTAATAAAACTAGTTTTACTTCGAATGTTTTGTTGATAACACTTTCAGTTTCCTGAGCTGGTAGGTCAAGGAGAATGCGTTTGTAATCCAGGTTGTTAATTTTCGCCAAGGCATCCAGAACACCTGAGGCATTCTCAACTCGGTAGACTTTTATCTTGAGAGGGTAATTTTTTTCTGTGATGATGTCAAACAGTTGTTGGATACGTTCCAGTCCTGATTTTAATTGATTGAGAAAATTAATTTAGTTCGTTCATGAAAAAAAACAGTGAGAAACTTTTTTTTCACAATTACAAATATTTTAGTTAGTTCGGTTTTTTTAATGAAAAATATAATGTTTTGGAAGATTGATAAATAATTAAACTAATTAAAAAATTGAATTTTAATTATTCAAATATTGATACATCTAACCAAAATGAAATTTTGTATTTAGAATAAATAATTCAAAGAAACCTTCGTTCGTTGAATAGAAGTAGAAAGCTTCCCTCCACTGGTAATACTTGATGAGATCGAGTAAGGCTCTGACGTACAATGGACGTACAAACAGCTGGAATCCGTGCTCCTGCTTCGAGTTGTTCACAGCCATGGCCGTTGTAATATAGGGCATGTTGAAGGTGTTGCTGTAAGATTTTATCGTGTTCAGAGTGTTGCTTGTGTGCATGCCGAAGAGAGCCACGATTTTTCTCGTTACTAAATTGCAGACTGTTTTAAATTGAAAAAATGTCATCTTAAGATTCTGAAATTTTTAAAATTAATCACATTTCAATAGATTTTTAATTTAAAAATGTTTTGATTTAAAATATACATAAAGTTTAATTGTATAAATATTACAAAAGAATTTTTTTAAAACTTGATGAACATCTTATAAAAATCAGACAAACAAACTAACTAGATGTGCCAACTCTGAAACTGTTGTCCATATTGACTTGGCTGATCTCCTCATCAAAGTGATTGCGCTTCTTATCCTCAACCAACTTGGTCTGGTAGTACTTCCCGACGCCATATCGAATCATTTTTATTATATCATACTGCTTCGATTTCTCACCGTCCAACAGGACACCTCCATATTTATACATTTAACATTAAATATTGTAAATAAAAAATAAACATTTATTGAAATTAAAAATGAATTTGAATGGCCAAACTTTAACAATAAAAAAAATTTACAATTTAAAAATTACCGATAGAAAATGTGATGTTTCTTTTGTCCGAGTTGCAAGAAACTGACATGAAGAGCAACAGAATGTGACATGTTATCAGCAAAAAAATGCTTTCTACGTTCATGGTTCTTGTGATTTTGATTAGAAAATTCTTTAAGAAGTTTTTTTTATAGCTAAATATTTCGTACCCACATATCTTCAAAAGTCATTATCTGGTTTGGTCATCTAACACGTTGAATATTATCAACTCTTTATTCAGTCAAATAGCCTTGAAATGTTTTGTGTTAGAGAAAAGACACGCAAATCAATTGGACGAGAATGGTCATCGGCTAAATATTCTCAGGATTTGAGCAACAGCATCTTCATTATAATATGTTAATAGCATCCTCATTATAGTATGGTAATGATTGTCCAGCCGCAATATGATTATGCATCCGGTCGTTTGTGTTATCTATGAATGAATAGAAAGATGAAGATGTAAATATTATTCTTTAAATTTGAAAAAATTACTTATTAATATAAATATACATATATAAGATAAGTAGAACGTGTTTTTGAATCCACAATTACATGTTCAAAACATAACAATGCCCGGCAAATAAGAGTGCGTAAAATAGATAGAAATGTTTATGAAAACAGCATCATTCAATATTTTATGTTGTACATGCATTCATCTACTTAAATTCAATTCATAATAATTTATTGACAATAACGCACATCTGTGTAGGATTAATTTTGTGTGTGCGTGTGTGCATCTGGCTGTTGATGACTAGTCTGATTGTATGCCGATGTACACAAACTGAAGCCGAGCACGTGTCTTCCAGCTTATCGTACGGTTTGTTTGTACAATGTTTTGCCCTCTTCATAGTTTTGTTGCCGTTACATCGTTACATTCAAATTACTTAAATAGGAATCCGTAATTTAGTAATTTTAATTATTCAAATACTAAATAACTAATGTTTTTTACATTCTCTCCCTTCTCTTCACATACATAGTCATTATGTCTTTTCAACTTTAAAAAAATGCGTAAATACATTTCTTCAGTGGATTAAACTTAATAAATCTGATATCATTGATATTATCAACCCTGTAACAAACAGTCAATTGAAAATATTCAATCTCAACCGTTAGCTTAGGCACAGGTACAACGTACGTTCATTTTCATCATGACATCTTAATAACGTGCACTTAATGGTGAGGAGGGGAGGCTAGGGTAGCAATTTTGGTTTTGGAATGCTAATTGTTTCGAATTTATGATTAAATTAGTGTTGTTATTATTTTTATCGTTATTAACAATGACAAACGATTTAAAATTGTTAAAAATTTCTTTGAATCAAAAGAAAAATATCAACTACCTAGTTTATTTAAATATCTTAGAAATTGAAAAAGTATTATGAACTAGCGTATATGAAACACTTAACACCACAAAATGCTATCAGAGGGCAATGGTAATAACAAATTGTTTAAAAAGTAATTTTCAACTCCATCAACCCAAAACGTTTTTGGTCCACTGTTAATTGTTTTAATATCATAAAAAACATTAAAAGACTGAAATAGAATGAAATTACATAAATGTAATGATTACATTAATGTAGTAAAAAAAAATAAAATAATGTTCTCTTGTTGCTATATTTTGTGTGCAATCTCATTGTAAATTAATTGATCCCATTTAGGCATCTATAACAAGGATACAAGAACGTGATATGAAAAAGTGACAAATGATTAACTGCTGAAAAATTGATGGTTCACCAGAAGCAACAAAATTAAAATAATTTTTTTTTGATACCACAAAGTTCTAGAATGAAAAATTAAATTTCTTCTTGAACACTTCTGTAAAGTTGTTTCAAATTTTTAAACTTCAATCATGATACAACGGAAACAATCACAGTAAATAATTTCAATAACGAAATGATAACAAAATTTGATAATGTATCAAAAATATAAAATTTTCAATTGATTTTAAAAATCGTAATGAAAAAAAAACTGTTTTATCGTAAATCCTTAAAATCCTTGGTAAGCATCATTCTAATACTAATACTAAAATCTATTGATTTTGTACTGACAACAACTTGGATATCTTCGCCTCTTGCACAACATTATTCAACATTGAATAGGTACTATAAATATATATATATATATATATATATATATATATATATATATATATATATGCATACGTCATTTAATAGATGTCAAAGTATATGTGACTGTGTTATTGCTTAGAATCTATATTTTAGTTTATCGTTTTTTAACAAAACTGGTAAAATTATTTATTTATTGAAAAAAAACACGGCCGACGAAGAATTTATAAAAAAGTATTTGAAAGATTTGTACTATTTGTTCGTTACCACTGAGCCTGCATGTTAGACTTGTGTTTGCATGTTCGAATCGCCATAACCATCGATATTCAGGAGCTGACCAGGTGGTGGTCCATACGAGTACTGCTTGGGTTAGTCATGCAAGTGATTTTTAAAAAATGTTAACCAAGGTTAAATAAATGAAACAAGTATTCTTATAAAAAAAACTAGATCTAAGCCAAAAATAAAATTCCATCCCAACCACATATCTATCTGCAAAGGCACGTTTTATATACACATTGCTCATGCAAAGCACGTTTATGCACATTTATAAGAGAATTGACATAAATATCGAATTTTTGTGTGTGTGTGTATATTTATCTGCATAAACTTTTAGATATTTCAACACTCAAGCATCCACACACAACTAACAGTAGACATGTTCATGTTAGGAGGAATGTCCCCGGGCTGGCTGTCGGGTGTTTCATCGGCTGAAAAGGGTTCGTGTGGCTGGCCCGTCAGCGACAGACGCGCTCCTGACCGAGCCGCGCGAGCAAACGACGTCTGAGTGGTTGAATGGTTGGGCTTTTTATTATTCAATGTAAGAATATTATTGTGTATTAGGTATCGTCGGTTCACAGCCGATAAGTTTAGCCACATAGACAAAGGACACATTCTTGAGAAAACCATTGCACGTTGTTGTTTAACTGGTGTCTGAGGCAATTTTGCCAGATAAATTTTGATTTACTTTTAAAATCGAAATTTTTTTTAACTTGCACAAAAGACAGAATAATAAAATAATAATTCCATCAAATTTATATTTATTACGGATGCCAAACAATTGCTAAAGTTCAATTAACCAAAAATTACTCAAACTTTTCGTTTCTTTGCTTCATGTCTTGTTTTGTGAAAAAACTCGATGGCTGCGATGAACAGTGAGAGAATGAGGCCTCCCATGAGAATGTAGAAAATGCCCGTCACGTTCGGTAATTTCAACGAGCTTGTAGCTTCTTGCTGAATAAAGTATTTCAAAATTTTAAATGTTTTTTTAATTTACAGTATTAAAAATTATTTTTTAATATATAAAAGATAGCAGAATTTTAGTTAAGGTAATTTTAAAATTAAAATTGTTTTTAAAAAAAAATTAGAAACAATAACAATTTTTTAAGAAACTTTTTTTGGCGGTCCTTCTTTTCCACATTGACCTTTATTGAACCACCACTCCGTAAACAGCGTGGCCAGTTCACCTGTCTCGTGCAACTCCAAGACTGAAAGTGTAATGCGATCTCTGTGAAGAATTTAATAGAAATAGTTCAGAATTTTTAGCGAGAGAAACATTTTCTTGCAACTGAGGAATAAATTTTACCTGAGATCCGATCCCATTGGCGTGCCTATACCATATCCCTTGGCATCGAGATTGCTCCCAACCTTCATGGTGTCACAGGGCTTGCGCTGGTTGGTGTACTCGTTCTGAGTGGACTCGGTGAGGAATGCATACTTACCTTTCTTCTCTCTCACCAGGTTCACCCCTGCATCTGTCGTGTCAACGAAGACCCATGGCTCGGAGGATGACATGAAGGCCCACATCCGCTCGTAAGTCGGAATCGTGGATTTCTTGAATATTAAAATTTTAAATTAGTCACAAATAGTTTTTAGATATTGTAAAAGAATAATGAAAATTTGCTGAAAATATTCAAAAATTCAAAAAGTTTGATTAGATCTAACATTCTAAAAGCGTTGCCTATTATTATAAAAAATCAAACCTTGAAAAATCCTTGCGTCGACCCGCCTTTAATAGTCCCATACTTGATTTCAGTTTGTTTGGCGAGATCTTCAGCGGACTCGATGGGTGACTGCATACGTTCCGAGGTGAGGAAGGCTGCCAGGTTGGCAGTGTATGACGAGATGAGGATGAGTGTGAAGAACCACCACACACTGCCTACGATGCGACCTGACATCGATCTTTGTGAAAAAGTTGAAATATCATTTTTAAACAAATTGATTGTTTCATTGTGTGAATTTTTGTTTAAACTATAAAAAATAAAACCTTGGCTCGATGTCGACCCCTTGCTGCATGAAGGCTCCCAGAGAGAACCACAAGCTGTTGAAAATGGTGAAGTTGTTGGCCACAGAGTCCTGCTTGTCGTCAACGTGCCACTCAAAGGGACTGAACCTGCTAACCAGGAAGAGGACGACACTGACTCCGATGTAGGCAAATATGATGCACATCCAGACTTCGTAAGACAGAGGATCCATGAAAGAAAAGACGTTCGGTGGTTTCTTGGACATTTTTTTGATCATGATGCTGATGCCCAGACTCATGAATGGCTTAGAAAAGTCGATGACGCTCTCACGATCTGCTGTTATCGTCAGTGGAGCGATCGCCATATCAGCTTCCTAACCATTGTTAGCACAATAAACAATAATTTATTAATGAGCAATTTTTCCAAGCGAAACACACAATTTTTTTTAAACTTTATTATCGTATGAAACATTTTTTTTCAAAAGTAAAATTTTGGTAATTTTATGACAGAAAACTAACAGACGTAAGTGTGAAAAAGATTTCTCACCCCTCGTAGCAGCTCTCCAACCATTCCATCCCACGTTCCGGTATCATTGCTTCCATACTTATTGTCCTTGACCGGCTGCAGTTGGTAATCGAATTTTATTAAATCTGCAATTTTTTTCGTTAAGTTGGCGCAGTAGCCTTCGAATCGATCGTTGCCAACCAAATCAGGTTCTGTCCTCAACATAAGAAAGGGAGCAGACTGTAAAAATGATTTGAAAAATTGTTTCACATTCCAGAACATAAAAAATTTAACTGTTAGATCAATTTATTTTTTTATTTTTTTTTATTTTTTTATTTTTTTATAAATTTTAAACCACCGTTTAAATGTTTTGACTTACAAAAACGGAAGTTACGATTCTCGTTTTGTTGGCAATCGTGTTGTTTCCTTTCGTTCGTACATGGGCATTCTGTATCACGGTCAGTCCGTGCGTTGTGTCCCATGTTCCAAACTGTACAAAATTTAAAAACATTTACTATTTTTATATTTTTTTCATAAATTTCGATAATTGTTCTTTATAGAAACTAATATACTACTACTGCTACCAGCAGTTTACAACATCTTCCAACTGTTCATATTGGAAAAATTGAGGAATTTTTATAATTAAACGATAAATCAACTTTTAATTTAATTTTAAAATTAACCTTCATCAAAGGACCGTTCAGCCTACTTTCAAGCACATCCATCGTGTAGTGTTTCCTCAATCCAAATTCATCAAACACGAGTGGCCCAGTGAATAAACCAGTCAGGTTTGTCTGCGAAACAATTTTTGTTATTTCAATATTTCTCAAAATTTTAAATTAAAATCGGCATTCTTGAGTTTTACAGTTGAAAAAATTCTTAAATGTGCTACAACTTTAAAAATAAAATTTGTCGCGGACCTCCTTAAGAGCTTTTATAACTTCACTCCCAAATTTCCATGGTACTGTTGGTTCCGTTTCGCAGCTTAAAGCTTCTCCAAAAAATCCATTACTGTAAGGTGAATGATCGTTCAACGGTGTTTTGTGTTTGAAAACTTTGGCAAGAGCATGTGCCATGAGGAACGCTGCATCGGCTAACAACGCTGCTTCTCCCTACCAAATTAATTGTAAATTTTACTAGAATTCATATAATACAATAAAAAATATAATATTTTGAGTAATAATTATAATTAAAAACCGCTCTAAAACAAAATCATCCATTAAAAGTTTTACGGGCATCGGCAAATCTGAAGTAATGTCGACGCCTTTGTAGACTGAGTGCCAGTCTCTTATGAGACTTCTCTTCTTCGCATGGTCCACCAAGCACAACCCTGTGACATTCAGCCCTCCTAATTTGAAGGCTTGAGATATCATCTCGTTCAAATTCTGTAAAGTAAACAAAATTAAAATCTACAAATTTTGGCTTCTGTTGTTTTATGGGTGTTCCATCAAGTATGAAATTCATTATTACTGACAGATTAATTATTGACGATAACACTGAAGAGCAGGTTAAATAAAATTCAAAGAAATATAACTGCTTAAAAATGTTGAACTGACCAATCCCATCAGGATTATGACATGCTTCACGTTTTTTGACGTGTTCAACTGTTAAAAAATTATTTACCGTCAATTGAAAATTTATTTATTGATATTTCTAATGATTATTTGAAAAAAAAATTTCTTTTAATTTTTACAAACCACTTGTTTAGATAAAAGCCTAATGCATCAAAAATCAAATGAGATTTGAACCTAACCTCAAACGTTTTGTTGATGACACTTTCTGTTTCGTGGGCAGGGAGATCCAGAAGAAGACGTTTGTAATCCAGGTTTGTGATTTTCGACAGAGCCTCCAAAACTTCAGAAGCGTTTTCTACGCGGTAGACTTTAATTTTCAACGGGTAGCCTTCTTCCGTGATGATGTCGAACAGCTGCTGTAGGCGCTCCAATCCTGAAGAAACGTTTATGTTGTCGTGATGATAAGGTTCAGACGACAGAGAGATTTTAGATCAATCTTTACTCCAATAATTTTTCTATAAAACTTTTTATTATATAAAAATTAGGTAATTAAAAAATGATGAAATAAAATAAATTACAGAAGGTTAATTTACGTTCAAAAATAATTTAATTAACGATTCTATTTTTTGTCTTATTAACAAAAAGCAAAGCAAAGTTGCAGCACCTTCATTAGTCGAGTAGAGATAGAATGCTTCCTTCCACTGATAATATTTTATGAGATCAAAGACAGCTCTTATGTACATAGGGCGCAGAAAAAGTTGAAAACCATGTTCCTGCTTCGAACTGTTGACTGCCATTGCCGTTGTGATATAGGGAATGTTGAAGGTGTTGCTGTACGATTTGACGGTGTTGAGAGTGTTGCTTGTGTGTATACCCAGTAGAGCAACAATTCGTTTTGTTACCAAGTTGCAAACTATCAAATTCGGAAACAGATTAAACCATATAAAAAAATTTCAAATTATTTTTAATTTAGATTACAGATTCATAAACTCTGAGACCTAAATACAGTCTTGATCCAGAGTAACTATTTCTACTCATACAAAAAATATTAAACTAAATTATGCTTTTCAAATTTATTTGAATTTCGAAACGTGAACTAACTAGAGGTTCCAACTCTGAAACTGTTGTCCATGTTGACCTCGTTGATTTCTTCTTCGAAATGATTGCGCATCCGATCTTCAGACGACTTACTCTTGTAGTATTTCCCAACTCCGTATCGAATCATCTTCATTATATCGTACTGCTTCGATTTCTCACTATCCAACATCACACCTGCAACATTTTGGAGCAATTTTTCAAAAATTTGAATAGTTTTCATTTAATCAAATTCTATATATATCCGAAATTTATTTTTATTAGCAACATAAAAAATGAATTAGATACAATTTTCAAAGATAGGATATTGAACTGTTGATTATTCACATTTTATTTGTGTTATATTCAATTCGCATGTCAGAACGAAATATTAAAACAAAGAATGAAATGTATTAACCTATTGGAAAGGAATGATTTCTTCTGCCTGTGTTGCAAGATGCCAACGGCAACAGGACAACGTAACATATTGTTGTTAATAAAACGTTATTCAAATTCATTGTTGTTTTTATTAAAAGTTGGTTTCAATCCATGAGATTTCAGTAATTTTTGTCAATCATCATAATTTGTTTGTTTACTCGTTGCCAAATGGCATTGTATGATATCTCAATTATTTTTCAAATTTTAAGCTTGTTGAAAAACGATTGAAACTAAATTCTTCATTCAAATTCTTAACCCTTTCAGCAGTAGCAGCAGACTTCTTCAAATGTTTAACAACACTCCACGAACTGCATAATTTTAGTCGCTTTGAAATCAATCGGTGTTGTGCATGGTCACCAGCACATCCTATGCTGCCTCATTATAATATGTTAATCATTGTCCAGCGTATGAATATTCATTTTGTTTATCATCGTACAGAGCTTATGGTTATGACAAAATTATCATATGAACAAATATAATATAGTACTATAATTAGGTGGTTTAAAATAATTTGATGGTTAATATAACTATAGAAGCAAATTTTTAAATAGTTATTTTAGGAAGAATTAAAATGGTATTTTGTATCCAAGAGCGATTGGTGTTTTGAAACGTTATCCTATTAAATGATCAAATTATCATAAATTAGTTTAATAATTCAAACATATAACTTCACAGGCAATTTAGAAATGACGAGAAACACGCAAGCATCAGCGCAACATACAGCTTCTTCAATGTCGAAACATGAAAGCAAGTGCGTAGCCAATGCTGATGAAAACGAGGGTGCAGGCAGGCAGACGTGAGATGCTTAAGTCTGCGTGTTGTCTGCGTGTTGTCTGCCTGTTCCCAATCTCGTCGTTATCCTACCGTACACAACTCACCTGCTGCACGTTCGTTCAGCGCACACTTGCCAATTAAACGATTTTTTGGATCAATGGTAATTTTTTTAGATGGTTTTTAAAAGCAATAAAAAAATTTTAAATTTACTTGAGTACGTTTTGAGGGAAAATTTTTAACGTCTGGTCAACGATAATATTATGCTTGGCTAATTTTTTAAAGGAAAATAATATTTTTAACTATTCGTCATAAAGTAATCACACGAAATTTATATTTATAATAATCTTCGTAGCTAAACAGACATGAAATGTTCGATGGATGTAACTTCTTGAAACGATTAAAAATTGCCTTAAAGTGCGTCTGTAGGAACAAAAACATAAACGAAAGCATAGCTACATAGAAAGCAGCATCAACAAAATCTTTCTAAATCTTCATATGAGCCATCAAAATGTTGTTCAGAAATTTATCCTTTCATTTCAATTGAATCCTGACGTAGCTGAAAATTATGAGATGATTCAAAAGCAGTCATGTGGGGTGGCTTTGCGAATTATTAAATATAACGTTTAGTTATTTTTGCAATTTTTATTTATTTTATTCACCAAATCATTAATTAGTTTGATAAACCTCGTTGGGCGTTAAATTTTATTTCATCTCTAACGGAGCATTGGATGGCGGACGTAAGTTGGCTGACTGTGCATCCATCTTTCCGGTGTAGAATGAACGTACGGTGACACAAATTTCGTCAGAGAATTTTGTCTTAAAATTTGTATATGAGTGAAAATTAAAACTTTTTTTTTATCTATCAAATAATTTTAAATTGTTATTTATGCGTTAATAATATGGAAATGATTTTATTTTCAGGACACTAGAAACCTTATTTTGTTTAGCCTTTAAACAAGCCTTGTAAACAAGATGAAAGAACGTGATGAATAGAGCCACAACAATGCCAGCCATTAGAATGACCACCGCAAACTTTATATTTTGCATCTTTATCTTTTTTGGAAATATTTCACGACGACCTGGCGGAGGAGAAGATGAACATTTTCCTTTATCATGCCACCAAAGTCTCTCCAGCTTTGCAAGACTCTGTGCTTCTGCTAACTCCAAGACAGCCAAAGTTATGCGTTCTCTTAATAAACGGTTATTAAAATTAATTAATATATTAGTGATATAATCAAAATTCAAAAATATTTTGTCCTAAAATGAACAAAACTTGCTGCTTACCGAAGATCAGATCCAACTGGCATGGCTACCCCGTAAGATTTTTTACCGAAATTTCCTTCCAACTGCATGGTATCACACGGGGGCTGCTGATTCACGTACTGGATAGTCGTTGATTCAGTGATGAAGGCATATTTCCCATTCTCCCGTCTTACTCTGGCTACTCCTTCCTGAGATGACCTCACAAAAACTGATGGTTCAGTTGATTTCATGAATGACCACATTCTCTCATAGACTGGGACTGTTGAAGTCTGCAAGTAATACAGTTATATAGAAATATAAATTCATCTAAAAATTAAACGTTAAGTTGAATTTTTCAAGTTCTTAGTTAACTAGTATAATAAAGATAAATGAGATTAGTCAAGAGATTGAGAAAATTTACACGGAAAAGTTCCTGTGTGTGAGTGCCTTCGATAACGCCATATTTAATTTCCACCTGATTGGAAAGATCCGATGAGGTTAGAAACTTTCTACCGCGTTGGACGTTGAAAAATGAAAATAAAACGGATATGTATGACGACAGGATGAGTAGGACAAACAACCACCACACAGCGCTCGCGATACGACCAGAAAGAGTTCTAAATTTGTAATTTCAATCACTTATTTGCTATCATTACCAGTCTTGTGTAAATTATATTTTTGAAAATCATAATTTAAAAATCAAAAGTCAGAGTTTAGCTTAGTTTAACTGCAGACGAAATAAGATTTGACAAACTTTGGTACGAGGTTCACGGAACACATCATCGAGCAACCAAGTAAATACCAAATGCTGTTACACAAAGTAAAATTTTCCGCGTCGGTTTTTCTTCCATCGTCAAAATTCTTATAAGATGCCACTTTGCTAACTAACCAGAGCATAACGCTGGCTCCCAGTAACGCTAATACTATACTACCCCAAACTTCGTAACTGAAAACTTTATAGAATTGGAAAATGTTGAGATAGTCGACGTAAAATCTTTTGGCAAGAACGCTGGTGGTTACACTCATGAATGGTTTTGAAAAATGCACCACGTTTTCTCGCTCAGAGGTCACTGTGATTGGAGCTACGGCCAAATCGGCTTCCTTAAATTTAAATTTTAAAATTATGAACAAAATTTTATGTCTTGATAATTATTTTAATGAGTGATGTATCAAAGTCAATAATTTGTTTTTTATTATAAAAGTTAATATATTGATATAATTGGTTATATAATTTTCGTATATCACTGAACAAAGAATTAATAAAATATTCGCAAACCCTCCTCAAAAGTTCTCCAATCATTCCATCCCAGCGTCCATTTTCGTCTTTGCTTCCAAACTTTCTATCTTCCACGAGCTTGAATACAAAATCAAATCCGACTAATCCTGCGATGAGTTTCGTCAGATCAACGCAGTACCCCTCGTAACGATCATTCCCGGTCAGATTGTCGCCTTTTTTTAGCATAAAAAATGGCTCAATCTGCAATGGTGATAAAATTTTCATAAAATTTGATGTTTTTACTTTATGAAAATGATGAACCTCACCAAAATAGAAGTAACAATTCTCGTTTTGTTGGATATTTCAATGCGATCTTTTTCAATCAACGCGTTCTTTCTTTGCTGGTATGTTGTTACGCCCGCTTTGAGACTCCACGTTCCTATCTGAGATAAAATTAAAATAATTTGAACATTTTCAATATAAAAAATTACAGCTATCAACTAAAAACTTGTGTACCTCTTTTCTCTGGCCATTGCTTCTGTGCGATTCAATTATATACAGTTCGTAATTTTTTCTACGGCCAAATTGATCAAACGATATATTGCCAGTGAATAAACCAGGTGTGTTAACCTAACGATGAATTAATCTCAATGTTAATGTCAAATAATGTCAGAGCTGCAATAATAAAGACTAAAATAAAAAAAATATAATTAAAATTACTAAAATATTTTGAAATGCTATTTATCCAAACAACTCTGATAGTGAAGTAAAAAAACTGATTGCAACTTTTTTAAACGCATCGACAATGTAAAATCCCAACGTCCAGGGCACTGTTGGCTCCGACGTACAACTCAGCCTCTCCGCTGCTAGGTTGGGAATTTTGTTTGACATGTCCTCCAGTACGAAGGATGTGACGTAAGCTGCATCGGCCAGTAAAGCTGCTTCCACCTTTCACATTAATTAAAACATGGTTTCTATTTTTTTATATAAATCTTTTTTAAAGTTATGCACAGTACATTTTAAAAGAACGTATCACAAATTTCAATGGTTAAAATCGCCAAAAAAAGAAATGATTTCAACGATCGATAAAAAATATCTCGTTTTAAAAACTGAATTTAATAAAATGAATGAAATAAGGCGGGAACCGGCATTGTTGGCGAGAACTTCGAGTTAGTGCTTCGTTCGTTGTTATAGTAGGAGAACCAATTATTTGTAAGCCACTTGGTTGATTGCTGATTGATCAAACTCAGGCCGATAACATTAAGTCCTCCATGTATGAATGCATCACTTTTCATTTCTAAAATATTCTTTTGAGTTTGATTGTTACAATTTACGTTATTCCCCACATTGGTTTATTACGTGGAAAAAGTGCACTAACCAATCCAATCAGAAGAATGGTCGGTTTCCAACCAGTTGAATACCCAAGCTGAATATTTGTGATGGTTATATTAAATTTCACGCTGTGTATAATTCATCGCTTAAGTTATATTTAATATCTTTGGTATTTATTCGATATAATATATAAACTACTCTAAATAGTTTTATTAAAAAGACGTTTCTTGTGAAGAAAAACCTCAATTATTTTTAACCTGGTGTAAAGAATTCAAAAATGTTTCAGAATGAGCTGCAGGCAAATCTAATAATACGTTTTCGTGAGCACGGATGTTACCTTTGATAACATCTACAGCATCTTCGGGACTTTCCACTCTTTTAGAGTTCAGTGTGAAGCGTGGATTACTTTGCATCAGCATGTCTATGAATTGCTGCATTCTTTCTTGTCCTGGTAGGTAAAAAATCAGCTGTTTCAAAATATCTGTTAAAGTGATCAACCGCAAAAACATTTTTCACGAGAGCACAATTTAAAAATATCACTCTAAATATATATAAACTTTAAACTGATAACCTTCGTAAGTCGAATAAAAATATGTGGCCCTCTTCCAGCCGTAGTGCCTGACCAAATCAAAGACAGCCTCCAGGTAGGGCGGTTTGAAATATATTTGGTAGCCACCATTTTTTATGGAAGTGTTTGTGGGCATGGAAGTCGTCAAGTAAGGCACGTTAAAGGTATTGCTTATGGATGAAACAACATCAACCGTATTGCTAGTGTGCATGCCAATCACACCAACAACGCCACTAGATATTAGGGTACACACTGTTCATTTTGAAAGGTTTGAGAGTTAAATTTTAATTATTTCTTTATATGAATTGAGTGTGTTTGACGTTATATTACATAATCTTACTTGAGTTGGCAGCGTCAAAACCGTTGCCCATGTCAACGTGAATTGCATCTTCTCTGATATCGACAGACTTGGAAGATTTTAAAAATTGCAAGACACCGTAACGAAACATCTTCTGCACTTCAAACTCTCGCGAAATTTTAGGATCAAGCAAGAAGCCTGAATAATTTCAAAATTATTTTTTTTTATGAAAATCATTAATTTAAACTATTCAGATTAACAGTCTCGAATTTATTACAGCAACATATGACAGCACTTTCAAACGTAAAATGAACAGCATTTGTGGACACTACTTTTAAAATTTGAACGAATCGAAAAATTGTAACACACCAAGTTTGAATCCATTGACGTTAAGCTGAGACTCCTGAGCGTCGGAGCGTAAAGCAAACAACACCAACACAGAAAATAATTCAATCAATTTCATCGTCATTATATTATCGTACTATTTAAGTCCACATACTTTAAGTTTAAAATCAATATTTTAAACTATTTTTCTATGAAATTTTCATAACAGAAGTAGGTCTAAACAGTAAATTATATAGAATGCGTATCAATTATTTACATAGGGTTAAACAGCTTTCGTCAAAATAAAAATTTTCTGCTACAATTTGCAGATTAAGATAATGGCTTTTACAACGTCGGTATGCAGATAACTACGACCTATTTTATGAAGTTGCCATATATTTATGCAGGTAGGTATCTGAAAAGTTTATCTGTGTCTCTATCATCGGCGCGTGTTTTATAACCGTTATATCACAACTTTAAATTATTAAATAGGACCAGTGAACATTTTGTGAGATTCTTGAAGTTATTCATTTATGTCACTCATGTCAACAGATGATATAATAAGCAAATCGTAATCTCCATGCGGGAGGATGATGTTACACAAACTGAATGCAGTATAGAGAAGATAAAGAACAATTTGTTTTTGATGCATGAGTTAAGTGTATGGATGGCTGGAACGACAACGTTCATCCACTTATTTGTAATGGTCGTAATTATTTTTAACCGTTGTTGTGCTGCCTTCTTTCTATTCGCCGCGCTAATATTTCATATATTTCCACTTAGGTATGTCACATAGTTCAGACGTGTTATGTTTTAAACAACTCGATAATTTGCATTTTCTGACATTTAACATATTTTAAATTCAAATAAAAAATTTGCATGTTTTTTTTTCTCTCCAGATAACAATTTGTCTTTCATGCATTGCCAAATGATTTCCTCATAAATGTTAAACATCTTAAAATATCATTTTTATATTTCAAAATGAGAATCTTTAGTCTAAAATTATTTTTCAACGTGAAAATTCAATCATTCAGTCAACTCATTTCAATCTCTGTTAAAAATGTTGTGTGTCGTTTCATTTCACGGTAGAAACTTATTTATTGCGAATCTAATTTTTTATTTAAAAATCACTGGCTGGGCATGGTAGACATCATCATGGGGTCTCTTGATAATGTCGTGATAATAAATCGCACGGTGTCCTATCCTTATCGTATCGCAATTTGAAGATAACTATCTGTTTCATAAGTTTTTTGAAAGAAACAAATTCTAAAAATGTAATATTTGTAATTCTTTTCGCTTTGTAAATTTCAAAATCTCTATTTAATGAATGAATGAATGATTTGGTTAACAACAGTTTAGCGTGTATAACATTTCTCAGACTTCATTTTCCAAATTAATGTCGGTAAGCTTTTAAAAGCAGAAAAGTTTTATTTTAATAGTCTGTACTTGCGTTTTAAATTAACATAATTTAAATTTACGTTCTAAAATAAAGAGGATTTATATTATAGTAAGCCATTTATTGATTTATAACGTTATTTTTATTAAATTAATGTTGTTATTATTTTATTTATATGTGTCTATCTACGTACCTATGTTGTATCTGTTCTGTTCGCCCAACCGCTATTTTATTTGTATGCGAGTTGGTTGGCGAATGTTTGACCTGCTTTTAACTTTATTAACTAATTTTTAAAAAATATCATTGTTAGTTATAGTTAATAATTTGTTGAACTATAAGTTGAGGATAAGTTAACTCAGTGGAGTTACTCTGCAAATAATGAAACAACAAATTATGAATAAAGCACAACACGGCTGCAAACAGCATAACTCTTTAATGGTACTTTTGAATTTCAGCAAGGTTTCGGTGTACGTACGTACAATCGTTTTTTAAATTTCAGTCCAGCAGGTTGTTTACTATGAGTAAATTTCCAATCCAATTCTGTAATTCTGGAACTTTTTAAAATTTTGAACACATGTGCTTTGTTATAACCAGTTTTGATTCAATTGAAATCAACAAATTTTGCAATGAAATATAAAAATGCCATCACACAAACTGTTTACACTAACAACTGCATAAGACTTTTTCATTTCTTATAGAAGTCTTTTTTTTTGTTTTTAGTTTCTTGTATTAAAAGGACCAAGGACACTATCGTTGGGTCCAAACCGAATCAAACAGAACTGTTGACAACTCCATCAAATACAAAGATCATCGAAGAACAACTTTGCCAACGTTGTACACATTGAAATTTTAAACAGCATCCAAGTGGCAAGATGGAAGCCTCGTTCGAACCAACATTATCTTACTCCAAGTTGAAACCTGACGATTGTGTCATATGCTTGCGTGTCATACAACCATCAAGAAAGGCCAAAATATATGGATGTTTGCATGCTTTTTGCTTCGAATGCATCAAAGAGTGGGCTAAGAAAATACGTTCCTACTGCCCAATTTGTGATCAGGAATTCAGTTACGTGCTTCACAACCTACGTGAAGATGGCCACAATGATGAAAATAATTTTCCTGGAGATTTCTACTTGGTGGAGTACGCGCATGTTAATGTTTTGAACGACGACGATGAAGAAGCTGAAAATGACAATAGAATACAATCAAATGACAATGAGGAAACAGTGCATTCAAAGGATGATAGAGCACTTTCGGATGATGATGACGACGAATCAAAAGAAAGTAGTCGGAACATCAGCGATAGAGAATTGGATGAATTTTGGGATAATTTTGGCGACCTAAGCAAAAATTCCGCATTGTCGGATTCAGAAAATAAGAAAAGTGACAGAAAGAGTTATCAACAAAACTGTAAAAAAAAGGATAGTATTGGTGATGGTGATGGAAAGAGAAGCGAAGAAGATAAGAAAGATGATAGTGAGGATGATGAAGATGACGAAAAAGATGATGATGATGATAATGATGATGAAAGTGATGACAGCGACGATTCAGGCAACAAAAACGTTGAAGCGACCATGAACGTGAAACGAAAGGCTGACGACGACGATGACGAAATGAATGAATTAACGAAGAAGTTCGGCAGATTTGAGTTCACTGAATAACGGAAGATGTCCATGTCATCTTAGATATTAACGGTTTCTTTTTTCTCACAATCTTTCGACTTTTTTAGCGAAACATTATACATTTTCTTTTAACGTTTTATTCTCACATGTTCTCGCTACATATGCAATTTGTATAAAATAAAAATTGAATTTTAAAATTTTTTTGGGTCAAAAAAGTCAAAATAAAATCGTAGGCAGACCAGCATATAACTTGACAAGTGTACCAATGACTCGAAAATTTTCAAACTGTGGCTTTGTAATTTAAAATTTAATTGTTATTATTTAGATCCATTAATTATTTTCAGTATGCTTATTTTAATCATTTTCATTTATTTCATCTAACAGAGCGCAAATCCTTGAAGTAACACATGCACTTTAAAACTAGTGAGACAAATTTTTCGACTTGAATATCATAAAAAAATGAAAATGATGTAAGTTCTGTAATAATTGTTGTCGATGGATTGGTTGAAGTCATCGTTGCTGTGGAACTCGACTGATTGTTTAAAATCAATCAAATTTCAATTATCAATTGAATAACTGTAAGATAAGAAATATTGTCATACTTCTATGGTAGGCGGTCTATTTGCCAAAGTGTTGCACTGGTCAGAGTTACATGAACAATCAACAAACGAAACTATATTAGTGCAACCATCAGAGAAGTTTCTATCTGTGATTATACCATAAAAAAACAAATCGTAGATTAGTAAAATAGAAATTTTCATCAAATGTATACACTGATAACAACTTACGAGATTTACCGTAAGCCATGGAGTAATAATATGAAGACTGAACGAACAGTCTACACACAACCAATGGACAAGCCCACGAGCGAACTCACTGCCCCATTACTTTCATAGCATTTCATCGCCTCGCATTAAGAAGATGATGAAGAAAAAGAAAAAACTCATGAATGTTTCGTTATATTACCGATTATTCAAAGCTTCTAGTAAACTAATATATATGTAAATAATTAGCTACCTAAGCTAAAGGTATTTTAATTAAAATATAAAATTACATACAAAAAGATATAAATATACTCAAATTAATAAAATACAACTGAACAAAAAATGTCGTATGTTATACATACCCAAACAAATAACATACTCAAACAAATAACAAACCCAAACAAATAACTAACTCCTAAACAACAAAAGCCGTATGCTATGCATTCAATCAGCTGAAATGGAGTTAAACTTTATATTACTGTCATTTTAATTCAATAGCAGCTTTGCCGTTACAAATCACTCAGGCTAGTTGGCAGTTTGTGCAAAAGTTGTTATTCGTATTAGGAAGCTTGTTTTTGTTCAAAATTGTATATTGAAAGGGCATATATAACCATTGACTTACAATCATTATTATTATTAATATTATTATCATTATTATTATTACTATTATTATTATTATTATCTTTATCATTATCATCATCATCGTCATCATCATCGTCATCATCATCATCATCATTATTATTATTATTATTATTATTATTATTATTATTATTATTATTATTATTATTATTATTATTGTTGTTGTTGTTGTTGTTGTTGTTGTTGTTATGAAAAAAACATGGGCAAAGACAAACTGTCACAGGACTTAAACGAAAATATAATTGAGCATATAAACATATGGATATGAATATATCTTTGAAACAAAGTTCGAACAATTAAAAAAAAAGAAACTAAAAGAATAAATTTATTTCGTAATTTAACAACTCATCTGAATTTCGATTTTTGCTTTTTATAAAAACAATCAAGAATTTTACAAATAATATTATTATTTATTAAACAAACAAATTATTGATTGGCAATGATGATTAATTTGTTTTAAAATGTCTGTGATAAAACCCATCTTCAAAGCATAACAATTATTTTATATTTCAGATCATTTTAATTAGTAAATACTCATATGTTAGTTATGAAGTAGTTATTCAGAAGACTATTGCATCATATTGAAAAAATTATGTGACTTTATTCACATAATTAGCATTTATTGTCATAATTAAAGGTAATTGCTTATCCTCTAAAAACAGAAATTTAAAAAAATAATCAAAAGAAAATAAAAAATTTTCAAAAATAATTAACATTTTCCGAAGTTGGATCTCCGGCCCTTCAAAAAATTCCAACTGCAACTTCGACTACGACTCTGGCATAAATCTCCGATTCCGACCGACGCCGATGCTCTGTTTTTCTCCTCCTCCTGTCAACACAAACCACACTAAAAATGGCACAAGAAAGGATGCCAACGTTAACAACTACAATAAGAATGATGGTTGGCGTTGGCAATGATTCAGTTGGGATGGTTGTTGTAGGAAGACTATTTGACGGTTTCGAGGAAATTGTGGATGCTGTGGAAGTTTTTGAAACGAAATCTGTTTCATTTGGTTTCAAAGATGAAAATGTTAATGCTGATATAATAATTGTTGTCGATGGATTGGTTAAGGTCATCGTTGTTGTTGAACTGGACTGATTGTTTAAAAATCAAATTTAAATTTTAAATTGATTAAATGTAAGATAAAAATTTTTGTCATACTTCTGTGGTAGGCGGTCTAGCTGTCTGAGCGTTGCACTGGCTAAAACCACATGAACATTCAGATTGTGACGAAACAACATCAGCACAATCAACAGAGGAGTTCTTATCATCACCGCACCCGAAGTTATACACTAAAAAAGAAATCATGTGTTATTAAGATGAAAATTTTTGTCAAATGTATAAACAAATAACAACTTCCTAAACCAATAGGAGTTATGGAGCAAGAAACTGTACAGTTAGTTATCTCTTCCGGTGAACAACCATCAAACAAACTTCTCTCACCACAGTCATAGCATATAATCGTCTCGATAGGAGGCATTAACAAGATGATGTAGAAAAAGAACATCATTTTTATGACTGTTTCAATAAATCCCCAATTGTAGTAGAGTACACTAGTAAACTAGTAAACTAAAATTTATCTAGTAAACTAAAATTTATCAGTAATATAAAATACACCTAAATTATTTAAAATATAAAATTACTTACAAAATGTTAACATACTTAAATAAATGAACCTTAAACACAAAACGTCGTGTGCATTCCATCAGTTAAAATAAATTCAAACTTTATAATGTTATTTTAATTCGATAACAGCTTTGCTATAACAAACAACTCAGGCTTCTCAATTGTTTATGAATGACAATTTTTTATTCATAATAGAAAGCCTGCTTTCTTTCAAAATTTTCGTTTATTTTGAGAGGGTAAATGTAAGCAGAGCCAGCTTGTCAAACCACCGAATTCACTCACTATGAAAGCAAAATTTTCTAAAAAAGTTGATTCGAATGTTTGAGTGATCAAATTAATGTTGCTAATTGAAGTTATTTAAACTTTTTGACGCCAAATAAACACAATTTTTTTAAATAATTTCACAAAGTTAAATTTATTGTGTTGAAAGTGATATTTTTTATGTTCAGACGCTAACCATTAAAAATATATATTGAAAGTTTAACTAAAATATTTGATTCTGCATTCAAAATAATTCACCATACGATATTTTTCAATTTTTAATTCTACTAAAATATGCAAACTTGTCGAATCTCAAAAAAGGAATTGTATCATAATAAACTTTTAAAAACTACAAACTATTTAGTAAGTTCTCTATTGGCTAAGCAGGATAACACAGGAAGGAATGTGTATCCATCTTAAAAATTACCAACATTCATGATATGTTGCTGATATTTAGTATTTAATAAAACAACTTAAAAGAAATTAATTCAACATCGAAAAAATATCAGTAGCAAACATTAAAGTGAATAAGATAAGTGGATGCAATTTTAAAATCAATGACGCATTCAAGAATTATCTTAACCAAAACTATTTATCGTTGTCTTCAATCCCCGTTGACACAAATACAGCTCCAAAAAGAAGTGACGATGGCTTAAATATGTTGCCTCCTTTCTCAATATCTGCATTACCATCAACTTCTACTTCATCAAAAATGTCACCGGACAAAGTTAAAAAAACAATTTCATCGAAAAACAATATCATCGTCACATAAAAGAATATCTCCTACATCGTCAACACATAAAATGCGGTCGTCATCCAAATCTGCCTTTCAGTCTTTCACTTTGAAGAAAAATAATCTTTAGAATTGTAACAAAAGATCATATTCATGTTTTAATTAAGATGATGAAGATGAAAATGATGGTTTGAAAATAATGAATGAACAAAAAAAACCAAGAAAAAATAAGGCCTGAATATAACTTGGAGAGAACGTGGGTGAGCAATTAAAAAAAAATTGCAATAGACACAAAATAGAGCAAATTATGAATAGATGATTTACTTTAAAAAAATCTACACCTCGAAGTTGATTTTCAACCTTTTTACTGTTGTTTTGATTATTTCTGAGTTTATTTATTTAATAGCAATCTTTTTTAATAAGTTGCTTTTTGTCGAATTTGTGATCATTTGACACTCTCTCATTAACAGCATTAAACGTCTAATCAAATTCACTAATAAGATGTGAATAAAAAATTAAATGTTAATTAAAAAAAACTTTCCATAACTATTACAAAAACTAATTCGAACGTTTAATAAATTTTTGATCTGTAATCAAATACAACCAGCATTCTCTTCGTGTCATGCTCAGCAGTCGAAACCTTCGTCAAAAAAACAATGATAAATAATTTTACGAGGAGTAAAAAATGTTAAATAATAAAATATCATAGAGTTGATGATAATTTTTTATTGAAATTGAACAGTAAAATATAAGAAACCTACTTTGTTCTGTGGCAAATTTTAATTAAAGAAAATTTGTCGGCTGTTTCAAAAAACTGCTCAAAATTATAACTTCGGTTGGCGAGAGAATAGTTAAACTTAGCAAGTTAGCAAAACTAATTATTAGCAAACTTGAGCAAACCTCAACTGCGATCAAAAAATAAAACTAATTTACGGTGGTGACATCTTTCCATGGAAAATGAAAATGATAAACAACCCTACCTTTAATGACGATAGTAACAATAAAGGTTGAAGTTATTATGCTACTGGGAGATGATGACGAGAAAAACATTACACCGGTTGTGGTAACGAGGAAATAAATAATAAAGTGAAATGGAGACTGCTAACAATTGTCAATAATTTTAATATGACTTATAAAACTTCTGCTTCTTCGTCCACTTTCATTAGAGACAATCGCGTAGCTAATTTTTTGCCACCACCATCATCTGCAACCTCATCTTGGAATAACCAAACCATCGTGGCATGATTAGGTCATGAAAACTTAATCTCCTTCATCTCCTTCATTTTTACATTTCATCTTCACCGATAGCAAACCTCATCATGTAAATGGTGAAATATCACAAATATTTGTCGAAGATGACGACGACGATGACGATTGCTGATGAAATGGAAAATAAAATTAAAAATAGAATGAAATCTGAAAAGCGTTGCAAAGGCAGATTGTTATATTGATTGGTTGATTGTTTATTAATTGGTTGGTTGATTGATTATTGATTGATTGGTTGATTGATTTATTTATTTTTATTAAATTTTTAAAAAGTATTAAATTATAAATCAATTGATTCTGCTTCAATTTAATGCACAATTATTCATTAAAATTGAATGAAAATAAAATACTTATTTTTAAAATTTGATGTACTAAAAATCTTTAAATTATTACTTCTTGTGCAAGGGCGCCATAACTGCTCAGTTGTCATAATTAATTATACAAAATTTAGAAAAATCGTAAATGTAGTGTTAGATAGGGATGATGAAGCGAATTAAAATAATCACTTTGTTAAACTTTAAATGGTACTGTATATCGATTCTTTGGTTGAAAGAAAGTTCTAACTTTCATTCAATATCTTTGGTATAGTGGTTATAAAAATTTTTTTCTGTGGATTTAAACAAAGATATAAAAACCTACTTTGCTTCGTGACGATGTTTTATAAAATATAATTGATCAAAGCTTTGTTCACTATTTTAACTTTGAATAACAAGGACTAAGTTAATTTAGCAAGTTATATAAAGGCCCCACAAAACTAAACCTTAATCAATCGTAACAGTATATTCAGCGAAGTTGCTATTATACTCACAAAATATACAAATAACTTTTTTGATTTGGAATTTAATTTATAAATCACAATGTCTAAATCACGTGAACGATTCGCATCGCCATCTGAATTCATGCAATGTTCCATCTGCTTGTCGTATATTGAACCGAAAATGCGATCCAAAATTTCAGTGTGTTTGCATGAATTTTGTTTCCTATTCATTCAAGAATGGTCCAAGACGAACGCCGTGTGTCAGCTTTGTAAGCAAAATTTTACTAAAATTCTTTACAACATAAGAACGGACGACGACTACGATGTTTACCAAATCAAAAAATCAGAAAATAAAGGAAATCATAGGTTAGACAATTGATAATTTTATTTTATTTATTTGTTAAAATTAAAGACATTTTTGAAGTAACTATTTTTTAAATGATCAAATATTCGTTTATCGAAATTTTACTACAACTAAATTTATTTCACTTTAAGCAGAACAGAACGGAGAGAGACTTCATCAAATAGAAGAAGTAATCTGCAACCATACAGATCTACAGTGGACTTCAGAAGAGAGGTCTACAACACTGACATGTGGGCGAGTAGGTTCTCTTCCTGCCTCACGAGGACTCGCGGTGTGACTGCCGACTTCTACCAAAGATTTCCCGTTTGTGTTTACAGATTGGTTCCATGGCTAACCAGAGAGTTGAATGCCCTGCTGCTGGTCCCTAACTCAACGCTGAATATCAGCGCACTGCAGCAAAACATTTTAGATCTCATAAGGCAACGAGACATGACGAGTCCGAATTTTGCAAAAAAAATGAAACCATTTTTTAAAGAACGAACAAATCATTTCATTCACGAACTTGTTTCATTTGCACAGTCCATATGCGACTTGGAGATGTACGACAACAATGTCATTTATAAGAAGCGAACAACAACAACAACGGCAGCCTCAAACAACGCTGAAATCATTAATACCATTGATAACGGTGTCATAGTTGTTGACGATGATGATGAGAGTCACGATTCTCGTGACGTCATAATAATCTCATCGCCAGTTGCTTCAACCAGTTTTCAGGACAACAACAGCAACAGGCATGCTGAAATGAGAACTCTTAGTGATCGAACTATTGTCATCAGCGAGGACAGCGATTTTTGCAAAATCATGACCTCTTCGTCAGCATCTGTAGCGGCTTCAACCAGTTTCCACAGCAGCAACGACGTGAACACAAATGTAGGTAATCTTGATGAGAACTCAAATTCTAAAAAAATTGTAAACAGAAATGTCGAAAATAAAAAACAACCTCCAACGAATGACAGCAATACTTCAATGCCAACATCTTTCGATAGAAGATTAAAATATAAAAACAATGTCACCCATGCTGATAGCGGAGAAGATAATAGCAACAAAGATGGAAATCCCGTTATTCTACTGGAAGATGATGACGATGTAAACAATCTTGTCAACAACAACATAAACAATGAATTAAAGTGGAAAGAGTCCACAAATGCCAACAACTTGAATATGCCTCGTGAAACATCACCTAGACCCTCTAATTCCTCATCAACTTTCATTAAGAACAATCGTTCAACTACATGTTTGCCATCATCATCATCATCTTCTACATGGTCATCTTCCTCATGTCAGATTTGTCTAAATATTGTGGCATCTTCTTCATCATCTTCTTCCTCTTCATCTTCTTCATCATCATGTTCATATTATAACTTTAATCATAGAAAATCTCACCAAGCCAGTGGCAAAAGATCCAGAATATCTGACGAAGATGATGATGACGACGATGACTGTGAAATGGAAAGCAGAAACAAAAAAAGGATGAAATCTCAAGTTGGATTCCACTACTTAGCTGGCTTGTATAAACATTAGAGCAAGCACAGTCGCAGGATGATTGATTTATTGATTTATTGATTTATTGATTTATTGATTTATTGATTTATTGATTTATTGATTTATTGATTTATTGATTTATTGATTTATTGATTTATTGATTTATTGATTTATTGATTTATTGATTTATTGATTTATTGATTTATTGATTTATTGATTTATTGATTTATTGATTTATTGATTTATTGATTTATTGATTTATTGATTTATTGATTTATTGATTTATTGATTTATTGATTTATTGATTTATTGATTTATTGATTTATTGATTTATTGATTTATTGATTTATTGATTTATTGGATTACTATAAAGAAATAACAACTTTAAAAATTTTTACTATATTTTCTACAAATATATCATTTATAGCTACATTATATGCTTATGTTTAATTGATATCATTCACAATCAATATTGAAATTGAGTTTTCTTAAAATACAACAATAATAAACAATTTTAAAAGTTTATAATTTATTTGGTATGAAAAATGATCAAACTTAATTTAGATAAAGTTGTTAGTAAACAAATTCGTGTTTGACACGTAATGTCATTGGAGCATAATGCCTCAGCAACAAAGCGCCATCCTTCAGGCCTCTCAATAAATATTTATTTTTTAGAATGTTTCAATTCAACAATAAATTAATTTAAAATATTTTACTTAGCAAATTTGATCCATTTAGAATCAAGTTTATCTCATTTGTTGACGATCTTCAGAACAAAAGTTACAGTGATAGCGGTACCAGCAAGAATGCCAGCGTTAGTAGCCGCAAGAAGAATGATGGTTGACGTTGACATTGGCTCGGTTGAGTTAGATGTTGGAAAAATATTTTCTGTCGGCTTCGGTAAAATGGTAGTGACCGTAGAAGTTGTTGAAACAAAGACAATTTCTACTGATACCAAAGAAGTTGGAGGTGTTGTCGAAACGAATAAGTCTCAGTTGGTTTCATTGAATTTGTGGTTGCTGGAGTTGTTGCCGAAACGAAAAGAGTTTCAGTTGGTATTGAAGATGTTGTGGATGTCGTGGCAATCTGAGATGCAACTGATGTAGTTACTGTTTTAAATGTAGTCGACGAATAGGTTGTTGTTGTCGTTGATGTAGTTACGAGCTGATTTTTCAAAAAATAAATTTTTAGCTGAGTATTATTAAAATAACAATTATTACCATACTTCTGTTTCGGTAGGTTTAGGTGTAATGATGTTGCAGTTGTCAGAGGTACACGTACAATTATCATTAGTGCCAATCGTAGTGCAATCGGGAAAATATGGCAAATCCGGGCAGGCGAGTACACAAGTCGGATCTTGAAAGGCTGATCACATATTAGATTATTAATAGAATGGATTAATAAATGTGAAAAATTATAAAATATATAAACAGTCTTCAAACTTACTATCACAATTGCTTTCTAATTCGCAATAATAATCCCCGAGCGAACCAATCTTAAGCACACTTATACAATTATCACATGGTACCGCCTAAACGCGGTAAAGTTGAAAAAATGATTTGCATCAATTTCATAATGTGTCATGCGTTACAGCTATTATTTAACATTTGAAAAGCTCTAACGCTCATCTCATATGTGTATATGAATGAATCTATGAAATAATAGCATCAGTACAATGCGTAAATTAGTAATACAAAATTATTTTGCTATTTATTTTGAGTTATTTGAGTCTTGCTTACGTTTCAATAGTCCAATTGCACTTTTAAAAAATGCTGAACACAGCCAAAAGTTTGTTCTCTTTGTCACGGTTCAATATTTTTGTAAAGGTTAAACTTCATGGTTCGTGTTCGTGTTAGTTTGGTTTTTACAATTAATTCTTTCAAAGTTTAATGATGAAACTAAAGATTGCTGTGTGAAAGCATTTCAAAAGTTACTAGCCTGCACATGCTTCTAACAATAGTACATAATGCCTGGAGTCGAGCTAATCAACCTAGAGATGAGAATATTGATCTGGTGACAGGCAGAACAAAAGAACAAATGAATGAATTTATTAGAAAATAAAGAAATGAATGAAGAAAATTTGAACAAACGAATAAAAAATGAAGGAATGATCTAACTAGCGAAATAACAACAAATGAATAGATATAGGAACGAACGAGTGAACGACGGAGTGAACAAGCAAGCGAGTGATGAATGAACGAATTGTTGAGAAAATGAATGAATAAGAAATTAGCGTAATGTTGAGCTATAAATTGATTAGCAAAGTTTCAAAGGTCTATTATGAACATGTTTAAGCTAAAATCTCTTGAAAATTCATGTTTGAGTTTTTGAAAAAGTTTCACTAATAAATAAAATCGTTAAAGAATCAAAGCGTATGATATGCTAAAGAAAGACAAAAAAGTTCGTTTGGCAAATCATCTCAAATTATGAAAAAAAAATTTGAAAATAATTCAGTCTAAGTCGTTGTTTTAATGAATAATACTGAAATTTTAAAATTTCTCTTGTTAATAAGAACTCGAAGCAAAATTTCATTCACTTTCACACCTCAGTGTAACAAAACAACATCAATAAACAATACCGATAAGTGATGAATATTCTTTGAAACAATCTCATCAAAAAGCGAGGTGACCGTGGTCTTACAAACATCGTGCCAACATTTTCGCAACATCGTGCCAGCGTAACTTTTAATACAGATTACGTAATGATCTTACCTAACGACCATAATATATTCATCTTATTATTAACATAATCTATATGCCTTACATGTGTATATGAATTTTTCTACTATATATACGTTATTCTGTGTCGGTGAGTACAAACCAAGAAATGTATCTAAACTAGGACATTTTCTCCTGATTTCAAATCGCTTAACAGAGCTTAGAGTTAACACACAATTTTTAATTAAATAATTTTAATTTAATTTGAATGTAATTAAACTAGAGTACTTCTTATATTTATTATACTAGAGTACTTCTTATATTTATTATACTAGAGTATTTCTTATATTTCGTTTCTGAAGTTTGTTTCAAAATTATTTTGAAGATTTTTATCGATTGATGAGAAGAAGCGAGATAGCGATCAGAAGAAAAAAAGGGCACTATCATTATTGAAATCAAGAATAATCATTCTTATTTTATCAGTAAAAGCAGCAGCAGCATCATCGAGATGAATAATTTAAATGGTGGCCGTGGTTGTAGAAGGAGGCTCTTTTTCGATGACGATGTTGGCGGTGAAAGGAAGAATCCCAGACCAGTTATTCCCGACCCCAACAATCACGTGAACAGAAACATCTTCTGGAGCCACAGCAGCAACCACCACGACATCAACAACAATCTCCCTCTTAACAAGCTGCAACAGAACATCGACATGTTCACGTCAACGCCAAAAAGTGACCAATCAACTCGAAGGTTCGGTTTTGTTGATGAGTATTATAAAAGTTTTGATCCCCTGGTTAACAAGAGGGTCGTAGAGAAGGATTTGTTCAGCGAAACAATCATCAGAGGAAGTTTGAAGTGTTACTTTCTCACTAAAAATAGTTACATGGTGAAAATCGGAAACAAGAATAAACACCAAAACAACAGATGATAATCTGGACAGCATCTGCAATAGCATTCCTAAGATGACTTTGACTACCACCTTTCCCGAACAAATCAATAAACCAAACTGACCACTCGGAAGGTATTTTTGTCAACAATGTCGTTATAGGCACTAAGGATAGGTAAACATCTCCATCCAGGCGTTCATGATCAATTAAAAAATGTGAAATCGGAAAAATAAATGCCACTGCGTAGCTTAATGGCCAGCAATTTCGATCTTCAAAAATCGTATTTCCAGCCAAATTTTTGAAACAAGCTGGACGTCGACAGTTGTAATGTTTAAACCTGTGACAGTACATACTATATCCTTAAAATAATTTGCGTTTGGCATCTTTGTATCTAAATACCTTTATTTATTGTGAATGATTGAAGATAATAAATTTATCTTCTAGTATGTATATATATATGTATATATTTATATTTAATTGTATACCAAAATTTGTTGAATTCAAAAAATAATTTTACTTATTTGTGATTAGATTAATTTTGTCCAATTCTTTAAATCATTTTGAGTATTTTTTCAATTTGGTGTTGGTAAATAAAAAATTGAAAATAATCTACTAGTAGACGTTTTGTAATTTTTGGGCATTGAGATGGGCACGTTACAAAATGCCATTTCAACAACCATTTATTAATTAATTCATTCAGAAACATGGCAACAAACAAACTTTAGATGACGTTGGTAATAAGCATGTGTTATCGATACCAAGTAAGGAAAGGCATATTTTTTATAATTTAAATTAACATAAATTAATGTCAAAAATAATAAATAACTAAAATTACTAATTCATTATCACAAAAGCATTCTCGAGGCTCATTATCATGTACTAGTATAATATATCGGAATATATTAGTTAGCTACATTAGTTTTACTACTTCGGGGTCCATGTCATTACTAATGATTAAGCTGATTAGTTAATTAAGTTTAATAAAGTTTTAATTTTATTTTATAAATTATATTTATAAATTAATTTTACAATTAGCTTAATTAGGTGTAACTATTATGAATTCAATTTAGTAGTTTAATCTTTAATGAAAACCCAACAATAATATTACTTTTATTTGATTCAACTGTAGTAAAAACTTTTCTTACTTGATTTACTTTACAATCGTTTGAAAATATATCAGTTATTAAAAATCTAACTTTAACAAATTTTTAATGTAAAATGGATAGAATAATAAAAACAGTGAACTTTGTTTCTTGATTATATTATGGCTAACTAATTATATTATATTATATCTGGCTTTTACAATTCCAACAAGAATAATGGTAATACAAATCTTTAATTATAAATACGTATATTTTATGTTGTTTCCTGAAGACTATATAACTATTAGAAGGTTCTCTTCTCAGTTCAAATCGTTTTCTTGAGTGTTTACAGAAAACTTACTGAGTGTTGAATAACCCAGTTCAAAAAAAAATTAACAAGATGAACAATTTCAAATGCCAACTCGGTTGTAGGAGGAGGTTGAAGTTTGATAGCGACGTTGCCGATCAAAAACAACAGTCCAGACATTTCAGATTCCAATCTACCAGTAGCAATCATGTCGGTACAAACATATTCTGCACCAACAGTAACAACTTTGGAACAACAACATTCGCAATGACGGTTCTTCAATAAATTGTTCTCTGGAAAACAACACAGCGAGCCAACCAACCAACAATTGAAAAACTTGTTATCACTTTGATTAGTGAAACAAGATAGCATTTGCCAAGTGTTGTAGTATACATATACGTAAATACAATATAAGAAATAGTTGTGTCAGGTTCTTTGTACATAATATCTGTAAATGTGTATATCATTGTAGAATATATTTTATTGTTTATACATGTATTTTAAAATATATTGAATTATTTTCATATGTTTCATCAAATATTTCTTGCTACATCTCATTAATTATAATGTTGTGATGCAATAAATAAAAATACTTAAAAAAGTGGAACAGTCTTACAATTGTCAACAAAACTTTAAAACGATTGTAACTCAATAGCGCTGATTAATCAGCTATAATTATCAATAGATTGGCAAATCACAAAAAATAACTTACCGTAAAAATGACAGCTGCCACAAAATCGAAAATTTTGTCACTGTTGTTAATGGTTTTTTATAAGAGGTGATAAGAACACAAGTTTAGTAAATTTAGAAATTGTTAAGGTTAGTTTAAATAAAGCAATGACGTAATGGTTAATCCCTCTTGCATAATAGTTATAAAATAAAATTCATAAACATGACAAGAATATTTGTAGAAGAACTTTCACTTTGGGAAATTTTAAAGTTACTTCACACTGCCAATATCACAACGAACCTAAGTAATGCTATAGTTTTATCCATTGTATTATATATATATATATATTTATATATATATTTATATGTATATATATGTATATATGTATATATATATATATTGAATGAAGATAATTATTAGAAATTTTTAAATGGAATTTTAATAACACATGAATAATTGTGCGTCAAATTAAATTTGATCATTGAACTGATAAAATAAGATAATAAATATAATGAAATTAAATACTTCATTCACGTGTGGTCCAGGCGAAGCAGCCACAACAACAAGACTGATTGTGAGTTGTTGACTTCTGGTAGAAACTACCTTGTGAAAATGTGAAACGTTTACAAAAATTAAGAGATACTTTGGAAGCATGTGATATATAATTGTTAGCATAGCCATGCTTTTTGTGTTTTAAACATTTTGCACTCGTTGATTAAAAATATGAAAATTTAATTAGTTATAATAATGAAATAGAATTTTGGCTTATAATACTATGGTCATCAGCTGAGTTTTGTTTACTGTAAAAGTGAATTTACCTAATGCAACAAATTCAACTATCGGGGTTAAATTCTAAACAAATGAAAAAAATAAACCGCCGTTTAGTCAGTTAGAATCTTGACGCCAAAGTTATGTAAGGTTCTTTTAATGAAAATTCTTAGTTTGAGTTGTGAAAGTGTTATCAGATATTATTTCTTCCAGATTATTTGTTTTGTCTTTTTGTGTGTGGTTGATGGTTCCTATCTGCATTTTAACATTGTGTGGTTTGCCAGCTGCTGGTAAAACATCTTTTGTGTCGGAGTTTAAAAAATTCATCAAGGCTGTTGAACAAGAAAACAATTATATTCATAAATGGATTCCACTTGTGGTGTGCTATGATCAGTTCATGCCAAAAATTCTATATGAAGAATGTGAAGATTCTGATTTGAAGAATGAAAATGCAAGTTTGACAAATAATAATATTGTCATATATTTTTTTTTAATTTGTTTAAAAACAATTAACCTTTAAATAATCTAAATCTCATATAATATATTACCAATCGTATTTGTTTACTACCATTTAGGCTCCTAACTGGAAATTATGCAGATTAATAATATTAAAATGCCTTGAGAATCTGTTGACAGTTCTGAATGGTCCAACATTCAAAATAAAAGATCCAACTCATTTCACAAAATTTCATTCACATTCAGATGAAAATGTTTCAAATATAGATTCTGTTGAATACCATGACATTGAAACATTATTCATGAAAGAAATACAAAATCAATTGAAATCACATTGTGACATCAGCGACAGTTACATTAACACGAGTGATAACAACAACATGTACTTGATAGCTTTAGATGACAATATGTGGCTGAGAAGCATGAGGCACCAAGTATATCAAGTTGCCAGAAAATGTTTGTAGAATATTTTGAATTTTTATTTATAGTTTCACCATTACCAAACTTTAAATCTTGAAATTTTTTATAAAATGGTTCATTGACATTCATTATTCTCAGTTATAATTTTCTAATTTGGGTGGATAAATGACCAATTTTTATTTTTCATAAAATCTTATAATTTTTTAGACACTTGTTCTATGGTGATATTATATTTTCCTGTGGATGTAGAAACATCTTTGCAAAGAAACTCAAAGAGAAAGCTAGAAGATCGAGTTTCTGATTCTTCCATCATCAAAATGGCGAATAATTTGGAAAAGCCGGATTCTATTTATAAATGGGAACGTTTTACTTTCATTTGGAATGGTGACAGTTCTGCAATTGAAAATAATTTGTAAGTCACCTTTGAAAACATTTTTGACAGCTTCATAAAAAAGATAAGAAACATTTTTTATATTTATCTATAAATTGGAGTTAGAGCAATTTTTGGTACAAAAAATTTAATAATTTCTAACCAACGACTCAAGCGCTGACCTGATGAAGATGATAGAAGAATCCATGGACCATCGGTGCTGTTCAGTACGTGAGGATGGCGAGGAAGAGGAAGAGAAAGTCAGGCAGTCTCGGGTGGCCACCCTCACAAACATCATCCACCAATCAGACATCATCCTTAGAAAGTTGTTGTCTAATCATATGAGCTCAAATTTAACAAAAGGTGATAAAAGTAAATGTGGTTTATTACCCTAACATCATAATTTAAACCAGTCACATTTGTTTTAACTTTTTCTCGTTAACATTTGTTTTAAATTTTGTTAGGATTTTTCATTAGATTTTAAAAATGCATTGACAATTTGTTTGCCAGTTAATTTTTTGATGGTTACAAAATACTCTTCAGATAAGAATCTAGACAGAAAAGAGATTGCTAGAAAAGCCGGTGCGTGTAATGATATCAAGAACAAAATCAGAAGCAGCATTAAGTTAGTATTGATGAGTGCATATTTTAATTTAACGATCATGGCATGTGCAAGTAATCAATTTGTAATATACACGCTGCAGGCTGTTCATCTAAAAACAATTTAAACAAATTTTTTGAAATTTTTTGTCAGGTCTTGCGAAATTCACCTACCCTTATTAACGCAAGAAGATGTTGAAAACTCATCGAGCAATGAAAATTCTCTCCTATACAAACATCTAAAACAACTGTTCACCAATCTTCTTGATGAACACGAGAACAATGTTTACACATCTGTTCACCACATTTCTTGATGATGTTTCATCGCCGTTATCATTCAGAATTATGTCATATTTTTTATTATAGTTTTGTTACGTGCAAGAATTTGAATTATTTTTTAAAATTTTTAAAAAAGCCTTTGACAGTAGCATGTCAGGCATTTTTATACAAAAAACACGACGTAATAAGGAAGCCACACGATTCTATAGCAAAATATAAAATATCCCAACGCAGTAGATAAATTTATCAAAAACGTACACTTTCATTGTAGAACGTTCTTTTCAAATCATTTCAAAATGAGTAAAACTTCAAAACATAAAATTGCTTGATTCAACAAATAATGATTTATAATAATTCACTTGAGTGAGCACACGTTTTGAAAGTAGAAAAATATAGAAACAGCACATGTTAGAGTAAAGAAAAACTCGCTGCACAACAAAAACTGTTGAAGCGTTGAGTTGCGTGCGTGATAAAATAATTATACTTATGAAAGAAATTCAATAAGAAACGCGAAAAATTGTAATAATTGATAAATGTCTCGATTTCAATCATTAAATTCTCCAAGTAAAAATAATTTTATTTTACCAATTAAAACGAATAAATAATTTTTCTTGCGATGGTTTTCATTGATTAGCAGCCGCATTGCGAACCTCCTCTGCAACAGGAAGGAAGTTACCGTCATCATCGTCTTCGTCCTTCTTCAACTTCGACCTCTTCCTCTCAATATCAATGATATCCCAGAACGTTCCCTCCACTGCCTTCACCCAATCTTCATCTTTCTCTGGGTTCAGGATGGTCGGGGATGCTGGCGCTCGAGCTGACGAGACGCTCTTCGGAATAGAGTCCTATAAAAATGGATAAACCAGTCGTATGGAAAAACAGTAAAAGAAAAGATGAATAAAGGAAATGTAAATTATGAGATATTTTATCAAAAGGGTCAACGAGTTGGCTTAAATGGTTCAAGTGCCGTGTCTCAAGCTGTCATTGGCAATGGCATAATCTTAATATTGTTTGTCTCTGATTCTTAAAGATTATCATACATGTGTGTCTGATGCGTGCTTGTCAAAAAAGGTCTTACTAGGTAAAATTTTAAGGGTTGCAGAAATTCCTGGACACAAAGTATAGAAAGGACATAAATAAAAACTAAAGCAAACATGAGAAAAAAGTGTTAACAAATATTAACACTAGTGGCACAATAAAGTATTTTAAAATGAAAATTATTCAAAAAAATATTCAATTTCAATGCAGTACAACAAAGTCATACAGCGTAACCAAGACTTGACTTGATCCTCTCCTTGGTTCTGAATTCTCGATGTTTCGATTCCAGCAACTTTTCCCTCCTTGCCTCCCTCTCGAACAACTGCCGATCAAATAATGGTCGTTCACATCACATTTCGATCGTGGAGTGATGGTGATGAAGAGGAAAAAACGAAAAATATGACGATGATGATTAAAGATGATGCTATTTGATGTAGATAAGTTTTGACGATGACATTTCTTGCGACTAACGCGACAAAATGTGACCAAACAAACATTGAAACCCCTCAAAGCTAACGTTGGAAATTATATTTTTCTCATTCTTATCCGGTAGAAAAAGAGATTCGTTGAGATTGTAGAGCATGACAAGCCCCTCCCTAGATCCAACGGCCACCATCTGTCCATTGTCGTACATTCTCATGCTGTCTAGGCATTCCTCTGTCACCTAATGAGTTGTACGAGTTCATAAATTAATGTTTATTTGTTGGGTATGAAAATGGTGATTTTCATTTTTAATCTGAAGTGTGAAAGTTATTATTATAGTATAATTTGTATATTTAAACAAACAATTAATATTTTTAACAAATAAATTACATTTTTTCAAATAAAATATAGATAATAATGATTATAGTGAACCATTATTTTAAAAATTATGCTAAATTTTTGCAAAAAAAAATAATTAATCATAAAATGTGGCCGTGAAATAATCGAACTGAGATTATAAAAACAAACCTACCTTAACTTTAAGTACTGAATTAGCGTGCATATGCGTTATGTCCCAGACTTCCATCATGCCATCTGATCGACTGGTTAGGAAGACACCTGCCCTAGTCGGACTCCAACAGGCATCTGTCATGTAATGCTGCCCATACCTTCATACATCACCCGTGCAAGTAATTGTTTGTTGGTTTGTTTGTTGGTTTGTTTGTTGGTTCGTTTTTTTCAAATCGAACAATCAAATTAAACAATGGAATGAAAAGAAGTAACGTTGAGGCAAAAGTGTGAGAAGCAAGTTAGCATATATGAAAACTACTTAATACGCCCAATGTTAGAATATAATTTCGGAAAGTCATTGTTCAACAACGTTTAATAAAAAGCGTTTTATTAATCTGTTTAATACGATAACTTTTATCAAAATAAATTAAACTCTTTAGTTAGTATAATATTTATTTGTACTAACTTTGACGACCAGATGGCTGAATCTTTGTGATCATCTACCCAAATCTGAATGGTTATTAGTTAGTAATAAAATTCCAAGTTTTATATTATCAGATATTTGGAATGTTCGCATATGTTTTAAAATCATATAACAATTTACGCAATCAATACGTCAATGGCTACTCGTCACTAAATTTTCAATCAGAAGACCCGGAATGTTGTCATCAAAATAATTATAAAGTCAAAACATTCATACAAGACCTGCAAGACGTAATACGTGATTACCTTGGCCGTCCAATCACCGACGGTTAAAAAATTTTTGAGAAAGAATGGATTTCTCTGGATGGCCCTGACCCCCCCCACGTGACCCACATGCACACTGGACACTCTTTCTTGGACACTCTTGGCCTTCCTGTTGCACGTTAAAACGTTGCCCTGCTCCGTGCCCGCCATGAATTTGGTTGGCTGGAGAAAAGTTTTTTTTTTGTATAAAATATTTTGGAGACGATTTTTGAAAAGATAAATTTCATAATAATTCGAAGGCTATTTTTAATTTATCCAATGACAGAGTCGTTCATTACGCTACAAGATCGAAACACTCCAACAACTTATTAAAAACTTTTGGTTTAAAGAGGATGAAACCCTTAAGCAACCATGGTGGCTTCGTACTCAATGGACAGTGCCCCATCAGCCGTTTTCAGATTTTGTCGCTTGGCGGTGTCCAGGCACATGTACTCCAGTGGCTCCTGCAACTTCCTCGTGTCCCACCACATGACCTTTTGTTCGTTGCAAGATTTTATTATAATAAAATAACAAATTATATTAATAATTACAATCAAAAATATCAAGTAGCACCTGTCCGTCAACTGATGCCGAAAAACATTCCGTCCCTATTTTACTGGCAATCCACAGAATTTTTGTCACCTTTGGAAAATATTTTATTCAAATACATTAAGTCGGGTACTCTAGGACCAAAATATAAATTTCCACATGGTACCACACCCTGTCTCGATGGCAACTTTCAATGTGGGTCAGCTCGCAGGGTCGAGAGTTTTTCCTGGTGTCAAAGAGGGCGACCTGTCCATTTTCAAGCCCCCCAATTAGCAGGTGTGAGTCTTTCGGACTGAACTCTAAGCAGCACAGTGGGAAGGGAGGTTTCAATGTGAAGTCAGGATGGTTGGAATTTTCTAGGGTAGTTAGTTTTCAGTAAGAGTTTTAACTTTCAGGTTTTAACTTTTATTTTACTTCACGAAAGATATTTTAATTGATATATTCCTTATATTTATTCGGTTGCTTAATTTCAATGAAAATCGTCTTTATTCAACCAATCCCTCTATCAATACCCAGCCGACTAACCAACATCCCATATGAAAGAATACAAATATGGACAGTCCTCGCCACCTTCACTAACTGAGCAGTTGGAATCGTAGCCAACATTATTCAAGACATTTGTGTACCTATTTATATCGTTGTTTATGTTGCGTAAAAGGTTATCAGCGTTGTTGTAATCATTGGTGATTGATATGAAAGCAGGATTTGATCTGACGGAAGTAAGAACAGGAGGACTTTTGGAACTTTCGTCGAAAGAATCGTCCCGATAGGCAACAGCAATTTTTTTGGGCCCGTCTGGGTACCACGTGATGTGAACAGCTGATCGTTTGCTTCCATTCGGGTCACTTGAAATGTTTTAGAAATTCATGTTTGAAACTATTTTAATTACTCTAGTAACTAGTTTAATAGAAAAAGTAGTTATCCTTATAAATGAAGATTTGTCCAAAAGAATTATATTGTTGTTTTTTTATTAATTAATTAATGACATATGACATGAAAATTACTTGAAGATGTTCCTAACTTGAACGGCAGGTTTGTAACTGAACATGTCGATATACGGTGGGTCCTCGAAGAAATTTTCGTATATGTCAACGGCGTTGTTCTGCTTTATGCAGTGCTCCATTCTCTGTGATATTTATTTTTAATGATTTGTTATAATAATTATCTAATTTATTGGTGATTCTGTGCCAATTATTTATCACTTGTCGGAAATATTGTTGATAAAATTTATGAATAATTGTTTTATTATAATATAGTTTCTTGCATTATTTTATAAGTATACTATAACTAAAAAATAAAACAACAACGTCAAAAAAAAAAAAATTTTCATCTTGAATAGAATTCAACAAATGAAAAAACACGATGATTGGAATAAATAGGTGAACAATGTGAAAGGCCAGCACCTTGGACAGATCAGCCATGGAGCGCAGGTAGCCCTCTTCCTTTTCAACTTTCTTTCGAAACCTGATGACTTGCTCCATCTCGAGAGGGTTGATGTCCCTGGGCCAGCCCCCTTCAATGTGGGTGATGGCCTCTACTTTTTGCATCACGCATCGAAGTGTTACACTGTTCGGTGTTTCATTAACATGTTTGTTTGTTTGTCTGTGTGTGTGTTGCATGTACGCGTGGTTTTCTATCGGTTTCGTGTCCGTCAGAAATTTTTTTGAAAAATATATAGATATCGGTTAGCAACAGTTGCGGTTGAGGTAGTACTGCAATGAGATTTTAAATTTTACCGATGTTTAGGCGGAAGAAACTTTGTTAGAATCACTATATTTCAAACCTCGTGTTCGGAGTAGGAAGGGCCACAATCAATGCTGACATCTACGGGATTTTTGTCTATGAAACTGCTTCTCAGTACTGGATCGACAGGGATGTCGCAGAGGAGTTCAGCTGGTCGGTCTGAGAAACTGCACTGACGCCCGAATTCGGATCTTCTTTTCGAATACACGTACATGATTTCCATCTTGCCAGTTTTTTTATTTTTTTCAAAAGTACTAATTTACTAATTTTTAATTAAAATGCATCATAAATTTTACTAAGCCACAAAAAGTTATCTCAAGATAAATTCAACAAATGAATGTTTATCAAAATAAAAATGAAACGTCAATAAATAATGATAGGATAGAGATTTTTGTATAAACTGTTTGACTGCGTTTCCAGGGCAATCTCAGTAAACGTGCACTATCTCTTGCTAATTGGAACTCATTGTTTATTAATGAATGAATAATGATGATAGAGGTTTGTTGTGTCTGAACGTTTGATGTTCGTCGTTCTGTTATATCATGAGCCTCTCTTCACAACAGTCAATCGTTTGCAAATTTCAACAAGAAGACGATGAATACGTCATTATTAGTGAATATTGACGTAGTATAACCCTAACACTCCACACACATTTTTAAATTTTGATAGTATTCATAGAAAATTTTCATGAAAAACACAATAATTTTGGAGTCTGGCTATTTTACTACATTGGCTTATTAGCTTATTTACAAAATTGCATGGGTTTTAACAAACAACTAGCTTGATTGGCATTGTTGTTGTTGTTATTTTTGTTTAACTTTTCATTTTTTCATTTCTCTCATACATACATGCTCACGTACATAAGCACATACATAACCACGTACGTGATGTTTTTAATTTGACAATAACACACCAGAGGAACCGACCTTGACATTTAAAATATTTATAATTTAATTTCATGCACACATACATACATGCTAACATGCTTAAATATGTAAGGACATACATAAGCATATACATGATGTTTTAGATTTAGCTAAAACACATCAAAGAAACCGACCTTGACATGTAAAAAAATTTAAAATTTAACTTCTTGCAAAATCGATGCTGATAATGATTCTAACAAAACATCGCGTTACTGTTAATCATTATACAAAACATATCAAATATAGCAGATCAACCCAGCCAATCAGAATTTCTTTTATTGTCGTTGGAGGAAATGACGTCATTTTAACTGTAGCTAATTAACTGTACGACAGTAAATTAGCAAGAATGATCGTTATATTCGATTTCTATCAAGAAAACGTTTCAAGATATTATATGCACACAAAACTAATTAAATAAATAGATATACTTGCTTATTATAAGTATTATTATACTTGCGTTGTTGAATCAGATACTGTTTCCAACTTCAAGAAGAATTTTGACTTATATATGGCCAACAAAGAATTTCTCTATGATTGACGTTTTTGTTTGATTGCTTTTTGTTGTCTTTTAATGCTGTTTTGATATGGGCATATGTAACTTACGATTAAGCCCATTATTTATTTATATTTATTTATTTATTGTAGATATTTTTATATTTATATTCAAGTTTAACAATCGATGCTAAGTAAGGTGTGGTTTCATGTTATTTCGGTGGCTCTCAAAAAAATTCAAATTTCGTGCCTACATATGTAAAAACAATAATTGTTGTTTCAATAATTAATCTATATAATAAATAAACACAAAGTAACTAAAATTTGTGGTGCATAATTAAAATTCTAAAACGAAGTAAGTAAATATGTCGAATGAATGTTATGAGAGGCTGAAATGTGAACTAAGAGTTAAAAAAAACTTAAACTACGCCAACTATTTGAAGAAACTTGTACTTTATACAGTAAAATGAAATCGTAATATTCAACATTATCAGCAAAAACGAAATAATTTATTTATTGTTTGTAATGCACTAAGCAGCCCGTCATGGAATGCCACAAATAAATTTCTTTCTTCTTCTTCCTTTCCTCTCTCAACTTCACATCCTCCTCCCTCGTCTTCTCATTAAACAAAACAGTCGCGGCCATCTTGTCCACAATGTTCACCCTGCCAGCCACGTAATCGACGTTGACAGCTTTCGAACTTTTCTTCCTGAGTGACGTGGCTTCCGATGTGAAGATGAAGGGAGGTGGTTCCATTGCGACCAGGGCCGACTTGTTTTTCTTAGAAGCGTTTTTCGATGCATTCAGTTGCTGCAGTAATTTGCTTCGTCGATCACCTTTGAAAGTTTAGAAATTAGAAAATAACAGAAAAACGCCTCAAAATAACACCACTCAGAAATTATTTTCAAATCCAGTAAAGTTAAAAATATCCCATATACGTTCCAAACATATAATAATAATAAAAATTTTGTCAAAAGAAGAATTGAAATATAAGACAACCCCGCACACTGTTCAAATTGGATGTAGCGTCCCCATCTTGAGATGAAATTGCATCAAGAGAATGTCCGTACGTCTGGTTGGTTGTGAGCGGATCGTTCATGTCCCAGGTGTAGTAAGTTGGCATACGTGACATCATCTTCATGAGTATGGAATGAACAATTGGCAAATTTCAATGAAATTAATACAAAATTTTCTTCACGGATTATAAATAAACAAAACCTCAAGCAAATTGAAACTTTTATAAAGTTTATTGTTTAGGAAACTCTTTTTTATAATGTTAGGTTAATTAAAAATGCTTATTTAGATCCCTTTCATTATTTGATTGCACGTAAGACATCAGCGAGGTACTGAAGAAACAACCCATACTCAGTCCTCAGGCTGTTTGCTAGTTTAATGTTGCCATGGGTACAACCACTTGTATATACAATTATATTCATATGTGTGTGTGTAACGTATATATAATATATAGTATATATATATATATATATAAATATATATCTACATGTATGCATGTATTATGCATAAGGTATATATACACACGTGCGTGTTTATGTATGTAGGCTATTTTTAAACATGCTCATCAAGTATTGTTTGTTGACAGGTAGGTATGTTTAAACCAAGGAATGAACTCAAAACTTAGGCTAACACCATATTCACGTATACTTGAATATAAATACAATAGGCGTCACGCATATCCAATGGTATCCTTACATACTTAGTCCACGAACTATCGAAATATTGAAACGAAACGTAGACTTTGAAACAATTTGTTACTTCAGTTTTTATTTAATTCTAATTTTCTTCTCCCAAACAGCACGACCACAACTAATTTTTAGAATTATGAAAAAATTACGAACATTTTCATGGCAACGTACAACGAACAGTCAAATCAGAAAACACCGAACATGGAATTAAACAAAAACTGCCGTAAAAGTATTATGTACAATAAAGTGCAACCTGCTAAATGGAAATTTGCTAAAATTTTGTATATAAGAAATGGCACATATTTGTATGTATGTATGTTTATATATAATAAATGACATTTGTATATAATATTTAAAGGGAATAAAACCATAATTAAAATTTTGTAATTGACTGCGGATTAAACAAGCAGACAAAAAAACTGTCAGTCAGATAGATGAACAGACTACGATAACAAACAAGCCAACTGGTTCATAACAACAGCAAACTCACAACTCAGTCCAACATCCATATATTTTATACACAAACAGTCTAAACTATTCACTCAGAATCCATCCACCTATCATCTTAACACCACATCAAACATCCATCAATCAATCTCTTCATTCATTTATTCATCCATCAATAAACCAATTCATCCGTCCATCCATTTATTCATTTATTCATCAACCCATCCACCCTTCAAGGTTCAACAGTACTGTTATTTGCCATCTTAGCATCATCAACTCTAGTAGCAGCAGCAGTAGAAGAAGCAACCACTTCATTACCACCACCACTATGATTCATTCTGGACGTCGTGTGGTGCTTGCCGCTGTTGTGGTAACGTCTGCGTTTGTTCCGCTGGCTCGGTTCGTTCAGACTGTTGCTGCCATACTGGTAGGCGGCATTCTGCATGATTTCATCATGAGTCGGCGAATCCATGTCTGTGCTTTTTGTAGTCGTTGTTGATGACGTTGGATTGTGATGAGTTGCTGGAGTTGTAGTTGTTGCTGATATCGCCGTTGAAGAAGCTGCCGCATTTGAAGCATTGGGAGTGGCCAGAGTTGATGAAGATGCTGCTGCATCGGGCTTCAATTGCTGCTGAGATTTCTTGAGTGGTCTCGACTGTCTGAGATTCTGTGCCACAGCTGATATGTAGGGAAAGAGTTTTGTGATGGTTCCTACAGCTTTCGTTCTACCTTCCCTGAACACCAACCTGTTTGGTCATTTCCACGTCAGGGCAATTAAAAATTTATTCGTTTTGAAACAAAGCAACGTCGTCAAAATAAACTAAATAAAACACCAACAAAAAAACCAGTTGCTTTAAGTAATAACGCCAAAAAAAATGATACCACCTGGTATCCATGCGAATGTACTCGGGGTTCTTGATGAATCTGAACCTGACGATGGCTTTGTCTCCAGTCCTCAAATGTTCTCTGCTCATAGACAGGATCGTTGCCGTCTGCCTCACACTGCCCACGTGGACTGTATGCGTACGTATATGCATGTGATTGCATGTGAAAGTAAGTGCAGGTGCATATGAGTGTATGAGTATACTCTGTGTAGAGGTGTATGCCACAGCGTCACACTGACTAACCCATGGCTTGATACTTGACACTGATCGTTGTCGGATGGTGGAGGACAAGAATCTCACCTTCAAATTCCCAGCAAGCACGAGGTTCCAACGCTGGAGATACCATCACCATACCTTTTCGTATCTGCGATCTCTTCAACTGTTTCCATTAATTTATTCGTTTGAGGAAGTTATTAATTAAATAATATTTCAATCAACTCTCACAACCCTGCCACATCTAACCCAATCAAACCTTCTTAAGAGCAAAAGAGGCAGTCTGACCTCCTTTGACCTCCTTCACGGGCATTCTCTTCCGGTGGATACTCTTCACAACGATGGACATGAAACCTCCGTTCGGATCGGGACCCAGTAGTAATGTGTCTCCTAACTTTATGTGGCCTCTCAGGGTCGTACCTGAGACCACTGTACCTACACCCTACAGCATACAATAAATCACATCAAGACAACATGCAACATTAACATGCAATTTAAATGAATTTAAACGCTACAAAATGAAAAGAAAAAAGTAAAAAAAAAATAGAAAACACGAAAAAAAAACGAGTAGAACTGACGGGAACAGCGAAGGTTTCATCAATCTGGAACTCAGCTGGATCGTTGTAGTGGCATGGCATTCGCGTGGACAGCAGGTTGAGGAAACTTTTCAACAAATTCAAGTTCTCCCCCGTCACGTTTGACACTTGGAAGATTGGACACATCCTACGTTCGTTGTTTGGTGCAAGTCCAGGTAAGATATAATAAACAATGCCAAATAAATATTAAAATGATTGACATATTTGTGATTATTGATATTATATTGAATAAATTTTAATAAATTAATGAATGAGCTATCAAAGTCTTTAAATGAACTGACGATCTTAACACATTTTCGTAATGCAACGTCAGTAACCTATTGATGATCAGAAAATATTGAAATTATAGAAAACCACAAAATGTTAATTAGAACACATGCCAGCAACAACAAAATTAATAAAAAGAACAAACATTCACACAAACACACAGACAACAAACACACACACACACACACACACAAAACCTTTCAGAAGTAAAATTGGTAGCGCTGACAACGACATCATCTTGATTCTGTACGAGTACAGGTATCTTCCTACAGCCTGGTGACTTCAGTACCTTATGCAACATCTGCAGGGTCTCCTGCAGAATGTTCGGTGGGCACATGTCGATTTTGGTGACTACCACAAAAACAGGAACGCACAGTGCCAACGCAAGACCCAGGTGCTCCTTCGTCATGCCTATGATGCCTGCATTTGCTCCTATCTAGATGGGTGGGTAGGGTCAAATAGGTCCAGTGGTAGGTTGCATTTTTTAAATTATTTCCTAACATGTGACGAGCACTTTTGTAATAAGGGGAGATTAATTTAGAAAATTTGTTTCTATAATGACGTTATGATACATTATTTATAAAAATTGTTATTATATAATATGCTATATTATTTTTAGACTTGGATCAAATATATAGTACTGTAACTGAAACAAAGTTTAGGTATAAGGTTTTAAAACGTAATTCATAAAACTAAAATTACACTCAGAAAAACATTTGCTGACCATCAACATTCCGAAGTCAGGGGCATGACCGGTCATCCCAAAGACCGTTGTTTTGAGGTACCTCTCGTGGCCAGCCAGATCTATGAAGGTTATGATCTGAAATGTAGGGAGAGGTTCGTATGGCTGATGAGTTGAAAACCATTGTAAACCACACATTATTATCACAAGATAGATATTTGAACCAGAAAATCCCCAGAAAAAATTAATTAGTTTAGTTACAGGCTACAATTGACAATTAAAAGCAATTTAATTATTAACAAAGTAGAATAATTCTATCAGCATAATAACTCAGATGCAGAATATTCAAGTTATACAACAACTAAGCAACAGAAAAATGACAGATAATTGAGTATGTGAACTTAGCAACTAACCTTAGATGCTTTTTCACAAATTTTCACCCAATCTAGACTTCCATGTTCTGGTCGGTTGACAACATTTCCATGACAATCAAAGCCAAGAATGTCATTTCCGACACTGCTCGTCCGACCAGACTCCATCTCATGCTTGTGTCTGAAGAGTTTCTGACGGGCATGACCTCTGCCATTGTCCAGTTCAACGTGGGTCAACACTCCAAGCAGGGTACTTTTGCCAGCATCAACGTTTCCAACTACGGCTACTCTGCAATCACGTTTGTTCAATGTTGTGGCTTGAAATTGTAAACTTCCACATTTGGTAATTTAAAAAATTTATCTCTTTTTTAAAATACAAAAAAAATCTATGATAGGCAAGAAAACAGAATATCCTAAATAATCTAAATGCAGAAAGAAACAAAATTTAGTTTGCTCTCCACAAAAACATAAAAAAACTGAAAAACTGAAAATATAAACTTAATTCTTAAAAACTTACAGCCTTGTTATTAAAGAGTTATTCAACACCAACTAACCAATCAACTTAAAAATTGACCAGCTAACAAATTAACCATCTAGCCAACAAGACAAGCAACCAGACAACTAACCTAACTTCCATAAAATCCTTTTCCTGAACTCTGACCCTGACCAGATATTCAGCAACCTCACCCCCTTCTTCAGTCCGATGTCTCAACTGCAGACACTCAGCATTCAGGCTGGCAGCCATGCTGGTTAGAGTTGCAATGGAGGCCTCGAGGTCAGCTTTCGAAAGCCCTGCAACCTCTCCCTCTGTTTGTTCAGATGAAATTAAAAATTTTATAAGGTATAATTTACTCTTAATATGATTTCCACATATTTTATTTAAATAAAGCTCAAGTATTGGTAATAATAATCAACTCAAAATTGAATTTAAAATTCTGACTCCATAGAAATGAACATAAATTTTAATGATAGCCAAAAAATATAGCCCAACATAGCAGACACTCCATTACCTCCCAAGCCAATGGAGTAGATTGTCTCACCCTGGCTCTCTTCCAAACGAATTTTCAACTGTTTCAATAACACATCATATTCATCATCATTTGGACTCACAAGAGATTTCTAAATAATTATTTAATATTTGAAAATTATTTTAAAAAGTTTGTAAGAATTATCGTTAACCATAAAAAGGAAATATGTAAATTTGTTTTTCAGAACCTTGTGATTGACAACCACTTTCTCTTCATTTTCTTTCTCATTCATCAGCTCATCATCCTGCTCAAAGAAATTATTCATATCAGGACCTTTCATGAAATCCTCATGAACACTCCCAGTATCCATGTTCATTGTTGGTGATGGATTATATTATATATATTTTTGTTTTTGGTGATGCTGTTGCTTTTTTCTATTCAAAAAAGCTGAAAGAATGATTACAAATTAATAACTTAAATAATAATTTATTAATAAATAATATTAATGTCACAAGTGGGTCCATGAATGATGTCCTATTACTAATTAGTTATCATCAGTCATGAAGAAAATAAAAAAAGGAAAAATAGATTTTTTTATAATCTAGCTTCTAACACCAAATACCAGTTAATTTTTAATAAACTAGAATTCAAAAAATATTAATATTTTCTAAATGTCCTATAAAAACCAGAAACAACAACCCACCAAATAGCAAGATAATGAATGATGAAATTTACTTCTTAAAAATTTCATAAAAATTAATTACAATTTTTACTTATATTTTATTACTTATATTATATTAGGTTTTGGCATCTTAAAAAACTTGCATTTTAAAACAAAAATAAAATTGTTTAGATTAATTTTGTGATTATGACCAAATGTAAGTGTCTAATGCAAGTGTATATTATAAACCATGTGTATATAAATAAAGCTAGTCTTCTATAGTAGTACTATATAATAATTTAAATACATACAGATTACAGATACAGTGTAAAGTGTAAATAGGTAAAAAAGTAATCTAAACCAGTTTCTTCATTTATTACAAAAATCATCTATTCAGTTAAGTTAATTAGCAGCTAACCTTTCTTATTAATTTTTAAATTTTTCTATCTGTCATATTTTTCTAACTTTTTTTACACGTGAACAAAAAAACGACGGAGGGAGGAGCTTGGGGCAAGATTAAGAAATCAAATCAAATAAGAAAACATATGATATAAATAAATTTCTAGTTTACAAGTTAAAAACAATTATCATTTTGAAGAACAATATACACAGATGAAAATTATAACAAATTTCTAACACGGATGTATATAAGAGTCTAACATTTCATAAACATGATGACATTTTTGCAATTTTTATGAAAACTTTCGCAAATAAGTTTACGTTTAAAAAAAGTGATATTTTCGATACCAAAGAGTTCGACCCATTTTTTGCACGAAGCCATAGAGTTGAGAGATAAGAATTGAACAATATTTTTTAACTTATTGTTGAGTTTAAATATAAAGTTTAAAGGTATATTACACTCTTCTTAAGTTTAAAGAAGTTGACAAGGCATAAAAAGCCCATGTGAATACGTGCTGGACGATGCATCACACGTAGCATGTGATAAATGGAGATCATTTTGTCTTATTCAAATCCGATCATTGCACGCAATGCAAAACAGCACTCGGCGACCTTATCACTGGCCATCGCACCGACTAAACTTTCTGAAATTTGTGTTAATGCCTTTTTAAATAAAATTTAGAATGGAAAAGTGCGATTGGACAGTCAGAGTCTTAAATTTCATCTGTGCTAATGACATCTACAGTTAAAGTTAGCAATATATTGAACAAAAAATTTTTTTTAACATCTTTCGTCCCATTTAAGCAATTAGACGTGTGTGTTGCTAGTTTATTAATGTCTTTTTTTGCTAATTCTATTTTGTTTTGTCTTTCCGACTACTGAATTTACCGGTTTATAGAAAAAAATGGACATTTATAACACATCATGTTTATACTACGGCATATATTTTATTAACAAACAAATAACAATTGTTCTAGTTTTTATATAACAAATTTATTTAAAGTTATTGTAACTTGATTAATTAATAATAAAAAACAACTTTGTTCGAATGCAATAAGCATTATTTAATTTCCACAAGAAAGTGAACTACTTTCTCCATAGAGAATCTATATTTTGATAACTGATAGCGTCAAGAATCGCTCGCGGCCACTCGTTGCGGATATGGACCTTAGGGTAAGCATCTGCGGCCCACTGGTTGAATTCTCTGAGGCAAAGTTCAAATTTGGAAAGTAATCGACAACGAGCCCTGTACCCCTCTCCACCTCCAGGATAGTCGAACTGCAGCTTATTTTCTTCTTCCTGATTTCGTGTTTCGTATTTTTTGTACAATGTTTAATTATACATTTATTTATACATTTATTAAACTATTATTATAATATAACTATAATTATTTATTTAATCATTTTGTATTAATTATCCTATCTCAACATATTATTACCACTGATTTACACAAAGGTAATTTAAATGAAACGTTTTATCTAAACGTTAAATAATTACGTCATTACGCTGTATTTTTGGATTCCCTCGGCATCAATTATAATAAATGCATGACGTCATTGCTTTTTAGCCTCCCAGTAGAGCATACAGAGGTAGAAATACGATAGGACAATTCCAGTTTAAATATCCATGGTTATTACTAAATATAAATTCAGGATAAAATATAACAAAGTTTTTAATAAAACCCAAATAATTTGGTTGAAGAGCCTCTCGTATCTTATTTGCTTGCAGTTCATGTTGTCCAACTCCTCCTTCAACAACCTCCAATGCTCCACGCTAAATCGTTCCACAGTTGATTCATCGCAACGATTTATACTGAATATAAAATTTTGCAAAAATTAATTACAAACCGCTATGTGTATTTTATCACGTAAAAACATGACAGTAAGAGAACTTGGCGCTGAAATAATTTTTTACAATTGATTAAAAAAAGTTAATAACATTTGAGTGAGATTTATTTCATCTTGACTAGGTGTTAGGAGTATCGGAGAGTGATTTGATTTTTTTTCCTGTCTATCAACATCATCTCTTTTTGTCTTCAGCAGACGAGATTTGATGGGACCTAGGTGCTCCCCGCCTTCCGTAATGTTCTGCATTCTTTTCAAGATGTGTTCGGCTGATGTTCTCACAGCGATCTGATGAACAGAAGTGAGTAGCAGTGATTAATATATGTGTAAGGAAGTTCTTCATTTTTTTTACATCATACGATTGATTTTTATTTAAACTATTTGCGTGGTAAATGGTGTGGTACAAACCTTTATGGAGTAGGAAGTTTGATTTTATTTAAATAGGTTGTAAACTATTTAAAAATTGATCTAAATCTGTCGAAAGAGCATACTAAAAAAAGAAGCATATAATTAGATAGATGTTTTAATGATATTAACGTTTTATTAACGACAATTAGAGCTTTCAGCACATCGTGGTAAACAAACTTGCAATTAGCAAAACGAATGCAATGCGATTTTCACCATTGTTTTTCATTTCACAGGCCACACACGCACGCAGATTAAGGATCTTAAAGAAGACGGTTACGTGCGCTTCTTACATAATCTCATATCTAAGCTATTCTGCTTTAAGGCATTTTCATTGTTGAAAAATTAGTTAATCAGTAATCAGTTGTTAATTAATTAATTGGTCAACTGAATAATTATAGCAAATGATTTAAAAAAGTTTTCATGAAATTTGTGAAAGATTAATCACGATGTTCAAATATATTTTTTATTTAAGAGAATTTTAACACGACAGAAGAATGTACTCATATGTTTTATAGCAAAGAATTAAAAAAATATAGTAATATAGTATCACTTTAATAATAAATGCTTTTATTTATTCACAATATTTATCGCCATCGTATTTTTCCAGACGGGAACTTAGATATGAAAATGAAGGATAGGTAATGCAAATGTATGCGGCCTTAGGCTGGCGGCGTGTGATTTTTTCATGAATGTTAATTGTAAATGCTCCACAGAGATGAGATATTAATGATAAAAAAGTATAAAATATGATGTACATGGTCAGAAGTTTTTCTGCCGTTTTTCTAAGAAAAAAAACCTTCCTCGACATTTTTTCTCTCAAAAAGCTATCTGACTGAATTCTGGCAGAAATGGCAAAATAATTTTTTTTTAATTATTTAATGATTGATTAGTTAATGGTATTAGTGATAAAAAATTAGAAATGGTAAGAATTCTTTAATTTTTTATTGATCAGTTAATGATTCATTTATAAATTGTAGAACTGTTTTTAATTCCGAACGATCAATCTTCTGTGTGATTTGATTACTCGATGTTCATCATTGAGTTCACTCGTACTATCATCATCTTCTTCTTCACCATCATCTTAATCTTATTCATCGTCATCCTTATTATTATTAGTAGTGTGGTTTTATCAGATGAAAAAACTGAAAACTATTAAAAATACAAGAGATGAGCAAAATAATTCCTCACACAACAAATTTTTTACTGTGCCACTTTTTTTCTCTTTCTTTTTTCTTTTTTTCTCTTCCTCTCTTCTGTATCTGTCTGTTTCTCTGTCTGTCTCTCTCTCTCTTTCTCTCTCTCTGCTTTTTTTTGTTTTGTCTTTATCTCTCCTCTATCTGTTCTTTTCTTTCTTTCTCTCTCTTTCTTTCTCTCTCTCTCTTTCTCTCTCTCTCTTTCTCTCTCTCTCTCTCTCTCTCTATATATATATATATATATATAAGTTATTTGTGTGTGTGTATTTATTTATGATTAAAATCATTTTAAATTTCGGTTAAATAAAATTTATTTACCTATTAACTTGACTTCTGCTTAGGAAAACTTAATTAGTTTTCTGTATATCCAAAAATAATAACATATCTAAAAATAACACGAATGTTTTTGCAAAAATTTAATCTAACTAAATCAAAGCTGAGTAAAATTAAAATGTTTATAGAAAAATTATTTATGGCAACAAAAAAAAATCTATCCAATCTATCCATAGCCATAACCTCTAAAAGAAAAACTTAGTACTAACGTGTAACATTTTATTTGATTAAAAAAAGTTCGTCGGAAGAAAAAAATAAGCGGGATTTATAACGCAATTCGATGTGAAATTCTCGCCATAAAAATGTTTGCCAATTGAAATGAAGTAACTTAAATGCAAGCAACTTTCGGCAATTAAATGCGCCCCACAGTCGTAGCGATGAACCTAAAGTTGCCTAATTAATTTTTTCTTTTATTATTTCGTTCATACTAAATTTGTTTCTATCGTTATTTAGTTATTTATATATTGTACTTTAATGAATGGCTTGCACTACTAGTGTATTATTATAGTGTGTTGTATCGTATTACATCGCATTGGATTGTGTTGTGCTGTATTGTATTGCATTGTATTGTGTTGTATTGTGTTGTATTGTATTGCATCATGTAATGTATCATTTTCAATGTTTTGTATTTTTAGCCTCGCTTGGGTATGGTTTTTTGGTACATGTTTCAAGTAGCACTCTGAATTTTTCATTTGTTCTATTAATTTTGGATAGATCGGTTTTTTTAGCCATCTTACAAAACTTCTCTTGAAAATTTTGATAATAAGAAAAGCAATCTTTATGCTACGAATGGTTAGTGGACTGGCCATTGAAATGAAGAAAGACTTGTTTATATGTTTTGTCGATGATTACTCCAAAGCTTTTGATAGCCTGAAACATGTGGAGCTTGTGGAAATATGGAAAAATTTATACACTGATGGGAAAGGCACGAGAATTATCAGTAAAAGCAAAACCGCCTCGATTTGCTCCATAACCATTAATGGTAAACAAGGGAAACATGTCAACAGCTTCAATTTATCTTGGAAGTCTGCTTACCTCAGCTTGTAAATGTGATGTGGATATCAAAAGAAGGATAGCTATGGCGAAAGATGCATATTCTAAAATGAAAAACATACTTTTAATGCATTTTTGTGAAAAAAATAGCAAACTATAAATGAGCATATAGGACATCGCTAGAGAAAATTGTGAAATTATCTATATAACTACAGTTGAATTGAACGCAGACAGGTTAGGTTGCCATGGAGTTTGTTTGTTTGTTGGCAGAAAAAACTAACTCGAAAAATTTAACGATCAAATAAAACATCTCAAATAAATTTTTAAAATTTAAAATTTTAATGAGCCTCTCTCATTAACACTGACGCCATTTCTCTTTCTTCAATGCTTTGCTCTATCCTTTTTCCCTTTAATTTTTATTTATTTTTTAAATTAAATCTTCTATAATAGGTTTTTACTTTTATTTGGGGATTTTCTTTATTTAAGTTGCTGTCAATGAGTCTTTAATTAAATTTGATAAGTTTCTTCTTTAGAAAGAACTATGAATGAATCCATAAAATTTACATCAGCGTTAGCATTGTGCTTCTGTAATGAGCTCCTTCTGGACTGACAGTCCTTCCTATCAGACGTTAAAAATATTTTAAAACTTGAAATATAAATAAACTTAAAATAAAAATGAAATAATAAAAGTGATAAAGAAATACAATAGCAATAATAACTCCAGGTAGAGTTTTTTTCTCAAAATGTTTTTGTTACGTGACTTCATTTCACTAAGTTTTAATTAACTTAATTTTTCTTGAAATTAATGTCCTCTCCTGTTACTTATGATTCTTCGCATCGAAAATTATGCTTAGGTGCCCCTTTACGTTTGCACCTACTTCGGTTTTTACACGTTATGTGATTGTTTGCACACACACACACACACACACACACACACACACACACACACACACACACAGACCGCAAAATACATCCCGAGTGTGCGTGTTCATCAGTGTGTTTGCTGTGTTGGTGTGTTGATATAATTTTTCTTGCTTTATGCCTGTGTCTGCTTACCCACAAATGTTTCCTAATCTGATTACATAGACATTTGTTTGGCCCCAACACAACGCACGATCGATCTTGAAGACGTTGTGAGCAAATTAAGATTTATATTTCAATTTCGAAGTGCCTCCAGACGATGATAAGCGTGCTAATGACGTGATACCTGAAAAAATTGCGATTGTTAAAATTTGTAGGAATCATGTTCTATTGAGGTTTCACACATTCCACTAAGATTATGACGAATGAAAAAAATTGGAAAAGTTTTCAAAGAAAAAAAATATTTTTTTTTTTTGGAAAGTGGAAATAAAATCGTTACTAATGTAAATTTAATATGAAATTTCTACACACACACACACGCACGCACGCACACACGCACACAAACAAACACATACACACACACACAACACACGCACACGTAGAACGCACAGCGCATACACAAACGTCCACACATTCACACACACATACAAACACATACAAACACACACATACAAACACACAGAGACGCAAACACACCTGCATATGTTTGCATCGTAGACATACTTAGTAAGTGTTAAGCTTGTCTGACAACCCAAACACACCTCAGATTTACGATGAATGGAGAGGGTGGGAGGAAGGAAGAAGAGATGAAAGGATAGGAGGAAGAAAGAAAAAAGGAAAGAAGAAAGCGATGAAAATAGGTGAATTATTTATTCAAAGTCGCCAGCAGATTTCACACTAAACTGTCTCAATAAAATTCCTTATGTTATTAAATGGTGAAGCTGTGAGAGCTTGGTCCTGCTGTTTCAAATACAATAATAATAATGACAATACCATAGCAATATTGTACCTTATACACACTAAATGTAATTGATTGGAATCATTGGTAGCAGTAACAGAGCGGAACTGTAAGTAGCAGCAGTAGTATTGGTTGTAAAAGTAGATATTATGAGAGCGCTAGTAAGATTTTAATAACAGCCCTAGCAACAAAAATAGTAGAAACAAATGATCTCGAGTGCAGTAGTACAATAAAAGTAGCAGTTGTAGTAGCAGCAGTAGCAGCAGCTTTGTTAGTAGCAGCAACATTAATTTGATTTATTTGTTTCTGTTGTTAAAAAGAAGAATAGACTCAAGTTTTTAAAACGTGTAAATCTTTGTAAACTATTTTCTATCTATTTTCTAGTGAATGGTTTGGAGACCAATCTATTATTTTCTGTTATAGCTGAAAATGATTATTATGCTCATGTTAGCCCTGCAAATAATGTCAAACTCTGAATGAAACGTGTTTTGGGACACTGTTATTTCGCAGCGACGATAAATTAAACCCTAATTTTTATAAATGTGACAGATGATCGTCAGCAGGATTCCTACGCTCAATAAAGGTTTGCTATGTCAATAAATTTTCATGAATAAATTTGCAGTAATTTATGAAATATTTGTGCGTATGCATGTGTGTGTGTGTGTGCGTATGTGGTGTGTGTGTGTTTTCGTGTACATTCCGTTGCGTTTGAAAATCATCTACCTACGTTTGTTGGTGTGCATATGATGTTGGCGAATGCGGATAAAAATTTTTTTTTTAAGTTTACATTTTTTTAAATAAAATTTTTGTGAAACTTATTGAACCGATGATTGCATTACACAACACAGCCATGGACAGCTAACCAACAGAGACTGAGGCCATATTTTATTTTATCCTATTACATTAAATACTCGTTGGTCGGCGTCTGCTGGTATAAGTAGATTACCCCATTCCAAACAAGTTACTGCTATGTGTGAGTATTATTTTTAGTTGTAACGGAAGCAATACTATCAGCAGTAGTAATATTAGTAGTAGAAGTAGTAGTTTTAGCTGTTGCAGTAGTAGTGACGGTAGTTGTTGTAGTATTAGTAGTAGTAGTAGTAGTAATAGAAGTAGTAGGACTGGTAGTAGTAGTAGTAGTAGAAGTAATAGTAAAAGTAGTAAAATAAGTAGTAGTAGTAGTAGGAGGAGTAGTAGTAGCGGTAATAGTAGGAGTAGCGGCTGTAGTAGTTATAAAACTTAGCCATAAATAAAAAACTACTGATTTCAAATATTTATTTTTAAAAAATTGCAAGGGAACAACGAAGACAAAAACTAACGTTCAAATGCAACATGAGGCTGAATATGACAGCCAGGATAATCCTACTCTTCACATTTAAACGCATAATTTGACGTCGATGACGATACCAAACGACTGTTGTTTGTCGTTTTTGTCGCTGTATTGTTGTTACGTCGTTGCAGTTGTTTGTTGTTTTGTGTCTAATGTTAAACGCTGATGTCAACTATAAGGTAGAACTACTATTGAATTGAGAGACAGAGAGAGAGAGAATGACGAAGAGAGAGATAGAGAGAGAGTTAACTTTTTCGGAGCTTGTAATACGAGTTGATATGTTTATCTTTCAAACAGTTTGCGATTAATTTCTATTTCAATTTCAGGCTGAATCAATTTTTAAACTATCAAGGTTTGATGCTCTTACAAAAAACAAATCTTTAAACTTTTCGTATGAACAAGTTATTTGAATTAGATCGAATGAATGATATCTGGAAATGATATATATTTATGCTAGAGATGAAAGTTCATTCAGCATCGTTCTTACGCCACAAATTATAAATACTTCTTTCCAAATAAAAATCTACAAATAACTAAACGAACCAACTAAACTGCATCCGCTAAACGAAAAGAGAAAAAAAATTGTTCCAATTCAAAAATACATGAAACCGTAAATTGACGTTGTAAAAATATCCGGTTGAATATCAAGAGACTAGCAGGAATCAATTATTCAAGTGAATGAGTTCGGGTCATCTCCATTGTGTCCTTTTATACTCCTAACAGCCATCGCTCCAGGCAGGTGGGAATCTGACAGTAGCTGGTGAGAACGTCATATTCGTACACATACTGCTATTTGGTACTGCTACGTATTCCTATATATATATATATATATATATATATATATATATATATATATATATATATATATGTTGGTAATAGACCATAATTTTTACAATATTCTATAAATTCTACCGAATGTTTGGCGTTATATTCTACCGAATGTTTGGCGTTAAACATTCGGTAGAATTTATAGAATATATATATATATATATATATATATACCATTGAATATATATATATATTCAGAGATATATATAGATATATATAAATGGTATTGAACGAATTTGAAATGAAGGCTGGTGGCTTAAGTTAAACGATCTTTTTGGCCATGTCCAAAAAGTTATCTCATGTTTCAAAGACAGACTCAAATCTCACATGCATTTGTTCTAGTTAATGTACAATACTATTGGTATCAAGTAAAAAAATAAAGTTGGCAATTCTATTTTCGTATTTAATCAATGCTAATCACTCTCAGACATATCGCCACATTTTATAATTAGCGAATTTGTGCATCTGCCAAAAAACTGACAAGCTTGATGTTCAAATTGCAGCATTGCAGTACAAAATGTGTTAAATCCTCTGATATATTTACTAGAATTTAATTTATTTTCATTGGTAGTAACAATTTTGTGAAAACCACACACTAGCAACTGAAAGACATTTATTTCCATCAAACTGTTCCATATTTTCAGGTAGACATCTCAGATTGATTTTCTGGTGGGCTTGAGGGAATACTTATTTTTCAAATTTAGTTCAATTTTTCTTGTAAAATATAGGAGTACTTATACGCTGCTCATTTACATTTCTAAAGTCAAGTAAAAAGCAACCTTTTTATTTATATGTATGTAAATGTGTTTGTGCAATTATGTATGAACGTTGTGATTCTTTAGTGTAAAGTGATGGATGAGTCGTTTTGACATGCATTTGATTCCATATCTCCTACTAATGCAATGCCTACATTTTTACATTTAACTTTTCCACGTGGCTCAATAAACGTCCAACACCACCTGCCAACCGTTGCTGAATTAACTTTTAAAGATCGGACACTTAACAGCCTGTCTCCAAAAATTAACATTTTGATGGGGCTGATTCTATCTGGACGTTTCCTAACAGTAAAATTTTAGTTTCAGTTTAAAAAAGAATTTTCCGAACATGTTTCTATGTTTTCTTCTTTATCATTGCACTATCAACTTCACTGAAACGTGATGTCAGGTACGCGCTGCTGAAACGTTCTCTCATTTGAAACGAAACAGTACGCTACGCTGCAGTGCGTATACGAAAACATCAAAGAACGCTTTCAAACGCCAATACATTACGAACGCCAGCACTGTTCAATCTATACATGGATCTAAGCAATTAAACAAGCCTACATGATCGTCTAGCATTTTTAAAAGTAGAACATTTTTCACAAAATACTATAAGTGAATGTGTGTAGGTGTGTTTGTGTGTGTATTTTACTCCTTTCCTGGTATGTTGAGTGTGTGTGTGTGCGTGTGTGGCGTTTGAATTATTTTTTTGTATGTCTAAGAATTTTTTTGAAATAAATTTGAAAGTTTGATCGAAATGGTGTCAGTAGGCTGCTTGTGGAGGTGGGTGTGTCTCTCGTTAATAGTGATTGGCAGCTGTTAATGCCTCAACGTTCAAAATGCAAATTCAGATGGATCGGGCAGGCATCCACGCAGACTTGAACGTACTCTTGAACATTCTCGAGACGCAATGAATGAACACATGGAAAGATGCATGCATGAATAAACAGATGGAAAGATGAACATGAATGCATGAACTTATGGATGAATGCAATAAGATGCATGCATGCATGAATGCATGAATGCAGGTGCAGACTTGCCTGAAGACCTGAAGATGAATGAATGAATGAAAAAATGAACGAATGAATTAATGAAAATGTTGATTAAAACGATTGATGCATTGATGCATAAACTCGTGTATTTTGTTCAATCAGATGTACATTTCAAATCATATGTGTTGCTGCTACTTTTACGGTTTTTGTACATGTTTAGGTTGTGGCTTTAACAAACATCCTGTTCGTTCGTGTGTGTGTATATGTGTGTCTGTGTGTGTGTGAGTGTGTGTGTGTTTGCGTGTCTGTTAAATAAATATGAAGGAAAATGTTCCTGTGAACGTCTTTACAAATTTTTGAGTAAATGTGGTTTTGTGCAAATTGTATTTGAGCTTGTGTTAGTTGGTTAGTGTGGAGAAACATGTTTCAATATGTTTTTCTTTGTGATGGCGTGTAATGAAATGTGTTGGAGATGATATCATGTTGTGAAAATGAAGCAATTTATTTACTACATGTTTGTGTCACATACTTACACGCACATGTTTGTGGCATCTTTCTACAATGAATTCGTATTGGAAAATTGCTAGTACATATCAACAGCATTTTTTATTACATTTAGGTACTTATCTAAATATGTAAATAAATTACTGTATAGGATATAGGACAAAATTTACCTATAATTTTAGATTGCGTTTTCCAAACATCTCACAGCATGAACCTAGCTTACGTACATCACTCATTAAATCACCTTGAAGGAATAGCATATTAGGTAGAAATAGTGGAATGAGTGAATGCAGAAATAATGGATTGGAGGAATGAAAGTGAAGTGAACTCCAGTATCAATGTGATTGAATGAGTTAAGGAATGAATGAGAGATTTAATAAATATATAAATACATAAATGAATCAACTAATGAATCAATTATTTAAATTATAAAAATGTTAAAAACAAACTAAGAACAAGCCAAAATGGATCTGATTTTAATGTGAAAACGCTGAAAAATTTATCAACATCAAATAAAAATATAAAACTTTTTATAAAATTAATGACGAAACATTCAGACAATTCTCGGAGACAAATTTCATGCACTATTTTATTTTTAACGTCTATTGTAATGAGGAGGAACAAACGAATGGCTGGAAACAGCATTTGGCGTGGGTCCTACTATCGATTGCTGTAGGTTTACGGACAACAAAAAAACTAAAAATATGTGCATAATTATAAATATGAACAAACACGAACAACACAGAAATATACAGGCAGACGGTCAGAGAAATATACAGACAGACGGAGACATAAACAGAAACATACAGACGGAGAGACAGGCAGACAGACAGAAACATGTAGACAGAGAGACATAAAGACAGACATTCATCTCATTGTAGAATGCTTGCAGGTGAATATAGCATGAATAGATTGTGTTGTGTAGCTCCGTGAAGCAAAGATGATTTGAAGATGAAGAAGAAAGAATTGTTGTATGGCTGGTCGGTTGGTATGTAAGTAGGTTGAACGGTTGGTTTTGTTCGTTTAACTGTTTGTTTGCTTCTATGTTTGTTTAGTTGTTTGCTCATATCTTGAAACGTTTGTACAAAGTCATAACAGTTTTACAGAAGTTTTTACAGAGCACCCGTACATAATGTAGGTATATTATGTTCTTGCTTGTGTATTTTTTGGTTTATTTCTAAAAAAAATTTGGCACGTTAAAATATGTTGCGCAAATAATATCTACTGTTCAATTTTCTGAACAAAAAACAATTTTTTTTACAATTTATATATTAAAATACGCATTGTATTTGAGACATGTAGGACAAGTATAACTTAATATATTAGAGAAGGAAAAGCGTAAAGTTGTATCTCCGCATTGTATCTGACCACCGTCATAATTGAATCTAACAGAGCGCCTCAAGAAAAGGCAACAAATTATGTTTTACGATGTTTTTCACAAATACAGACGTTTCACTATTGTTGCTTTGCATTTGCGATTATTTGAGTGCACATGTGTGTTTGTGTGCGTGCGTGTGTCTATTTTTTGTATAGGTAGGTATATGTGTGTAGGTGTTCATTCTTTTGCGTCTTTACCTTTTGTGTGAGTGTGCGGATGTTTGTATATTTGTTGTGTATACATGCACATGTTTGTATATTTGTTGTGTATACATGCACATGTTTGTATATTTGTTTTGCATATTTCCAATCAATTAAAAAATCAAAATATCATGAGATGCCTAGAACATTTACATGCACGTAGAACCAACCAACGACCGTTATTTGTTTCCGATAGAAACGATTTATTTAATGCCCAACAAATGCTCAGATACATTCAGAAACACACAACAAAATAAAACTCTCTCTCCCTCTCTACACGCGCTTATGTATGCGTTCAAAAAAAAACACACACACACATTCATACATGCAATATACACGCACGTATCTGCATTGTGAAATCATATTTAATCTTCCTTCCCCGCTTATCTCACTTGTTTGGGTTATGTCCGCTTTTTTTCTAAAAATATTCTATTTCAATTCACACATCCACAACTGTTGCATCTTTTTCTGCAACAAATACCGATACTGTTGCAACCACATCTGCAGATACTGATGCTACTACAGCTACGATTCCGTGGCAAAGATTTCTGCAACAGTATCGCGGGGGTGTCAAAAACTCGTTAGATGTAATATGATTTTGGGAAAAATATGAACGAAAAAACATCATTTTTTGCTTATCAATCGTTTTTATTGTTAAACAAATTTTAAAATATTTTTTAGAGTAGCTGAAAATTTAACTACTATTACAACTAAACTTACGCAAAAACACACATACAAACAAACACAAACACAATTACATACAAACAAACAAAACGAACAAACAAACGCATACAAACAAAATTTTTCCCACACCGTACGTAACTCGACACGACAGGTACCCAGCCATTGAAATTCGCACATGTATTGATGCGGTATTTCATATTGTATTGTGTCGTATCGTGTTTTATTGTATGTCTATTTATGTTTTATTATTTGTATATGAACCTACCTATGTAGTTTTTTTAATCAGTTCAGAACAATACACATTTGACGACTTGAGTGTTCCATTGTTCAAAATCCATTAAGAATTTTGTTGTATCATTTATATAGATACACACATAGATACATATTTTTTGTGTTTGTCAGTTTGTTTGTGGGTTTGTATGTGTGTATGTATGTGTGTGTATGTTCTTACTTACCGCATGTTTATTACGTCCAAACGTTTCAGTCGGTCCGATTTTTTGTTTTTTTATTTTTGTTGGCTTCATTATGGAGATAGAAGTTTGTGTGGTGTGAGTGTATTTTGTTTTGCGTGCGATTTTGTAGCTGTGGCTATCTCTATCTGCGATGGATGCCAAATAGTGACCCAACAAGATATTCTGGATATGAAGGTGATAATCATCATCATCACATCACCATCATCATCATCATCACATTACCATCATCAGCATCATCATCATCACATCATCATCATCATCGCCATCGGCACGTCATTTTTCCATCTTCACCAAATTAATATTGATCTGTTTCTTCTTGCAGAAATAACATTCACTTCTGCAACTCTTTAGAAAAATCGTCAAAGTTTTTTTGTCCGTACCATTCATTCTTTCTTGTCATTACTCTTTTTACCTTTGTTGTTGTTGTGGTTGTTTTTATTGTTGTATTGTCGTTGCTGTTTGTATTATATTAATTAATTAATCAACAATAAACAATAATGAAAAATAAGCAATAATAAATTAATAAACAATAATAAAAAAGTATTATTATTGCTATTTTTTCCAATTACGTATTAATGACGTCATAAATTACATTAGAATCAACGTGCACGTAGACTACGATTACATGGTAATGATGCCGATGATGACGATGACGACGATGTTGATGATGATGGTGGTGACGATGATGACGATGACGATGGCGGCGACGATGATGATGACAATGATGATGACGATTAACTTGATAATGATAATAAAATGAAAATAATAGAAAAATATTATGCAAGTCAAAATGCTAATTCAAGTTAAGAACAACAGGTCTTGTTGAATCTCTGGCCGCTGTTCCACCGTTTACGAATTGCGCGATGCTACCTCTTCTAACTTCTCAACGTGTAACACTTTTCTAAAATTCATTTTGAAAAGTTTGTCATTCGTTTTCATTTTCTTCATAGTTTGTCCCTAGATCGAATGATCTGTAAAGATTTAAATTGAAACGACTGAATTACGTAGGAGCAAAAAAAGAAAATGAGTGAGAGAAAGAGAAATGAAAAGAGTAAAACGGATAAAAAAAGAGAGAAGAGAGAGAGAGAGAGAAAGGTTGATTGATGTTGAGAACTTCCGCAGTTGTCTCATTGGGTTGGCATGTGTTGCAATCCATACTTCGAAACCTCAGCAAATATTTATCAGCACTTGAAATGAATTGAAAATACCTTTTTAAATAAATAGACCTTAGAAAATGTTATTTTAATTCACACACACAGACAAATCTGTTTTTACAAATTTTCATCTTCTAGTTTTTTTTTTATGCAAAATTTTACCGACTTGTAACGATCACATAAAACTGCGCACTGCATGCAAATTATAATTAACGCCATCATCATCCACGTCATCGTCTACGTCATAAAATTTTATGTGCGTGCGTGAGTGTGTGCGTGTGTGTGCGTGCATGCGTGCGTGAGTGTGTGCGTGCACTTGTTTTTATATGTACATTTAAATAAATGAAACGCTTTTTTATTTGCTTGTTTGTTTTTGATTTGCATTTCAATATTTCACTATTTCGTTCGTTTGAATAGATGGATGGCTGAATGAATGGATGAGCAAATTGATGAATGAATCGATGAAAAAACGAAGGAATGGTTGGAATGATAGATAAATGGATGGATGGTTGGACAATAAATGGATAAATAAATGGATAGATGAGTGAATGAATGAATAAATGAATGAATGAATGAACGAACGAACGAACGAACGAACGAATGAATAGAGGACAACAGCCCCGTAGCAGCACCTGCTTAGATGGGCGATAAATACAAGATGGGCGGAAAGACGTTATAATGGTTTCAAAAAATGGGTGCCGTAGTAATAGCATGATGGAGTGAAGAAAAAAAATAAAGGAATGAATTTTTGATTGGGTGAACAATTGTATGAAAGACTGACTGACTGAATGAATGAATGAATGAATGAATGAATTAATTAATTAATTAATGAATTAATTAATTAATTAATTATTAATTAATTAATTAATTAATTAACTTTTATAAAAATGACGGTCAGGAAGGTTTGGTGGTCAAATTAATGAGCATGTTAATCAATAAACAAATGTTTAAACATATAAATTAGTTACACAAAAAACACAAAATCAAATTAAATCAAACAAATGACTCAATAGAATAATAGATTAGTACTTAAATTGAAAAAAAAATTGAAACAATTATTGAATAAACAGATTTGATATATTTTAAGAGTTGTTAAGTAAAATCTAAAAGATTTAAAAAATATATGGAATGAAATGTTGCTTTTATAGTTGATGCATACGCTTCAAAGCGCATATTTCCACCGGATAATATAACGATGAGGATGGAATGAAACTGGCCTTTGGAACATACATTTGATGCGTGGAAGAATTGAAGAAATAAAAAACGAATGAAAAAAATGATGGGTGGATTGTTGAATGTAGAAATGGATATAAGCAGAAAAATGAATGAATCAACCAATCCTTCAACTAACCAATCAATCGATCAATCGAACGATCAATTGATCGATCATCAATCGATCAATCAATCAACCAACCGTTTATCTTATCATCAATTTATTAGTTGGTGTAGACACTAGTTGGTCGCACATTGTGCTCTTTTTAACTTGTTGAAGAGAGCATGAAAAGGCATTTGAGTGAATGAAGATAAGTGGAAACGAATGAAAACAGGATTTGCAAAAATAAATAAAAATAGTGAAAAATATGAAAACAAGTAAATGAATGAACGAACGGACAAACGAACGAACGAACGAACGAATTAATTAATTAAAAAATTGACGTCAGTATACCTATTTGTATTTATGTCCACTTGCACAGTCGTTCAAACGATCCGTATTTATAGAAGTTGTGAATGAAGAAAATGATTCCATCAATATTCATGAAGTTGCAGTAGCCAATTTTGATTTTATTTTTTGTTTTTTCTTTGCCTTGCACAGTCAAACTTTGTTACAACTCTTCAAGTCTGGCTAACTTGGGGCACTTCATTGTAATTTAAGAGTAGGTTGTAATAACTTTCATTCTCACTGGAGTTATTTGTCTTTCCCCTTTCCATTTTCTGTCTCTCCTCACCACTTCCTTTATAATTTTTCTATCTTACGAACTGTCTGCAGGTGATTCCTGATAGAGTTGGGCAAGTTGAATGATATTTTAGTGTAATTTTTTAGTCCCACGCAAATGAATATACACTCGCAGTACATCAATGCACGCTCTATTGTCCTGTAGCCTTTTAGTAATTAAAGTAAGTAGTCACTAAGTTGCGTGCACATACAGAACGTGCGCATATAGCTTGCGAATATATCTGCGCAAATGTTTCATCAAAAATATCTCTAATTTTATAAGTGGACGTCAACTAATTAACCAATTAACCACAAGACCAGACTTCTGGAAGTTGATGACGTCATGTCATGATGAAAATTATATTGTACACAAAAAATTTCGGATAAATCCATTGATTATGAGTGTGTGTGTGTGTGTGTGTGTGTGTGTGTGTGTGTGTGTGTGTGTGTGTGTGTGTGTGTGTGTGCGTGCGTGCGCGTGTGTGTAATAACTTATTTTATTGGGAAAAAAATGTGAAAAACTTTTTTTTGCGAAAGCAAAAGGTAAAATAAGAAGCGTCAAATCCAATTTTGCATTCGGCGGAAGATTTATCTCTGGTTTTATGTTTTCAAGAGATTTCTCGTAAAAGTTTTGTGACAAATTTTTTCAAAAGCACATCACCAATATTAGTTAAATGTGTAAAAAGTCATATAGGACTTATGTAACGGTGAATTTTGTTGCAAATTGAGATAACTATAACACACGGCATATGGCATAATATCTGTGTATTCAAAATTAGTTTGATGATAAGGTTGATGATGATGATCAAGAAGAAAAAGATGATGGGAGTAAAAAAATTGTGATGAAAAAGTACGTTGATAACTCTATATAATGTATTTAGGTAGAATAAATTTTATGTGACTGCTGAAACAAAGTTTTAAATAAATCAATTAGAAACTTAAAATTATGACATTAAAATTCGCACTTGTGACATGTGTGACTACTAGAGTTCTGTTGTAATTTAAAAAAAAACAATGATGTCATTCACGCATTGTAATTGATGTCGGGAGGCTCCAGTAGATGATCTTTAAACATTGTAAAAGTAGCGTAAATGACGTAATTGCTTCCATGTCAGTGTTCAAAATCAAAAACAAACTCTTCGTTTTACTCCCTACATACCATTGAATGGTGTTAACTGTATCATTGAAAAACTTAGGAGTAAATCATTACGTTACGTTACGTAACATTTTAAATACGCTTTCACTTTTAATTTTAATTGCTTCTAGACGATATCTTTACATTCAAAAATTTTGTTTTATGGCGGATTAGGTTAACATTTTATTTTCCCAATCTGGTTTTTTTTGTTTATTCGTTTTATTGTAATAAATTTTAAAACAATATTCATTGATTTGATTTGTATTTGTTCGTTTAGTGGTGTTGTTAGGTTAGTCTTTGTTTTTAGCCAGATTTTTGATATACAAAATAAACTTTTTGCCTTTTTGATATAATTATAATAAATAAATTAATTATTAAATGAAGTGTATTTAATAACAAGCATTATAATATTTTTAACAATAAATATTAATTTTTATATTATCAATTAGTTATTTATTAATAATTAATTAATTATCACAGTAAAATGATTTTTCCTAACAACAGATCAAAAAAAGAACATAATCAAAGTTGATACAACAAACAAATAGCCTTCCAGCATTTTTATAATGATAAGTTAAATGATGGCAGAGTGGAATGCATGGACAGATGACCAGTTAAAAACTTACAATTTCCCAATTCATCCACTACCTATCTGTTCTGTTAATGATCCACAGGCTGAGGAACTCATCAAGGAGCAAGTTAGTTCAATGTTTCTTTTTTCCATCTGAAATAATTTTGTTTTTATTATTTGATAACTTCTATTAATAAATCATTTTAATTAAAATATTTCATTATTTTAAACTTGTTAATTAAAGTGTTCCGTTTTAATTTTTGCAATGATGTATAGAAATTTTAAATCAGAAACCAGTTGTAATCAAAGGAAGTGAATTGATCTCTACAGCGCAAAAATGGGATTTGGAATATTTGAGGGAACACATTGGAGATGGAGAGTTCACCGTTTATGAATCTGATAGTGAGAGTTTTAAATACTATGATGATAAAAAAGTTATTGATGGTTTCACTCCACCGATGAAGCAGAGGCGAATGATTTTTTCCGAGTTTTATGATGCCATTAAGAATAAGAATAGAACTAAAAAGTAAATGCTCATTATTGAAAATGATCTAGTTATTTAGTGATGATGTACTGGTTGAATAACTATTTGATGATGATGTTGGCTACAAACAATTGTGATGATGATGGAGTGATGATGAAAGGATATGATGAATTCATAACGATGATGTGATGCCTACAAAATGACATGGCGACAAACACTTCAGATACTACCTCCAGCAACCTCTGAATGATAAAGTCGGTCCTCAGATCGTAGTCGACTTTATAAACTTCAATTGGAAGTGGATCAAACAACAGCAGATGAACAATAACTGGGGACCACTAACATCCAATCTACTGCTCATCTCTGAAGAAGGTGACTGACACTCTTTCTCTCTTTCTCTTTTTTTTTCTCTCTCTCTCTCTCTTTCTCTTTTTCTCTCTTTATATAAACATATAGCTTGAAAGATTTAGATCAAATATTTATCAGTAAACTATAAAATCAAATTGTAGTAAATGATTGAAGTTGTAATTGTTGAATATGTATCACATAATTTTACTATTTTTATAAAGATTTGGGCTAATTTATGTAGACAGGTAGTTTGAATTTATTTTTGATAAATTAATCTTACAGGCAATGTAACGCCATGTCACTATGATGAACAGGAAAATTTCTATTCTCAAGCCAATGGTTCTCATAGCGTTTTCAATCATTCCTAATTAATATATAATTGTTTATAATTAATGACTTAATTGATGTTGTTATATTAATTAAATGTTAATACAATGTTCAATAATATGGATACTACTGTAAATATATAGATAGATGTAAATGTTGAACATCAAATGCATATGGCTTGTATCAGTATTTTTTGTTTGGGTAATAAACACACTCATAAATATCAAAAATTAATTAATTAGCTAATTAAGCAATTAACTAGTTAATCATTTAACTAATTAGTTAATTGATTAACTAATTAAGGATACAAAAGAGTCATTCTTTTTCCTCCATCCCAGTATAAATATTTGTATCCTCATCCAGTATACCATCCACACGACAGGCAGAGTCAAGTAAAATTTCCATTTATTCATCTCATTTTTTGTTTGTTGGTTTTTTTTCTTAATAAACTTTGATCAGTTATTCATAATTAACTTGCAACTTCTATTCATACACAAGTATTATAGCTATTTATTGTCTGCTTACTTACAATTCCTAAATTAAATGTTGTTAAATGCTTGATTGAACTAAACCAGGTTGATTTTGACGAACCAAACTTGAAATTGTTTCCAAAGTTCAAGAAGGTTGTTGGTTTCGGCACTGTCCTCGGTCCTGGAGATGTCTTATATCTGCCTTCTTACTGGTCCGTTTGTCTCTGTTTCTTTGCGTCAGGCTGTTTGTTTTTTTTATGTTTGTCTGTTACTATGTTTGTCTGTTACTATGTTTGTCTGTCTGCATGTTTTATATTGCTTTTCATTTTATTATGTTGCTTTTATTTATTGTTGGTGTGAACGACATATGTTCAAAAATTTTTATTTATATTTAAAATACTGAATCTATCAACCGTTTAGTTGTGCTAAACGTTATTATTTTCATCACAGGTTTCATTATTTTGAGACTTTAAAGAACAGTGGAATTGCCACTGCAATAACTTTCTGGTACAAAGTTTGTATCAAATCAACTAATTAGAGAAACATTTTTTGTATGTCTTACTTTTGATTTGGTGTCATCCGCTTTTTATGATAAGGTCATGTTTTAAGGCTTTGGTTTGTGGATTTTGTTAAAATTTTGTCTACTATAAAAATATTTAGTTGATGTTTCATGCTGAATGCAGGCAGCTCCTGTGGGCAACATAACCTACCCGTTGACGGCAGTGCAGTTGATGGCCATGATGCGAAACACAGAGAAGATGATTCTAGAGGCTCTGAAGGACTACAAACAGGTCGACATCTTCTGGAACATGTTGGCAGCCGGCAGATACTGCAAGGATGTTCAAGATGATACAGATGATGAAGACGCCGGTGTTGGCAATGATGCCAGTGTTGTTGCCAAACTCGGTGACATAGGTCGTTGCACTGGCCACGGTGATGAGGCGAAAAATGTTTAAATGAATGTGAAACTATTTTTATTTTAATTTATTTTGTATCCTGATGTTTGATTGTGTTATGAATTTAATTAATAAAAGTTTTTGAATTTGAATTAATTGAAAGCAATTTGAAACAACAATTGATGTAATCTTTTTTCAAGTTAAGACAATTTTATGTGTACATGTATATAAAATTTCTTTCGGTTCCAGATAATTTTTTGATTTTTAAACCAGTCGACTTAGAATAAAATTCCATGCATCAGCGACGCAACTGTTGCAAAATTTTCTAAATCTTCGCGTACCCATTATCGTAGACGCATTCCTAGCTCACCTTCCATTGCACTTTTCACACCGAGACATTCAATAAAACGGTTTGTATATGTTCCTTCCATGTGATATCCTGCTACGTTGACTACATTGCACGCTATGTAATTGAGGTTTTACCGCGCTTTTAAGCACGTCGGCTAATTTCCTTGATAACTGATGATGAATTTGTTGTAAAAAATTTAACTGATTTTTCAGCAAAATTAACTATTGAATTGAATATCGCCGTGTAAAACCGTTATTTTTGTTTACAAGTTTAATCAATTTTACTTTTCAAGTACTGAAAAACTCAAGACAAGTTAGAAATTGGTATTAATCATTAACTTCCAGTCAATAAATTCTCCTTATTAAGACTTCAATTTATTTTTGTAAAACCTTAAAAACGAACCGTTTACATTTTTTGGCCATCCACGAGATGAGTCAAACGGTGAATTTTTGTGAAAATAAAACGAAGTTTAATAAAGAATTTCGAATTTTATAAGTACCATTTCATTATAAAATTTTTAAAAATATACCACTAAATTGGACTTGTATTATTTTTTTAATAGTTAATTATTTTTTCTAATTTTGTTTTTATAATTATAAGACATTTAAATTATTTATTTAATAACCAGTAAATTGATTTTTACTCTTGAATCATGAATGGCAGGTCTGTGCTAATCAGTCGAAATAAATATAATACCGCAAATTTTCATTTGATTTGTGATGTAAACCTACTGTGCAAGAAATAAAATTTTAAGTAAATTATTGTAGATTTAAAATGAATAAATATAAGCAATTTATAAAGATTCATAAAATGATTCCTACATATTGTACAATTCCTACAATTTGGAACTTTTCTTAGTTTTTTTCGACCGGCAGTCAAAACTTTGAATTTAAAAAGGTTGAAATGTTTTCTTAGTTTTTTTCGACCGACAGTTAATACTTTGAAGTTAAAAAGGTTGAAATGAAATGGCAAAAGGAGAACGGAGCATCAAATGATCAACCACGTATTTTATCCATATAATCAATGAGACAGGTTTAACATTATTTGACTAATCACCGACACCACGCCTCCGGCTTGGGGTCCGTAATAATTTCTTATAAATGTTGTCCATTCTCGTGTGATTGTTGTGGTGTCGGCAGGTCATAGATTGTTATATATAAATCTTGTTAAAATAATAATTTATAGTAAGCTGTAAAAATTATAACAATTTTAGTAAATATCTTATTATTCATTCATCATTTCTTTATGTTTTGTAACACTTCTCTCTCACCTATTGAATAATTTTTCGAATTAAATAACAGGAAAATTTCTTTTGGCAATTTTTAACAAATAAAACTACAAAAATGTTAAATGTAGCATTACAGAGTAAAAATAATACTCATTTTGAAATTTAACCTTGCACTTCATGTTATCTTAACAAAAGTTTGCCTTCTGATTGATTTTGTAAATGGATATATATATATATATATATATATATATATATATATATATATATATATATATATATACACACACACATATTTATTCATATATATGTATGTATGTATGTATGTATGTATGTATGTATGTATGTATGTATGAACCCGTTTTGATGAACAAGCCATGGTTAGGCATGCAATCGTTTCCGAGTTCAACTTTTATCTACGTCCCTGGTCTCGCACAGTCAGGTATCTAGCAGCTCCATCCAGAATGCAAAAGGAATTAAATTTTTGTAATAAAAGTGAAAGAGTTTGTTTTAAATAATTGCCTTCGTTAGGATCACCCGTTATATTAACTATTTTTCTTGTTAATTCGTTAATAAATAATGATGTGTGCTTATCTGTTGGTCTGAACGTTTCAATGCAAATGGGTTGAAATATTTTGCTTAAATTGTTTAATGAAACGTATTTTTCATTTTTGAAATCGGACGCTTTAAGGGCAGCAGTGCCCGCTTCAACTGAAGTGTAGCCGATATATCGGTCAGCCATAGTGTGGGGTAAGGTAACGTCCCAAGCCAGGGACCGTCCCTGAGCCCATGGGGTGATAGTGTAACCATCAGGCCTAAAGGCTCCTTCCTCTATCAAACCCATGGGTTCTTTTATAACCGGGATACCAGCCTTTTGAAAACATCGTAAGTATGTATGTATGTATGTATGTATGTATGTATGTATGTATGTATGTATGTATGTATGTATGTATGTATGTATGTATGTATGTATGTACAAAAGGTATATGTAAAAAAAGTCAGCGCTTTAAATAGCACAGTAAATTTCTTGTAATTGCAGTGTGTACGTTACTTCCACTGGGCCCTTTAAATAAATTCTGCCGTTTTAAACTGCTGGAAACGTTGAAACTTAGTTTCAAAGAGAGCATTCGATAGTTTTGCAATGTACAAACCGACTTCTTCATATTTTCATAATTATTCAGTGGAAGAAAAGGTCAGTTTCATTTCATTTAAATTAAACTTGATTTTAAATCCTTACATAAAATTTCAAACTTGAAAATAATTTCAAATTGTTTTATTTAGTTTTATCTAATAATGTCGTTGAAGTTTATTTTAATTTAATTAATAAATTATTGAAACGCGGTTGACTTCTCAAAGCGGTTTTAAAAGATAGGGCTAAAGTTAAATTTTCATTAATAATTTGACACTAGTCTAGTAGTCTAGCTCATCACTGTCTCTTCTATTTATTTTTAATCTAAAATGGCTTCCACAGATTGCAATTGTTTATTTTTATTTTAGAACTTACCGATTAATTTATCTGACATGTTTAATTCGCGTTTCAATACGTTTAATTATTTTCCTGGCGGAAATGTTAATATGGCGTTTCGGCCTCGTAACAATGCATACAATACTTATGGCCCTTCCAGGACACCACGACCCCCTCCCGTTTTTAGGCCAGTTGTTAATAACGTTGTCAACAATGCACCTGCTTTTTGTTCCCAACAGATTCCAGGAAATTCTTACAGCAGAAACTCAATTAGACAAGGCGTTCCACTGTCAGGACAGTCATTTCCTAATGGTCCAAACCAGACTGCTACCTCTAGTAACCGAAACATGAATATCATTTACAGTCCATCAAATAATAATGTTCTTGGCGTTTCATCAATGGAATCAAAAGACAAGTTTTCTGACAAGTCAAGGTTATGCAATGAAGAAGCAGCTACAAGTAGGCCATCAATTTTAAAAAGGCCATATGAAAGTGAGCCTGCAGATGTTCAAAGAACTAGTGTGCAATCCTCCTTAATTGCACCCTCAGTGTTGAGGACTAATAGCAACAGACCTGGGGATGAAAGATCTGATTCAAATAGCAAGACATCTCTTGTTCCAAGAATGAACACTGTGAAACCTACCAAAGTACCTCTACCTATAAGGAGCTCCAAGAAAGGTTCATACCATGCACATGTTTCCCTATACTTCAATTGAGTTATGAACAATTATGATGTTATAGTTTGTCGATGAAGAAGATAAAATTATTTGACCTATATTTTGTAGCAGTTATATCATTTTGATTATCGAATAATATCTGTATCTTAAAGTTTGTGAGGTTCAAGTTGTAATATGATTTTTAATTAACTTAGATTGTGATGATGCAAAATGTAATGAAACATCAGTTGAAGACGATGAAGAAGATGATGAAGATGATACATGCAATGAGTCTCAGTGTAAATTGTGCAATGTCACATTTGAATCTGGAAATGTTAGTCCTTTTTAACCACCTTCTGTTTTAATTAAAAAACTATTAAAAATCAATTAGATTTCACTCAACTTTTATTTAAGCACTTTGCAGTTTTCATTGTTTTTCTGATTATAAATAAAACAAACTGCATTTAGGGGATCTATAATAAACATAAAATGTTATTATATGTGTTATAGTTTTAATAAAATTTTTAATAGATTTTATTGTTTGCATAAATAAGAAATAAAAGTTGAAACATACATTAAATGTACATTAAAAATGCATCATGTTGATTTTCAGGCCTACCACGTCCATATCAGATTAACCTCTCACCTGCAAAAGAGCATGTTGTACAAAGAGAAGAGGTTGTCATCATCCTGTGTGCAGAATGTAACATTGAATGAGTTGCATTGCAACATATGCAATTTCACTTTCTCCAGCAAACAGGTCAACCCAGACTACTGTTGCTTCTGCGCTTCCATAAAATTATTTTTTTAAGTGTTTATAAACAATTGTCACATTTTTTTTTCTTTCAAGGTAGCATAAAAACATTTTATACAACTCATAGAAATGAATTTTTCAATTCCAATGTTATTTTTCTTCCATCCACTGAATTTTTAAATAAAATTTAATTGATTTTTGATGGGTTAAATCGTCATGTCTGTTTATTTTGAAACAAAACTGATACAGGTGTTTAATTGTCATCTTCATGGATTGGCCCACCAGGCAGGATTAAAACAAATCAAAGATGCACATGACAAACAAATTAAAGAGGTTGTCAATGTCATGTTATCGTTGATGCTGCTATGTTTATAGCTTTTGTTTTTTTTTAATTAATTTTTTACAATAATTTGACAGTATAGCTTTTGTTGATGTCATTGATGTTCTGATGTTGGTGATAATTATTTGTTTAGTTATGTTGGCTGTTTGTTAATAATGACACAATTATTTTCCATATAGTTACTTAATTTTTTTCCCAAGTTTCTTCTGTACTTTACTGCTCCTGTCGTTGGTATGGCCATTTTGGAATTGTTTTGATGATCTATTTTTGTAATTGTTCGTTGTCCGTAATGATTTTTATAAATTAATAGTGTTGTTTGTCTCTTTTACATAGCCTTAATGTCAAACAATGTGATCATCCTCAACATTTATCACCGACAGAAAGAGAAGCTGGAGTTGATAAATAAACTGAAGCAGGAAGCCAAACTGACGAGAAACAGGCAGCATGTTGAGGCTCTGGAGTATCTTGAGGCTAATAATCTCATTGAAGAGGACATGGTTTTTGGCAATGATATTTTCTGCAAGGTTTGATGGTCTGCTGGTTGCCTTGTCAACTTTCTGTTAAAAGTTAAAATCCTAAATTTTGTCTTTCCAAATGTCCCCTCGTTAATAGATGGCACTATATATATATATATATATATATATATATATATATATATATATATATATATATGTGTGTGTGTGTGTGTGTGTGTGTGCGTGTGATAGTTTTAGATGGCAAATTAAACATTTTAAGATAGTTTTGTTGATAATCAAGACATTTTAGTCATCAGCTGATTAATAGTTTAAAATACCTTTAACGTGAGGGTTTTATATTGATTGCTTTATATAACTCTAATACTAATGTTAAGAAGGTTTCATTCATGATAGGTAGTTTTTGAGTTTTAGTTCCTATGCTGATGAAAATTGTGGTGATGATATTAATGATGATGCTGCATACATCTTGTCACACAGGTGTGCGAAGTTAAATGTTCTGGATTCATTTCATATAAAAATCATTTGGATGGTGTGAAGCACAAAAAGGTTGATACCATACTGTCGTTACATTTTTCATATTTCCATTATTTTATCTTTTTTAATTTCAAATCTTTAATGATCTTGTTTCATATTGAATGTTTTATTTTATTAATCTGATTATTTATCTTTTTTCCAGAAATTAAAGTTAATTGGAAGCGGATATCCAAGTTGGAAATTTTTCATATATTACTTTTCATTGCAGTAAATTTTTACAATTTCAAGTTCTTCAGTTAGTGCTTATATCACCCAGCCATACTCATGCTATTAGTGGAACTTATTAAATTTTTCTCGAAATAATAAATGTTTGAAAATTTTTGATTTATAGCTGGAAAGGATAATGGTAGATGTATAAATAGGAAGAATAGAATCATAGTTCCTGGCAAGGATTTGTGGGTTGAAGATATGCTTTCCAAGTGCAAAGAACCACTTATTGGTATATCCTACTTCCATTTATATTTCTTTCATTTGTCAGTTTTTTATTCTACATAAGGGTTATTGTACCTTGTACGTTTTTAATTGTTAATAATTTTTTTGGTTGCTAATAATTTTTAGGTGGTTTTTTTTCAATGAATGTTGTAATAAGTCAAAAATAATCATGTAATTGTACACTTCTAATGTTTCAGTCAATTGAGACTTGTTTTTCAATCTAATATTTCGTTTTTAGTAAGTGGAAAGTCAAACATAAAATGCTATTTTGATGAGGATCAAATTTCCTAGTTTATTTTCATCTCAAATATGTCTGGGCACACACGTACACACACACACACACACACGTACACACACACACACAATACCACACACACACACACACATACACTACTATAGGAATTGATTACATGACTGAGTATCAATCAAAAGAGCCGGACCAGGAACCGAGATACTTGTGTGATTTGTGTATGAGTAAGATGGATGTTAGGCAGGTTATCAATCATCTAACTGGAATCAACCACAGACAGAAATACTTTGTAAGATGTATTTGATTGGGTTTATGTTCATGATTGCTTATGTTAGTTTGGTGCCATTTTTTGTTGTTATTCGGTTTGATTTAACATTATGATGATAAAATTTATTAACCATTTATTATGCAGTCTGTGATTTCTCTTTCATCTAGCTGTGTGAATTCTAAGGTCTGAATTCTAAGACATGAAAATGTCTAGGCAAATTTATTAAATTTTGTCTAAGGTGAGCGTTTCACATGATGTTTATTTACCCTGGGAATGTATAGAAAATTTTGGAAATAAGCATCCTTGTTTCCCTCCCGACCTTGAGAGGTCATGGAATTTATCATTATCCATGGTAATCATGGAATGTAATATAAAAGTCGTGGAATATTATTTGAATGCAGTGCACCATAAAAATCTCGTGTAATATTTATGATATATATGTTATACATGTTCATATTATATTATAATATTATAACAGAATTGTTTTTTGTCTGTCTTGCGCTTTTGGGTCTTGAAAAGCTTGTGTATTAAATATGCAAAGCCTGTATATTTTTATTTATATTGTCTCATATTTGTATTATTACTGTATATAATCTTTGAGCTATTTTGCTTTCTGTCTAAGCAATAATTTTTATTGCCTAGGTGAGCAAATTACGTCGAGATTATCCATTTAATTTTTTTATAAATGTTATAGAATAGTTTAAAAATCTTGAGGTCAAAGATTCAAAAATTATCAATAATAAAAACTAAAACAAATTCGCGGTCAATGAAAATTATATACACTGAAAAATAAATGGTCTATACCCCAAATGGAGGTCATCATTTGGGATATGAATCATTAATTACACCTTAAGTTACTCACCACGTGCGCTTATCTTATTGAATTATCATGGGTTGTATATTTCATTAAAATTAAATAAATTTACAGAAATATCATGATCCCTCAAAATATAGTTATTTATGGCCTATGACACCGAAATCGGTGAAAGTAGCGAAAGCAAGAGTTTTCGCTGCTGAGGTTGAAAGAAGGGAGGGTAGACATAGAATGAGAATTAAAGTGCAGGTTCAACCATTTAAAGGTAAGGCATTTCATGAATTTTTTCTTTTTAAAATGGCTCATCTTGGTTTTTTTTTCTTTATGCATGACATTTAATTTTAGCGTGTACCGAGAGTGACGAATGGGTGGAAGTTCCTGGCTCTCGTTCAAGATCTGCCAAAGGTTTTTTTTTATAAATATTTTATGATCCTTCATGCTATGATGCTAATTTATTTAATTTTTTTTTCAGATTTGCCTGGAATAAAATCGGCATTCACTAGTGATGATACTAGATACACTACCTTTGTTGATGACGAAGATGATTTTGAGGATAAAGCTGTTTGTCCTGCAAATAAACCGTTACCTCCAGTGGTTGCAGGTTTTTTAATATTTTCAAAATTTTCATAAAAAACAAAATGTTCCTAGTTTGTATTTCTTTCTCAGATTACGGACACGGAAGTGAAAGCTCAAAAATGCCATTGCCTATTGCTCCAAAATCGGCTTATTTTTATAACTGTAATTTTGACTTCAAGCAGGGCACTTCTTACAACTGTTTCGAGGAAAATAGTAATTTTTCCCAAAGGGCATATATTAATCCTCTCACAGCTAACTATGAGTATCATTCCGCAGGGTCATTGGATAAAAACCAAAGAATGGTTCGTGAAGGAGTTATCAAAGATGCCATTGTATGTATTATTATTTAAATTTTGTTGTAATGATTTTAGTGTTATTTTAATTTTTCCCGTTTAGTTTAAGTGCAATATGGATTTAGAATGTGACGCAGAAGCTGCTTTGCATATTTCAAATGCAATCACACAAGGTTTACTTGAGTACAAGCTGCAAACAGTAAGTTTTTTCCTATTTGAAATTATTCAATTACTTAACTTCAAACTTTTATTACAGGACAATGAAAGTAACGAGTTGCGAGAGCAGTTTGAAGCGTTAAAACGTCAAAATGCGTCGTCATTTTCCGATAACATCACTAATCCTGTTATGTCAATGGCCTTGAAAGAAGCTCAATACATGGCAAGACTTCTTCCCTTCGGAGACGAAGCTTTGTTTGCATCAGCAATGTCAATATTAGATTCGCTCAATAACAAGTTATACATGTTAATGGAAAAAAGCAAGGAAGAAGGTGACCAAACTATTGCTGAAAATTCCAAGAACCATAATTCATTGCCTCCCGATGACGGGGTTTTGAGATTCAAAATGAGGCCTGATCAAGCTCCTAAAAGGTTCAAGTTCGGCCTATAACTAACAACTTATTTATTGACCTTCATTGCAAAAGAAACTATTTTGACTGTGTTAATGATATGTTTTCTTGTTTTCTCTTGGCTAAGTTTTGTGTTTTTCCTACGACAAAAAAGAAGATATTTCATTTGTATTCTAATGTGCTTTATTGGAAATGTTTCGCACTTTTTATCGCTGAGGTTCAAAGTTGTACTTTTTTGCTATCAGGAGTTTTGGCGTCAATGCGACAGCGTTTGGAGGCAGATTAGTTGCATATTTTTAATTTTACTGTGGACTCCGCTGCCAGGGATGTGTGTTATTCAAGGTCATTGCTTTTGACCTTGGTGTAAGCACTGTTCTTGGGTACGTGTGCTAGAGGTTAATTCTGTAAGTGTTGAAGTTCTTTACTCAACGCTCTTTTGGAGTTTTGATTTTAAAAAAATCCGTCAGGATGCGTTGAAGATCCACGCGTGTGATGAAAAGTCATGGAGATAACAATGACTAGTTACGGCCATCAGATTTTAACGTTCAGTGTTAACGATAATGTTACTAAATAAATTTTTCACTAAGTCGCCAAATTGCGTTTTTTTACGTTATATAAACTCAGTGATTATCAATAAAAAATTTGGCTAAAAATCCAGCTTTAAGAAGCCTAAATCTTCTACGATGCGTTATTCGTTTCGTAGTGTTCGAATCAAATGCACGGCTAACCCGATATTATCTATTCTTATTTTATATCTTTTGGGCTCAGCCGTTTGTCTGAACTCATAAGATGTGAAATGAAATGTAGATAACACTGGAGCCGCTATTCCTTATTCGAACCACGCCAACACGAAACGCGCTGACTTGCCATTGTATAGATAGAGGTAGATTATGGTCACTACATCCGCTGTTTATGATTATTATATAGTTTTGAGAATGCGGATCTGCGTACGTTTTAAACCTTGATTCATTGCTATTAAACTTTTGCGCCACAAAAGTTGCACCTCCGTACAGACGTGCCTTCGCATTTCTATGTACGCTCAAGTACCACGTCTTGTGCTCAAAGCCTATTTCAGCTTGAGTTTTTGACACCAGATCATCGCGCATTAAAAACACAAAAATATGTTTTCTCACAATGTTTAAGCAAGAATCACGTAAAAAATTGTAACGGTTAATGTTGGGTTCGAGAAAACTGAGAATGCATTCTTTCCTCTTCATCAACTATAAAACTTGAAAAAATTAATACCGCTGATTCATTTTGCCCACCATGCTCCTTGTAAGCAACTAATTCGTCAATCTGCCCTCGCCACTGAAAACAGGTGTAAGATTTTCTACTAACAGAGTTATGTTTCTTATTAAGGTCCTATTATATCAATATTATCGAAGTCAGGATGTTTTTTTTTACAAAATTAATCAAATGCTCGTTACATGCACGATATCATTACTTACTAATAGCAGTTTGTAGAAAATTTTGCGCCAGGTATGCATGCCTGTTCGTCGCACTTTTGATTATTTGTTACATAAAAAAATTTAGTTTGTTGCATGGTAGGTGCAGGCAACTCTGCTTTGATCTGAGTAAATAAGTGTTTGAGTCTGAAGAGTGTAAAATAATATATTGATGACACCGAGGTCGCAATTTCTTGGCATAGAACATGTAAGTCCTTACAACGGTAATGATTGCCGAATGTATTTTTAATTTTTATCATGTAACTAAATTGTGAACCGGCAATAAATAGCTCCTTACCTACAAAATTGGTGCTTATTTCGTTCCCAGATTCAGTATCACTTCTTTACTCAGAGCGGATCTGAAGACCCAATTTTTTGTGAAATTTGTCGAGAAGCGCTGAAATGGCGCTTTATAAATCTTTGATTGATTAGTATCGTCAGCCCTCTAAGAATAGATTTCAAAAAGCTCAGCATCAAGAAAAAAGTGGCGACCTCGATGTTATTTATATTTTGTTGGTCAAATCTGTAATTGGGTGGGATTTCATTTGTTTTCATAAGGTTTATGCCAGAAAATCATGAAATTTCGTCTGAAACGGCTTAATGTTTCTTAATGACTAGACGGCCACTACAGGGGCAAAAATCAATAACGCCTCTATTATAGAATTTAACTCGAACTTAACAACGTCTGAGCATTCGCAGTCATTCATTTGCCGCTGGATAATTTCCTGTATAAAATACGGAGGACGTTTCTTGCCTCAAAGCTAAAAGTTTAAAGTAAGGAAAACATGATAAAACAAAAATAAAGTTTTATGAATCTCTACAGAAATAATTGTACGAAACAGTTTTAAAAATTCAATATCCGCAGCAAAGTAGGTTAAATTTTTCTATCGTTTTATAGTTATCTTTAATGTTAACAAAGATCATAAACTTGAATCATTTTAAACTTGGACGCAACGACAAATGGATTGATTACTTCACCATTAGCTCTATGAATGAGCTCAATTATGACTAACACTGAATGGAAATGTTTTATACATATGATTATGAAAAGCTTTTATATTAATAAAACAAATATGATACTACCCCTCTATCGGTTCCATAGACTACTAACGGTCTGCAAGTTTTTCTACTCGAAAAAATTTAATGTATCAATAATAAATTGTACGAAAACATAGTTGTTAAAATCTAATATTTGTAGCAAGATGGGTTAAACGTTTCTGGGTTTCTCAGGTTTTATCGCTTTTATGATTCAAATTTTTATGTTTAATTCTATTAAATCTCGAACTACAAGGAGACGGTCTCAACACCCGCCTCCACGTGGCGACCGTTGGAAACAAGATAGATATTCATGTCTTGGCAAAGAGGTGTTACAAAAACCGAATTCGTAGTGGATGAGATTATGTTTCCTTCATTAATTTTTTAATACAAAAAGTAATTTTATTTGAAAATAAATAAATTCATGTTAGCGTCTGAACAAATCATCGTCTAGTAAAATTATTTTTTCCCTGGAGAATTCCAGTCAGCTCTTTCTCGCATAGCTGAAATTTAAAAAATTGTCGTTAATAAGGTAAGGGAGAAGTACTTGATCAAAAATTATTTTTCACCTTTCATTTTCATCAGATATAACTTGTCTGCTGCACTCAAGTTGATGTACGGATGATATTCTCTGCATTAAAATATAGTCATTGTACAATGTAATACAAATAAAGTGTATGCATATATGTATGTATGTGTGTAAGTGTATGTTTGTATGTATTTATAAATATGTTAGTTTAAAAATAATAAACTTGATTAAATTTAATAAAATTTGTATTGGGAGAAATGCTTATTGCCAATTTTTGCCAATGCATATGTGGTGTGTGTCAGCATTAAAGCTTATAATTTTACTCAGTTTATGGGACCACACCACCACCACAAGTCTTTGATTATTATTATTCTGTCTTAATGAATTCACGTACACACATTACGTGTCACAGGATGATATCTGCCATGGAACTCGGGTACTGCAACATCATAACCAGGCACCTTTATCGTTATACCATCCTGGTACCAAGAGTTCAAAATGTTCAATGATATTTTTCAATCGATGTTACAACTACTAAATAAAAAATAGATCAGATAATCTTCTTAATAGTCTTATTTTGCCTTAGCTGGATAGTCGACACAGGCAAATTTGTTACATTGTAATCATGTATATATATATATATATATATATATATATATATATATATATTCACATATTTTCATAAAAACGCTAATTAAAATATGACTTACAGCAACTTTTCGAACGTTGAGGAATCAGGGAGAATTTGCCTCGGCAGCCTTCATAAAATTTATTTATGTTATGTTCATATGAAGGATATGCCTTCATAAAATTGTAAAAAACCTGCTTATGTCGATTGTGTAACTGCGGCCAGAATGTATCGCCACCAAAGTTACGACTAGTACGACAAGTAGCGATTTCTTGTTCATGTTTGAAATTTCAACTTCTGGATGTATTACATATATTTGTTGAAGTCAATAAATTAGATTAATAATTATTAATAACTATTACTCCCAGAGTATTTATTCGATAAAAGTTTACCTTTTACTTGTTATTAAGCTATTTCTCGAAACGATTTTGAATCGTTAGAATGCTTGCGTGCTGAGTTTATAAGGTGGGATTGTTGTATATAACGACACGTCTCTAATAACTGGATATGCTATATGTTCTGATGAAATGCATATATGTATTTTGAAAATACAAGTAACTGGTTCGTGAAGATGTTTCGTTAAAACAAATTAAATTAAATGTTTAACTAAAGTGTTTCTAGAATTTTGTGAAATAATAAAATTTGAAATACAATTTTTCAATTTAATGAGCCACTTGGAAATAATTGTTTTATAAATATATTTTAAAATTTATTGAACAATTTTTTAAATTTCAAATTAACTAAAAAGTAATTTAAGCGGTGAAGTTTAAAAAATAAACTTTTTTTTAGCTTTCTTTATTTTTCAATGTATTCTCATTCTTTCCTTTCTCTAATGGCAATTTATTATTCCGTGGACTCGCAATTTGAATAATCATCCTGACAAAGTCCATCCTACGTTGACTCAGCACGTATTACAAATTCATAACGCTCCTGCTACAAACATCAATTCCCATTGAAATCTGTTGTAAACAGGTGAATACGACGAGGAATAACAATTTTGTTAAAGCATTGTAACAGTATATTTTATACCAAACAGTTATTTGTACATGGAATTTGCTTGGCTAGTTAATTATTTTGCTTGAATTTCATAAGAAAATTGCAAAAATTATATTTCTATATACTTTTGAGTATTACCTACAAAGAAAAAGTAAATTTGTAAGCACCACAATTAAGGCAATTAAGTCGCCCGATTAATGCATTGTCTCGTTCCTTGCATCTTGAACGCTCTATAATTAACTGTTGCTATCGCTTATGCATTAATGTATGGATGTGCGTATGTATGTATACATATTTGTGTGTACGCCTGTGTGTTTTTGTGTTTGTGTGTATGTGTGTATGTATGTATGTATATATGTATGTATGTATGTATATATGTATGTATGTATGTATGTATGTATGTATGTATGTATGTATGTATGTATGTATGTATGTATGTATGTATGTATGTATGTATGTATGTATGTATGTATGTATGTATGTATGTATGTTAAAACCAAAACATGATGAGTGACACTGAACCGTCAAACATCAAGTATGTATGTATGTATGCATGTATGTATGCATGTATGTATGCGTGTGTGTATGTATGCATGTATTTGTAGATGTATGTGTGTATTTTTGTGTGTGTAGGTATGTATGATGAACTTGAACATTTTGTGAAAGATTTTGTGATTTCATCTGCAGCAGAAAAACTTATCGTTCATGGGTGTGCGTGCATTTTTTTATAATTACAATTTTCGCATCCATCAGAATCCACCCATCCGGTCTTGTTAGAAAGTATTGCAATCCTGCTAGTTTTGTTCCGCTATGTCATAATTTTAAAGAAGGCGTTCTAAAAGAAAAAAAAATTATGTTGAACGTTGCAACAATAATTGCTTAACTAATCTAGATAAAATGAAAACTGAAACCTAGATAACTGAAGAGAAAACTAATTTTTATGACAGCACCTTCTTTTGACTAAATGATATGAGAGCCAAACGGCACGTGAGCCTCACGAATGTTAAGTTGTATTTTAGATTCGTAGAGCGCCTCTTTCGAGTTATTAAAAAGAAATTAATTTTGCGTCATCTTGTTTATATGTGCTTAAAAATGTTCATACCACATAACTTTCATTTTATTTTATGTTCTGCGTATGTCATCTGGTGGACATTCCATTCTATTCAACGATCGAATGAATCACTTAAAGAATTATTTTCAATTTATCTCAATGTTCCTCCAATCATTCAACATGTGAAATTTTCTTTCAAGCAAAAATGTAATTGGGTAAATTCCCATCGTTCGAGTGGAACATTGTTTGAAGGAAAGCTACAGTTACTCTATCATTTAATAAATAAATTTTTACGCTGACTCTGCGAGCAGTCGAACTGGTTTCAAGTTTCTCACAATTTTGATCGCTGGGTCTAGGCAAGCAATTGAATCGTTTCAATATTTATATTTCATTCACTTTGGATCCAGATTCCATAAAACCTATCTAAAAATATCGACAAATAATGAGGTTTTCATAAAAAAATGAGTTTTTAAGTTATGTTATATAATGTTAACAATGTATTTCAACTATACGAGCATTTGATTTTTTATTGTATTTCAAAATTAAATGTTTAACAGTAATTACAAAATTTGATTTTCATTGGAGTTTAAATGTTTATTTTTTCAACCATCAAATAATTTTTAAAAATTGTTTTCAAACAACAATTTTTTTATATCATCATCATCAACATAATTACATTTAAACGAATTTTAACAATGACTTACTATTATTATAGTTTTAATTACATTAAAAAAAACATTTAAAACATTTTTCATTTTATATTCTTTTAACTCTTCCTCTTTCTCTCTCTCTTCCCTTCGTTTCATGTCATGCTTTCTATCATTTTTTGCCAGGACCAGCCAGATCGTTCGCCAACTTGATAGCTGTTGAAGTGGAATTTTAAAATAGTAAAATTATGTTCAGTGAATTAATTATCAGTTATTAATTAATTAATTGATTAATTAATTGTTAATCTTGTTAATATTGAAACAAAAGCTGATGTTTTGGGGTATCTAACATTTCACTCTCCCATGGTTTATACATCGCAAGTAATTTCGCTCTTGAATTTATATTTTACTTGAGTATGTAGTTACACAAATAAATGAAGAAATGAATTAATGATTTGATGGATCGATGGATGGATGAATGAATGAATAAACGAACGAACCAATAAATAAATGATGAATGAAAAATCAATAAATGAATGAATGCGTGAAAAAATTAGTAAAAGAAAGAAAGAAAGAACGAACGAATGAATACAAACAGGCTGGAAGAGTGAAAACGTAATGTTCCTTGGAATAATTTCATGTCCATAGTGTCACATTAAATAATTTTCCTTTTAATCCATTAGTCAAAAAAAAACTTTGAGTTATACATCTGCGGCTAATCTTGACTAGCATGTAATACGGTCTTAAACTATCCCACACATCATGTTTCTGATGTGATGTTTGAGATAAATTTTCTATAAAATAGATTTTTTTTCATGTTTTTAACTGGTCAAATATATTTTTATCATTATATAAGCGTACTGTAAATTTGTTTCAGTGTTTTTTGATTTGTCAAATGTTTTACAAACTTTAAAATTTATGTTGATAAGAAGTTTTCTAAGAAAGACGATGAGTATTAACATCTCTGCGGTTACATTTTATGAGGAATAATTCTTAAAAATTGAAATAATCCGCTGAGGATTTTTTCAGTTGAAAAATTGAAAAAAATTTTGTGGTCATCCTTCAAAAATTAAACGTGGCTTAGTTCAACTTACTTGCAAGCAATCACACGCTCACACATTGTGGCATCACAGTAAAAAACAATAAAAAATAACGACATAATTGCAACTAACCAATAAACCAACCAACCAACCAACAATCTAACCAACCATAAAATTGACCGACCAAAAACCGACCAACCAGCCAATCAACCAGCCAACCAACAAATCGACTGACAAACCAACCAAAAACCAACCAACCAACTAACCAACCAACAAACCAACCGACCAAACAACCAACCATTAATTTTCTTGAGTAGATTGCTGGCAGCGGCATACCTACTCCCATATCCCCCGTCAAAGTACCGTTTACTTTTTAGAGAGATTTGATTTTATCAGATGATTATTGATAAATTATTATCATTTTTTGAACTGCATTTAAATAAATAAAAAAGATGCATATTAATTATTTAAAAATGTTGTAATTCAACAATTCAACATATTTCAGATACATAAAAATCCAGAAAAATTTAAGCGGTTAATAACTTTTTTTCATTGTTGGATTTGTTCTGGAGGTCTTTGAGGAGCTGTTGGAGAATAGCCGTCTGGGGGGAGAGTTCGATGGAATCATTGGATAGACTGAAGAAAGAAAAAGAAATCGGCTTATAAATAAATGAATAAATCATTAAAGATAATAATGCTTAATAGAGTAAAAATTAAAAAAATAGCTGATGATATATGAATGCATGAATGAACGAATGAATGAAGAAAGGAATGAATGTATGAATGAATGAATTATTCAATGAAAGGATGGATTTACTGATGTGATTGCCGCTTGAACGAGCAAATGTAACGAGTTGATGTGAAGGAATTCCGGCAAATACATATTTGCCAGAACTGTATGAAAAAAATTTAAAATCCAACTACTAGAAGCAATCAAAATTAAGCATTTTGAAAGAATATATATCATTTCTTGAATCACGAAAAAATCCATTAACTCAAAACTGTTCATGGATACAGATATAAATATACAAGCCAAAAAATAATCAGAAAAAACTAAAAAATGAACGTGAAACCAAAATTAAATTCCAGTCAAACAAAAAAACATTGGAGGAGTAAAGAAAAAAAGATAGGTGCGAAAGAAAAATATAGATAAAATGATAGAGACAAAAAGATACACAAGAAAGAGAGAGAGTGAGAGAAAGAGAGAGAGAGAGAGTGGGAAAAAAGAGTGAGAGAGGTAGAAAAAGAAGTTGACAGAAAAAGAGAGGGAGAGACAAAAATAGAAAAAAAAGATAGAGAAATAATCTCTAAATACCTGTGTCGATGAGGTTATTGAACACAACATTTGGTTCATATCCTTCCTTCACACTAATGTATTAATAAACTCACACGCACGCACGAACTCACACACATACTTACTCACACAAATGTATATATGTGTGTTTGTATTAACAATACACAGACAAGCGAGCATTATGTCACTATTTACACTGAGATCAATTAAATACGTTGTTCGTTTTGTTATTTATACAGTAAACAATAATAATAATAATAAAAAAAGGAGAAAAAAAGAAGTTATATTAAAAATGAAATAACGGATTGCCAAATGTTTGTTGGTAATATGCCGCATTATCTGTTTTCTGACCATTCATTGGAGGTAATAAAAACCAGCCATTCAAACAATAACACTATTTATTTGAATGGCTAAGTGAGACTAACAGTAATAATTTCTTTCTCTGGTGTACGTCTGCTTTATTTCAATTTTTGAAGAATTTATTTGAATATTTTTTGGCTAACTACTACGCATTGCACTTTGTGCGTGAATTGTCCTTTTATATCAGCAATGGGCAATATCGTGTGTTTTATAACTGTAGCTCCAGAAAAATTGCAGCAAATAACAATGAGTACATTTACAATTCCAGTCAAACAGACGTTTTTGTCGTTGTTTGATTTTATATTTTGGCACATTTGATGCCGTGTGGATGTTTTTGTTGTAGTTTGATGTCATATTTTTGCACAATGTCATGTCATTTTTGTTGTTGTTTGATTTTTTCTAAGTGAGTGTTGTTTTTCTAGAGAGGACGCAATCACGTAACATGTGTTCCTGTTATTGAGTATAACCTACTTGGTGCAATTATGCAACCCATAAAGGTCAGGGATAGATTTATTGCCATAGGAGCTACGGAAAAGAGGCCTTCCAAATAGAACTGAAAAATAAGTTGCAAAAATTTATTTAATTAATTTTTTACAATATTATTATAACCGCTACAATGGTCAAATTGCGCTACACTATTTATTATCATGATTATCATGATTATTCGTAATCTTTGTTATCTTTGCTATATTTGTAATCTTTTGATCGTAAAATCTACCGTAGAGGCTATATAAGGTCCTGCGGAGAAGAGGTTTTCCCAGAGAGGTTTGAAGCGAAGTTGTAAATGTGATTAAAGTAGTTACTTGGATTAGTTAAGTGTTTCTATTACAGTTGGCATTTGAATAAATGTTCTACAAAGTTTGCTTTTGAAGCAGTTGTGTTTATCTATCGGAAATCTTGAACTCACGCAATAACGAACACTTGACCATCGTTGGAAACTACAACACTGGTGCTGGAAATATAGTGATCTTAGAAGTTGAAACATCGGTGTTGGTAGTTACGAGAGTCAAGGTTGCAACAATGTTATATATTCAATTATTTTAACAGTATAATATTTAATTTAAAAAAATGAATTACTCTCAATTAATTTATTTTTGTTTTATACTTCAATTCTCAGGATAATGAAGCGCAAATCAGTTCCAATAAACACACCACAAATATGTAATTCTTGATGCAGTTGTATGAGTAACATGGCGACTAATTAAAATTTCAATTAAAATTAAAATGATAAACTAATTAAAAATAATTAGTATTAGTTAGTAGTTACGTGATATCAAAGTAATCAAATGAATCTAAGACGTACTCGAAACTTTCCTCAGACAGCACTGGGCCGATGGATACCATGACGATTGTGACCACAATTATGGCCAACTGAATGCTAGTCATCTTCATAATTTTTCTAGTTGTTTTCGTTGATTATGTTGTTGTAAATGTTGTTGTTGTTGTTGATGTTATTAGTGATGTTGTTGATGTTGTTGTTATCGTTGATATTTTGGTGTTGATGTTGTTGTTTTCGATGTTAAAGTTGTTGTTGTTGTTGTGGATGCTGTCTGTCTTTACTGGCGTCTCAACTTTCTGCAATCAATTAAGAAAGATATTTGATCGCTATGGGATTGAATCATTAATTGTTTAAAAATAAAAATATAGATTTGAAAATATATGCAAAAAACCACAAGCATCAATCATTTCATAACAAACAATATCGTTTCTGTTACTTCAAAACAAACATAAATCACCAAAAATTAAATAATTTAGTCTCTTGTTCATGATGAATGTTTGCAGCACAAACCAGTAAGATTTGAATAGTCTGTAAAATAAAATATGTTTAACACTGAATAAAACATGAAACTTTTTTTTATGATTTTGTAACATGTAGCTCAAAAGATTGCAACAAATAAAAGTTGTCAAAGTATTGTGTATATGTTTTTTTGTTTTGCTTGTTTGAAAAATTATGCGTTTATGTACGTCATTGCCAATGCGTTTATACAAAACTCTTGTGTGTTCACATAAATGAGATGCATGTTTGTGATTTATGTTGATGTATGCACGTGATGTATGTACGTACGTATAACTTGTAAACTTCATTGTACTTGAGGCGTTTTTCTCTCTATACATATATGTTGATGTTTTAATCTACATTATATATATATATTTCTCTCTCTCTCTCTCTTTTTTCTTTCTTCCTGAACATATATGCGCAGACGCAAAAAAAAGACTGACCCTTGTTACCTTTGCTAACATCGGCAGATCACGCTACTGTAAAAAGTAAAAATAATAGAGAGATAAAACATGAAGAAAAAATGGAAAAAAGTAAACTTATTTATGCAAGGGCAGATGAGTAATTCATTCAATTCGAAAATCATTATAAACCAATTGGTGGAACGACACAATGACACGTCACACAAAACCCCCCCTCCAACTTCGACTCCAACGCTCCCCACGTCACCACCTTTTCAACTACCTACGTCAACACGAATCTTATTTTATATTTCTCTGTGTGTGTGTGTGTGCGTGCGTGTGTTTGTGTTTTTTTGTGTCTGTCTGCTTTTCAAGTTTTTTTGTCCAAGTTTGTGTTAGACTTTTTGTTTTTTTGTTATTTATTACACACACACACAAACAACACACACACACACAAACAAACAAACACACACACACACAGACATATTCGAACGTAGAGACACAACAATTAGATGCAATCTTACAGGAAAGAACGTCTTGTCAACTTGACTGTCCGTAACCTCATTGAGTTGTGTTAAGCAGCAGATGAAGAAGATATGTTTCAGTTCAAAAAAAGAAAAAAAGCAATTAACTTATCTTAATGAAATGTTAATTGGAATGAAATTAAAAGTAAAACAGAATCCCATTTTCTCCTTTTCACTTCCGATTGACTTTTTTTTCACTTTTAATTAATTTTCGATCTCATTTTGAATTTTTCTTAACTGATTTAGCCACTTAATGCTACAGGAAACTATTCAAAAGTTGCAATGAATGATGAAATTATAAAATTTTAACATTTGGCCATCCGAACCATTGTGAAGATTCAAAATTTTTGGAGAATTTCGCAGATGTATTGATTATTTTAAGCTATTCAAGCGCTGGAACAAATAAAAAAACTAACTCAAATTAAATAAACGACGCTCTCTGCATTTTTGACATTGCTAAAAAAACCAACGAATACCAGTTAGAATGAAGGTTATTTTCATGACCTTATTTTTAAGTTTTCCAACTATAAATTTTTTAAATAAAAATATCGAAAATTGCATAAAATTTCAATAAACAATAAGTTATGTCTCAATGTTTCATTTCACTATTAAATCGAAATAAACTTAACGAACTTACGGCAGACGAATGATAAACCAGGTTAATAAGGTTTAACCAGGTTTAACCCGTAGAAATAATAATAATCTTAAAATTTAAACATATACAAATAAATAAATAACATAAAAATTAGTTAATTATTTAGTTAATTATAAAATAAATAAATGTTTAAATAAAATTTGAATCTTCCAAAACACAAACCTGACGAGTGAATGGATGATCGGACCGATGGATTTCGACGAACCGGCCAACCAATTTGTTAGTCTGTCAACTGTGCGATGAACGTCTCAGAAAGTTTTACAAAACGAATTCAATAATTTCTACGTCTATTATTGAATAAATATTGATGAATAAATAAATAAAAGAATGAATGAGTGAATTAACAAATAGATGAATGGAGTAATTAATTAAGCGAAAAGTTTGTGTGCGAGCCCAGAAGATGAAGAAACTAAAACGAATCTCTCTCTCTCTCCCGTCCAAAGCCTTATGATGTTCTCACTGTTGTTGTTGTTGTTGTTGTTGTGTTTGAAGGCGGTAGTTGTCGTGCGGGGTCTTGTAGATGTCGCACGGAATTTATACGCGGTTGCAAGTCCGAAATTTATTTGTCAGTTTGTTTGTAAATTTGTTGCTCGTTTGATTGTATGTGTGTCTGTATGTCTATTTGTATTTATGTTAATATGTCTGTATGTCTATTTCTATGTATGTTTATATGTTTTTATGTTTATAGGTGTGTTGCAAGTTGTTATATAAACATGTTTATTGTATGTAATGAATATGCGTTTATATATATGTGAGCTAATATGTGTGTGTATGTTTAGGCGTATGGATGTTTTATGTAGATGTGTGTATCGGTCGTATATATGTTTATATATGTTTGATAGCGCTCGGTTTAATTGGCACTTTGTTTCTGACTCCTTCACTGCTTAACTGGTCCATGAATGGATGGGTGTTTGTAATTTAGATTAAATTGATATTTAACATAAAATAAATTAATTTTTTCTGTCTTTCCTTCTTTATTTCTTTCATTTCTCTTTCTCTTTCTCTCTCAGATTTGTATTGTGTGTGTTTATATTAATGTGAAATAAACATGATATATAGATATTGATATATATATATATATATATATATATATATATATATACCAATTCCCATGGGAATCCCATGGGAATTGGTTAAACTCCAATATTTCCGTAATGTTGGGAAAGATGATATGGCACTCAAAATGACATTAAATTTAGCGATGATAATAATGATTAAAAAAATAATGAATACGTAACGCTGGGTCTTCTGTTTTGTAGCGGCTATTTTGTGAAATGATTGGAAAATTTTTATGATAAAATGCGTTTGATTAGAAACAAAATTTAAAATAATAAATAAATGAATAAGCAAATAAATAAAAATATGTCTGGATTTTTTGAAAAAAAAGTTAACACGGTATATAGCAATTTGAAATAAATTACAACATGATGAAACCATTTATCAATTTTTCCATTGCATTCTAGAGCTGAAAATTTTAATTTAAAATTTTCTACAGATTTTCAAATCTATTTTCAGAAAGTATTATTTTAAAAAGTATATCAGCGATTGTTAATTTATTAAAAAAATGTCTATAAAATCCGAAAAGAAAAAAAAAGTTATTGAAACAGTAACCTTGTACAAGCATAAATTCAAATTTTCTTGTAACGGAACTCGCGGAAGTTAGTTTTAAAAATTACGCTGTACTTCGAAAACATTAAAAAACATTTAATTAAATTGAAACAAATTAATTCGTCGTCTATTTTTTCTCGTTTTAAACCATTCAAACTGAATAAAAAATCATTGAAACATTGACAACCAACCATAAAATTTAGATAAGTTTTTCATAAAGGGCACGGAAATAAATCTGAATGTTGACAAATAGCCAAGCCTGTATGTTGTATAGCAATTAAAAAAATTGTTATCCGTTAAAAAGAAAATTAAAAGGTGGGTATAACCTTTTCTGTTTTTTAGTTTGGTTTTTATCATTTTAAAAATGAAAAAAAAACTTAAAGATAACCGAAGTGATAGAAAAATGATAAATTATGTTTTTGAGAGTTTAAATTTTTAACTTGAAAACGCATGGGATCGTGTTTTTTGTGATCTTATTTTTTTCAAACTAATTAGATTTGGTTATATAAATGATTTTTATTTTAACTGGAAAACTCCTTGATATAAAATAATTATTCAGAAAATCAGTTTTAAAGATTTCTCCAAAAAATCGTTTGCTAAAATAGAAACCATTTAAAAAATTAACATATTTAATAAATATTTGGTTTCGCCATGTGTGTTATGAAGGTTATAGAGTCCGGGGTATGAATATTTTGTAGTTATCCCCTAACTACCTACTGACCTATCTGCCTACCCAGCTATCTTCATCCATCCATCCATTCCTACCCCTAAAAACGGGAAAACGTACACACAAACGCGCAAAAACTTGCAGGAGAAGGTAAAAACATAGTCACCCAAACAAGACAAACTTTTCTAATTGTATTTGCAGGCATTTACATGCTAATAAGGTCATTAAAGTTTCTACGTAGTGTCCTTTGGAAACATGCATTCTGTATGTCGGTGATGCTTAAAACTGACCGCACAT